AAAAAAAAAAAAAAAAAAAAAAAAAAAAAAGGGGGGGACTCTGGATCACTTACGGCGCCCATGAAGACGGTACAGGGCATGCCAAACTTGGCACACACGGTCGCGGTAGCGACACCATGCTGGCCCGCACCCGTCTCCGCGATAATCCTCGTCTTGCCCAGCCTCCTTGCCAGGAGAATCTGACCAATGGCGTTGTTAATCTTGTGACTGCCAGTATGATTCAAGTCCTCTCGCTTCAACCAGATATTGGCGCCACCAGCGTGCTCCGTCAGCCGCTCGGCCAGGTGCAAGTGTCCCGGACGGCCCATGTAGTCGTAGAACGACCTGAACTCATCCCAGAAGGAGGGATCGTTCTTGGCCTTGTTGAAGCCATCCTCCAGCTCGGTGAGGCAGTCCATCAAGCTCTCGGGCACGTACTGCCCACCAAATTCGCCGAATCGGTCGGGGATCTTGCCGTGCAGGGCGGCTAACTGGGCGACTAGGGCTTGGTCCTGCTCCTCGGAAATGTTGTGCTCGACGGCAGGGCTGGCGCCCCTCTCGACAAGGTCGGCATTGGCACCGCCCTCGAGAGTCTCGATGGTTTCGCGGCCACAGAGGTAGGCGCAGTATTTACTTACATCCTCGAAGTAGCTGTCGGGGTCGGAATTGTTTAGGGTCGTAATAATCTGGCTACCCACGACGACACCATCGGCAATATCGGCAACGCTGAGGAAGTGCTCGCGGGTGCTGACGCCGAAGCCGATAACGGCGGGTTTGTCGCCGCTGTACTGCTTGACGCGTCTGATGAGTTCGGGGAGGGAGGTGCTGAGGGTTCCGGTGGCTCCGGTGACGCCCATGCGAGAGACGACGTAGATGAAGGAGTCGGCGAGTTTGCAGAGGATCCTCATGCGGGCGTCGGAGGTGGCGGGGGCAATGAGGGGCACATACGAGAGACTGGTGGTCGGGAGTCAGCGGACATGGTTGTTCCTCAAAAGGTTGGTCTTGCGACACTATTGTATAAAGGCAAAGAAGCAGGCGCAGGAACTTACCCGCCACGCGAGCACAGCTGGCGGAAGGAGACGGCCTCCTCGGGAGGCAAGTCGACGACAATGAAGCCATTGACACCAGCCTCCTTGCAGCGCTGAAGCAGGCGATCCTCACCGTATTTAAGGAGAGGGTTGTAGTAGCCCATGATCAACACGGGGGCTTTAAGGCCTCTCGAGCGGGCATCCTGGATCATCTGGATGGTGGATTCGAGAGTGACGCCATTTCGAAGGGCAACCTATTCAGAGTCCCGATGGTTAGTCAGAGGTGGCTTCGCAATATATCGTATATCGTCTGGGTTGGTTGGGGGGAAAAGGCAAAACATACGGTATTGGAGGTCTGAATGGTGGGCCCGTCGGCGATGGGGTCGCTGAAGGGTGCGCCGACTTCAATGACATCTGTGTGAGTCAAGCAAGCGTCAGTCCCGTCGTATACTCTCGATGCAGTTCAGGGAAGTGCCAAGGTCTTGGGAGGTGAGGATTCATGGGCCATCGGTTATGGGCCATGGTATGTGTGGTATGTGTGGTATGTGTGGTATGTGTCATAGATCGTACCTGCGCCTCCCTTCTCGAGCGCGAGAAGGATGTTAGGGGTGTCTTCAGGCTTAGGGAAACCAGCAGTAACATAGGTAACAAGCGCAGCCTGTCAAGTTTGCCAATTGAGCTCGTTAGCAGGGTTTCCTTTCATAAATTCGTCCTCCAGTTTTAGTCTCGCTGGCAATAGTGTCAAATATTTTGCCATCGAACTTTTTCCCCATCCTCTTTTTTTGGATGCATGGCGGGGCACATGGAGGGGGCGGGGTTGACAAAACATTACCCTCTTCTGGGCCTTGCAACGGCGGAATGTCTGGCGGAGGCCCTCCATGATGATGGCAGATGGGATCGATGTGACTGGGTATAGAAGCAGACGAAGGCACAGGGGGAAAAAGAAGGAACGGAGTAGGTTGGACGGTCAATTGGGGTCGGAATCTAAATCGGAGGCGAAAAGTGTCGCTTTTTTTATATTTTGTTGTCTGGGGACGAAGTAGAGTTGTACACTGCGAAGTACACAGGTCGAGTCACACAGTCACTCGCACCTGCACTCTGTACCTGGGGCAACTGCGAGGTATGACTCTTTCCTTCTCCAACAACTACCAAATAGGAAAAGTACAAACGGAGTCGGCGTCGCACTCGGATTCGGTGTCCTCGTGTACTTTGTAGCTTGTACAGGCTCAAGTACACAGAAACGACCCAGAATCATAATCGTCTCCCTGAGGCAGAGCCAACTTTCAAGTCGTCAGCCAAGGCAGGAAGTTCTCGAATATAGAACATCAAGTGTTCTGTGACCTTGGGGACGCTGGTATTGCGTAGTTTAACAACATCAAGCATTTTTCACCCCACTATTTTTCTTCTTTTTTTATCCTCCTATTTCGCCATCTGGGGAAAACCCACCTAGACGACACACGACATCTTGGGACCTGGACTGGACTGGACCCTGATGCAGATTACTACCCCACTATCACCAGACATCTCCAAGACGTAAGTGTCTCGTCCGTCCAATTGCCAGCGCAGGAATTCGCCTTGCCATTGAACTTATCCGACACACGTTGCGTATCCGCCACTGGGGAGCTACCCGCTTTGCGAGATCGTCGTCGTTAGTCATTTCATTGGAATTTAAAACGTCCTTTGGGAACTCTGGTCAGTCTGTGTCCGTCTGGGTAAAAGAAGACACCCCGAGCCTCGGTCTACATTCTTCAACCTCTGCTTTTTGGAGCGAAAGTGTCTGGCACTGATCATCTTAGATTAGAAACAGCCATCTGTTTCCAAGTCTTTTTGCACTCAGCATTAGCCAGTTGAACAAACTTTTAAAGCTTGCCTATCCATGAGACAGTGATAAGAGTGCCATTGGTGACAAGGGTACCTGTGTACATAGAGGGTTCTTCCAAGGATGGAGAAGCTGCCAGATTTTGTGGGAGTCTGGAAAAGGGATGTTCCGGATAAAGACTGTATGGAGTACGCAGCGAGGTGTACAATTGTATTGACTCATTTCTTTGGTTTCTTTTCAGGTTTGAAAACAATCACGTTTTCAATAAAGTATTAGGTTATCAAGTTCAGTGGCTAGTTCTATTAGTCTTCTCTGAGCCCTTGGCACTGTCTTGTGTCTTACAAGTTCACCAATATTCCCTTCGACACATCCACTCTGCTGGTAAGACTGCTGGCATCGTAAAACTCATGTACGAGCTCGAGCTCGCCAACGCGAGGATCGCGCAAGGCCCGAGAGATAGCAGCCCTGACGCAGAGGAAGCCATTTCGGTGTTTCTTCGCCAGCACTTTCAGGGCCTGCTGGGAGCACGCGCAAGCAAAGGTTTCCCCCTCACGGCCGGGGCAGCAGTCTCCTCGCCTTGCGCGCCTTGCGGCACAGCTTCGCGTCGGGCTTCTCGCCCACGTCTCTTGCATACACAAGCAGGAACTGCTTCCAGATCGTGCCCAGGGGGCTGACTTTCTCGACCCCCTTCTTCTTGCGGCCACCCTTGCCTTCTTCTTGGCTTAGGAGACCCAGATAAAGAAGTTGTATATCTTGCTGATGGTGGTGGACTTGAGGCACGTCTTGGGATCGAGCCGGAGAACGTCGACGCAAAATCTAGTCGCGAGATCTGTCAGCACGCTCCTCAGCACCACAGCAAGGCATTGCGTGGATTTGCCGCGTCCACTGCTCCTTGACCGCGCCCAGCTGCTCTATGGTCTTGTCGGCGTAGTCGTAGTCGTCGTCGAATTCTTCCATGTGCTGCTGCACCTGGGACCCCTGCCAGACAGGCTGGCACATGGCCAACCGCAACTCCTCCGACAAAACGAAGAAGACCCCTCAAGTCGCACTGCCTTACTTAGCTCTTTTATAATCAAACACCCGTATTAGGTAGGAGCTTTAGTCTCCAGTCTAAGAGTCTTGCCAGAACCCGGCACATGGCCCGGCACACGACCGCTACACTCCGTCATAGTATTCTTACTCCCCGCCATTTTTCGCCCATCCTGCGCCCGAGGACAGGACCCTATACTTACTACCCGCGCCCCACCGCACAAAGATCGCAGCTCGTTCACAGCGGGTGGTCTTAGGTTTAAAGCCTATCCAGCAACTCACCTCTCTTTCTACTTTGTACCCCTGAAAAGCGGCCCAAAAAAAGAATGATGTCCTCCCCCCCGCCGGTCTTCGGGCGTGCTGTGGCAATGATCTAACAGAACATGGCATAGCCTGTACGACCAACCGACTCGTCCGCCGTATTCACCAGGCACCAGGGGATACGAGTCTAGAGCATCGCCGCGCGTAGCCCCGCCAATGGGAGCGCCGTGCTGCAGCAGCAGGCGGATGACAGCTAGCTGAGCGGCTGCACCCTTGTCGTCCTGGCTCTTGTCATAGGGGCTTGTGTCGCCGAGGAGGTCGTCGATTTCATACTTGGCGGGCAGCTTGCGTCGCCGCGTTTTGGGCGCAGGTCGCACGTCCATTCCGGCCTCTAAGAGAAGGGGCAGAAGCTTCAACATAGCGGGATAGCCGAGGCCAACCAACCGGGGCCAGAGGCACCTGCCCAGGTCGGGATCGGCGCCCCGGTCAAGGAGGTGTTGTAGTATGCGCGCAATTGTCTCTGATGGTTCGTGGTCTGGCTACCTCCACAAGAAGACCACACAACCAGCAGCATATTGCTCGCTTGGCTTGCCGTCAGGTGGTCGGAGAATGTGGGCGACTCGAGCAGCTCCCAGGCCGACAGCCATCTCGATGCACATAGAAAGGCGTGGAATAGGTCGTCTGACACTTCTGCACCATGCCGAACCAGCGCTCTCGCTAGGTTTGGGACGTCGGACGGGCATCTGAGCTGGTAAAAGGCCAGTAGCTCTGTGGGATCGTTTTCTATGTGCTGGCTGGCTAGAAACTGCTCGGTCAGCTCGGCCCGCCCGAGCGCGCATGCCATGTGGACAATGGTCGGCATCCCTCGAGCGTACCCCTCCTGTCGTAGATATGGGTCAGCGCTGTTGGCGAGCAGCAGAAGCGCAGTAGAGATGCGGTTCCCCATGACTGACAAGCAAAGTGCCGTGACATTTGACCCGGGTATAGGCATGTCGACGTTGGCCCCGTGCCCGACCAGCCACGCTACAATATCGTCCAAACCTTTCAGCACTGCCATTTGAAGAGGCGACAACGAAGGACGAGTCGTCTGCGGCATAACAACTCGGGCTACTCTATCAAGCCCGAACCAGCCCAGGGAATAAGTGGATTTGCAGCAGCGGTCAAGGGCAGCAGAGTCTGGGCGGTAAAACCGGGCCACTTTGTCAAGAACAGTGAGAGCGGTCGTTCGAGTCTCTGGCTTGTTTGGGTCGGCATTTTCCACGACCCAAAAGACGGCAGATCGTGTCCCTATATCTTCCGGGAAGGCATGTAGCCGGTATAAAAGCGGTTCCAGCAGCTCCCGATACGTGCGACTGGTGCAGCTGAACGTGGCGAGGCTACAACACGTTAGATTTTCGCCGACCATGCAGACCAGCTCGTTGGGAAGCCTGTGCATTACGTTAGTGGTTGCATGTAGTGGTTGAAAAGGTTTGCAACAAGACTTGACTTGACGCCTTACGTCTTCCGAAAGGAACGAAGATCTGCACCTTGATATAATATTTATGCCACCAAATTGGGCGGGTTCTGCCTGCGGGTTCAGCAGCGTATTGTCTAGGATGCGGGACATTGGAATACTCTCCAAATTGAGTAAGCTGAGAGCGTGTAGTAAACAAAGACCAGGAAGCAAAGACCATAGTAGTTTGCGGTAAAGAAGAAGAAGAGCACAGGATGGGGCGGGGGATTGGCGGTAGTCCTTGGAAGGAGATGGAAAAGCAGGTTGCAGACAGCTAACAATTCCAGGGGTCGTCAAGTGCGAATCTTCGAACCTTGACACTGAGCAAGCAACATTGAACCTTCCAATTGTGGCAGCGCTGTCAAATTGGCCGTTGTTGCCTTTGGTTTTGGTCGCTTTGTTATAATCAGAAGGGGCGATCCGTTGCGATGGCCGAGGAGGTGTCAGTTAATTTGGTGTGTACTACGAGAGTAATCGAGACTTCGACTCTGCTCTGGAACAAGTAATGTGCAAGACGGAAAGAGCTGTTGAAACGATGGCGAATGATTCAAGTCGCTATCGCTATGATAGCCAGCAGCAATGTAGGTCTGGCGTTTGTAGATCTAGTGGGTTGTTGTGGTAATGTCGATGATGTACGATGTAAAGTGATTCCAGCAAGCGGGTCCAGGAAGACTAGGGTCTAGATTGAATTAAGTGCAAAATCCCTCCAGACTTGGTAAGGTCTTCAGCTTATACGTACTTATGAATAGCTTAAAGAGTGGGGCGAATGATGATTATTTTAAATAGTGTTAGTAGGCATGATGCTGACGATGTCAGTGAAGTTGAAGGCGCTGGTAAAGCTAATGGTTAAATCGAGGGTGCTGTGCTCTAAATGCTTCTCAACTCTGAAATAGCATCCATATCAGTACCTGAAGAGAGTCCGCCTTGGTTTCACTCTCGCCAACTCATCAGCAGCCCAATACCGCACAATGAAACCGAAGCTGGAGCTGACTAACAATGTCCAACGCGGGGAACAAAGGATCCTCAACATCTCGATCCTCGACGCCTCGGTCATTATGGCGATGGACACTCCTCCACTCCCTCTCCTCCCCCCCGACGCATCCCGAGCTGCCCTTTTCTCTCCTCTCCGAGACAGCAGACATCGTCAGCGAAGCTAAATGTCGTACCCCTTCTATCGACACAGCCATTATAAAATTGCAATGTACTTTGGATGGTGCTTAGACCGGTCTCCTTTCCCGTACTGACCATCTCCCGGCGCGCTATCTCCTCGTTAACGAGACGCCAGGGAGCCCAAATCTCACCCGAGCGTACAGGAGCACTCCGAAGATGAACACTGGAACGAGCAAACAATGTCTTCCCTGGCTAAACCACTTCTCTAAGCATGTTCGCCCCTTGCTATTCCTCCTCTCTTCTCTTAAACCTTCGGTGGGTATTGCATCAAGTTTTCTCTCACGTGGAGCCACCCCCCGTAAACGCTGGACTCCGCAAGGTGAGGCCGAGGAGGCCGATGCTCTTCGGGCAGGCCTTGATCCAGAATTAGTCAGTATTCTCTCGGATAGGTCACGACTGGAGAGTGCTTTCCACGAGCTGCAACGCCTGAATGCCGTTTCGGAGACGGGTAATCAAACGTACACGTTGAACGAAGCCCTAGCGACTCGTGTCCTCGGCAGCCTTGAGCAGAATCTACCGTTCTGGCGGGACCAGGCATTGATTGTTATGTATCGAGGAATCCCATGGAAGTATTTGGAGATGTGGTAAGTTACACTACGACTACAAGTGCTGGACGGAGACATGTACTAAGGGAGCCTAGCAAACTTGAGGAGTCGTTTTTGCCGCACCTTCAGCACTGCCTCGAGGCGTTCCATAGTCATTTCGATAGCCTACCGGTAAATATTAGAACAGACCTCGCCCTCAGCCTCGTAGAGGCCTCTCGATTTCCCGGTATGCAATGGAAGAGGTTTATCGTTGACCAAGCAGAAGCTGCTGCATGCGGCTCAGACAATTGGTACCTCAATTCCAGGGTCGCATGTTCGCGCAGCCTCTTGAGTAGGATCTCTCAGAATGATACAGGAGGCACTGCTCTCCTTGCTTCGGAGCAAAACCATTCACTAGGGTCAGTGGACCAGCGAGTACACGCACAGCTCGGATTTGAAAAGATTGAATCTTCATTGAATGCAATCCAGAAGGAGGATCTTTCTAAAGCCAAGTCCGCGCTGCAAAGCTGGACAGCGTACGACCAGCAGTGCCTATCTTCTCTCGAGGAAGTCGTGCTGTTCCGCCATGCTATACTACTGGGAAGAATTTTACGGTATCAAGGTGAATTTGAGACATCGCTAAGGTACATCAACCAGGCTTTTGAAATACAGGAGCGTCGCAAGGACCTCACATTTAACGACGACCTCCGCGACCTTGCCTGCGACAGGGCTGACACCCTCCGCGAACTGGGCCTGCCTCATCTCGCCGAGACCGATCTCCGCGCCGCACTTGAAATGCAACCCCCTCACCTTACCTCTTCTGGAGGTGGATCCCTGCTTGACCTGTCGCTAGCCGAAGCTCTCTTCGCCCAGGAGCGTTTTGATGAGGCGGAACGCCTCTGCCACGAGATTGGGTTGCGGCCACGTCTTTTAAGGTTCGAGAAGCTACGTCTACACATCACACTCGCGAAGATTTACCACGTCAGGCGTGACTGGGACCGAGCTTTTACTTCTTGGAGCCAGGCATTGGTGGCAAGTCAGGCATTCACGATGACCAACGGGCATACAACCCGTATGATTCTCCGTTCCATGTGCTCTGTCTTACATGCTCTCGGGAATAAGCGTCTTTTGGAGGATACGCAGCAGCAGATGAAGATTTTGCAGGATACGGCACGTCCAGGGGGTATTCTATACTGGGTTGCTGGTCTTCGATGCTGGTTAGATGATTTGCTTTCGAAAGAGCACGGGCGTCTCGACTCTGAAGGGGGAGGGATCCCACTGAACGGGTAGCGTATTTCCGTCGTCTAGGTGTAAGGGATAAATATACCCCATTTCACATCGTGGTTCCCCGTTCGGCCTGAATAAGATCCATTGATCTACCACACGCTGCCCACGTTCGGCAATCTTCTGAGCAATCTCTTGAGCATCCTGTTTAGAAAGGACGTGGTTCATCTTTCCCTCCAAAGTGCTCACATCCGCCAGGGTTCCGGTCCTAGAGGCTTTTTTTTAAACCAAAAAAAAAAAAAAAAAAAAAAAAAAAAAAAAAATGGCCTCGGAAATGGTCTCGATCACACGTTATTTTATCTGGAGCTTCCTCTTCCTCGCACTATTACCCGCTCAGTTGGGCCCCCGGTTCCAACTCCATGTCCTGTCCAGCCGCCAATGCGGGAATCGATCTGTTCACTAGCCTCTGCGCCCCGGTATTCGTCACTTGGGAGCTCTACACGCTTTGGGAGGGTCTTCGTCGTGAGTCACTCGTTGACATTTTCACTGCATTTCGAAAACGTACTTCGGAAGTTCAGGTCGGTCTGGTACACGTCAGTATAATTGCATTACGCCCTTCGGGGATTTGACCTCATCTCACATCCTCACGACCGAGATATATGCAGTAAGAGTCATAGAACCTTTGGGCGCCGTATCCACTTGTAAACGAATCGAACCACTTGTCTGCATCTCACATACCACTAACTCAAACACACTCAAACACTCAAAGAAAGGAAATGAAATAACCGAACTCCGTATTTTGTTCTGTGTACTCGTTTAACTATTATACAGTCCATGTGCGGATGAGAAAGAAACCCTCAAGCTCATTACACGTAGGGAACGACGTGAAACAAAAGAAGGTATCCTCCTCTTAACCGCGAGGGACAAAAAAAAAAAAACCGGCAAAGAAAATGCCGTTCCTGGTCTCAAGTGAATGAATGGTGTCTAAAGTCTCGAAAATGCAAGACGCAAGATCAGATATGCCCACCCCTCCAATGCTGCCGTATGAAAATGCCGAAGACAAAGGAAACATGGGGAAGAACGGAAGAAACGTCAGAAACCAAACAGTCGAAGAGAGCAGAGAGCCAACCCAAGACTCAAAACCGTAAAACCATCATTAATACCAACCACCAACGCCAAGTCACACCCTTCCTTTCTCCCTGTCGTCTACTCATCCCTCTTCGGGGACGCCGGTCCATCCTGCCGCTGCACCTTCTTCGCGGCCGGTCCATTAGCCATGTCCGAAAACGGATTGCCGTCGTAAATAGGACTGGCCAACGAAGTCGTGTACGCCCTGCCCGCTCCTCCACTGGGCTCACCGGTCTTCTAGATCCGGTTATCCTTTTCAGAGTGGAACGGGTTTTCGGGTACGTTGCTCGGTCCTCCGTCCTGCTTCTGTCGAGAACCGTATGCTTGTCCTCCCGACGACGAGGCTCTGTACAATGCCTCTCCTCCCGCGGAGCTTCCTGTCTTGATGTTGGCTACGGGAGGCGGAGCGGCCCTGTTGCTGTAGTACTCGTCGAATCCGACACCGTAGGAATCATCCCTCTCCTGTTCGGCACGCGAGGATCCCAAGTTCGGCGCGCCACCGCCTTCGCCGCGCGTGCGCTCTGGCATCGCCATGCCTACGAACATCCGGACGATGCCGATGAGGACGACGATGACGTAGAGCATAAAAAGAACCCCCGAGATAGTAGCTTCCTTGGCGATGCCATTCTCTAGCTTGTTCACAACCTTCTGGACGGCGCCGGTGACTTCGTCCGTCGTGACTGAAGATGGGCTCGCAAGGAAAGTCGTCAACTCCGAATCACCGGAGATGGACTCGTTGGCGCCGAGACTGAAGACGTCGTCGGGAAGGAGAGGGAAATTGATGTGTGCCTGGTCATGCAACCAAGTAAGACCCTTCTGTACAGCCTCGATCTTGAGACCGATGAGGCAGCGGATGAGATCCTCGGCCGGCTTCTTGAGCACGGTATCGCCAAAGAGGGTATCGATTCCCTTGCCCATTTCCGACGTGAACATGTTGATGGTGTTGTTGACGGCTTCCGTGCCCTCCTTGACGAACCCGAAAACATCATTGTTGAGCTTGTCATTAAAGTTGATGATGACGTTATTGGAGTCGGTGGCCCATTGCTTCGAGACGTCCCCGAGACTAGTCACGACGTCCTCGGCAAAAGCGCCCACCTCACCCGCCAGCTCGGGAACCTTGTCCTGTACGACCCTGAGCACGATGAATTGGCAGAGACAAGAGAAGAGACCCGCAATAGCGAGCGAGAGGATGAAAATGGCCGGGAGGGACGTGCCGTAGGCGATGCACCAGCGAACGAGAATCTGGTTCTTTCTCTTGAACCGCGAGGCAATCTTGATTCCCCACGCGGCCGTCATAGGCCTCGACGCAATGTAAACGACGTCCATCGAGTCATACTCACTGGATGAGATAATGCGGGCTTGGGATTGCTGACGTCTCCAGCGCTTGATTTCGATCCATCCCATGGGTATCATGGCGAGGATGGCGAGGATGATGATGACGGTGATGAAGGCGATGCGAGCCGACTTGACCGATTTGTACAGCTTGTCGAAGAAATTGTTAATGCTGTCGTTGTCCGAACAAAACGTCAGTTTCTGCTTCTGGGCGACCGGGAACACATTTTGGTCAAAAGTGAAGCCTCCAAGGGAGTCGTTGATGCCCTTCTTGATGAGATCGAAGGGGAAGGAAAGGGCATGCTCGGTAAGGTTCCTGACTTCGTCGAACGTCGGGATATTCTTGTTGAGGGTGTCAATATCCGAGACGAAGCCCGAGGTGTCGATGTTGAGATTCTTGAGCTTGTCGACGGCACTGGTAAAGTCCACCTTGGGAATGTCAGGCAGGAGACCGCCTATAACGGATTTCTCGATCGAGTCGGCAAGGCTGTTGACCTTATCCTGCACTGCCTTTGCGTCATTGGAAATTCCGTCGGCGATACCGGAAATAGCGTTATTCATCGCGTTGGTGAACTTCTCAACGACCTCGGCGGCGACATCGAGGGATCCGTGGATGATGGCCGTCGCGAGACAGACGTAGGTCGAGGTCATCATGTTAATGACAAAGATGATGAGGTTCTGGATGACGGTAACGGCAAGCTCCAAGGCCGACACCAGGCCTCGAACCGCCAGCTCGATACTGGACGCCGTCATTTCGTTGACGCCCCTGGAGAGGAAATGGGGCATCGATGACACGGTGCTACCAATATCCTCGACCTTGGTGCATGCCTCGAGCGCCTTGATCTTCGCGTCACCGATATTGTCGTCGACATCGGCGACGGCGATCATGACGCGGACGAGCACGAGGACCAGCAGAACGGTCCACCTGTTGAGCCATATTTGAGACAGCCTGGCCTGTAGGCTAAGATAGGGTGTTTGGTCCGGGACAGTATTGGCTTGGGTCACCTGCACCTTACGCAGGTCGTCAAGCTCAATCGACTGCGAGCGAAGGGAACCAGGAACATCGGGGTAGGCAGGGGGCCTCTGGCGCCCCCCGAAGCGGCTAAACATGTTTAGCCTGGTCATTGAGAATTAATCTCGTGTTCGTTGTCTTTGGGGTTTAAGTTCGAGTTGAAATGTAGTTTCGAGGACGCGTGCGGATAAAGGAATGTCTCTCGAGAATAGAGAGTGGAATAGGTGGAAAATGGAAAAGAGGAAGAGAGTCCAGGACTCGAGGAGGTAAACAGAACGTGGCAGAATTATGTAGGAACTCGGGGTTCTCGATCAAAGTCTAGCAAACAAAAGAACACAGAAATGAATAGAGAGTCCACATGAATTATGTATTAGGAAGAAATCATGGAGGTCTCTGCGTCACCAGGACGAGAGATGTGAGAGAAGTGAACTAAGAGGAGAGACGCGGTGAGTAAGATGCTATCGTGATTGCATTGTGAAAGGCTAAGTGCGTCGCAGCAGTTGAGGGGTGAATATTGAAAGAAAATCAGAGAGTAGAAACAAAGAGAAGGGTATGAAACGAAACGAGAAGGATGATTAGAGTAAAGAACTGGGAATAATGAACATTAAAAGGGGCGGTCGGGTTGAATGAAAGTTGGGGAGAGGTAAAGCTGGTAAAGACCTTATGGGTCTGGGCAAAAGCTGGAGCTCTGCAACTGGTCAGGCGAGGAATTGATCTTAAAGCCAAGAGAATAAAGATAGCAACATGCCCTTGTCGAGGACTTCTGGCTGGACTTGAGCAAGGACAAAACAAGGACTTACCTCGAGTGCAATAGAGGCGGGCGTCTAGGGAGCCTACCCAGAGCTCGTCGGTTCGCCGAGAGTGGTCGAACTAGTACCAGGGTCGAGGTGTGGGCGAGCGTGTAAGTGGACGTTGCCCTGCGTTTCGGGAGTGGTCGTCTTGGCCGGATTGACCACGCTTGTATGGTCCGGTAGGAGAGCGGGGCGCTGGTCGGCGCTTAGCGGAGTGTCCTGTCAGTGGTTGGCCAGACCGGGGTCACTGGGCGGAAGACCCACGATAGTGTTTCGGCTTCTTTGGCGCTGGCGGCTTCGACGCAACTCGACTGGTGGAGGAGCAACGAGAAATGAGCAGAAATGGGGATTTATTTTTGGGCGATCTCGTGACTCGGGAAACAGAGAGAAGAAAATGGGTCATTGATAGCACGATGATGCGAAGAAAGAATCCTGAATAGGTGCATCTGAGGCAGAGGATTTATTGATCAAGAGTCAAATAGCAATGATCCCCAAGGGTTCTGGGGCGAGGGATCGATCGAGCCATTTCTTTTTATCGACCGAGAACATTGAGCTGCAAGTGAATCCGAGTCGTCATTCTTGTCAATAGACCCATTCATTGAATTCGCAGCAAACCATGAATAGGAGACGAGATTAATCTGGATCAAAGCCGTCAGTCGCCCATGATTCAAGCAGAGAAGGAGCCGACGGCTTCGTGGTCTCGAATCTCGAATCTCGAATCTCGAATGCATGAGCCGGTGACATCTGTGACGACGATTTATCCACTGAGTCGAGTTTTTACTTGTTTGTGACTACCGGGTAGTTGACTCGCCTATCCAGCGGCAACAATGGACGTTTGCTCTCATTCTTGCCCGCTGGCAAATACCTGCACCCAGACCGAGGCAGCTAGCTCACATGGTCCAGAGGAAGTTTCAATGCTGTTTAGAAAATGACGATGAATGGATGAGCGCCTCTGTCACTCATACTCGCCGATGCCCAATAGGCTCATTAGATCCCAAGCGAAGGCCGGCCCTGGCGTCACTGAAGCTTGTGAGTGGATGAGTCTGTGGGTTTCGTGGCGGTGCTAGTAGGTCCGGTTTTTGAGAGATCTCGACCTGCCCTGGCTGGTGCTTGAAGCCTGAAAGCCCAGCCTCTTGGGCTGATGTTCAACGAGTGACTGACTGGTCGAGCAAAGGCCTTCATTGTCCCGGGCAAACCTTGCTAGAGCACCTAGAAATCGGAGGCCAAAGTTCAGAGACAACTTTAGAGGGGCGGAAAGGCGGGAATTGATGGATCCATCAATTGATATTCGTTTTTTGTAAAATACGAGTGATGCGAGCGAGCCTTGGGCAAGGTCGGTTAAAAGAACAGAACTGGATCGTAGCTGCCAGCGCCAACTTCATTGTCACGTGCTCGCCTTTTTCAAGAGGTCAAGAGGGAAGTCGCGGCCTGGGGCGATCTCGTCCATGTTTCTTCGCGATTATTCCAAAATCTGATAATCATTGCAAGAGCAAAAGATGTTGAAAATGGACGGACACTGAGAAACTACCTGCCAACGCTGTCTTGGCAGGCCCTAAGCGCCCGTTTCAGCCCTAACCGCACTGCTGTGTACGATTGGACAAGAGCTCAAGTTAAGCTTTCCCGCCACCTCTCTCCTCGTTTAGTTTCTCGGACGATCTTTTCCCCTCGTCAACGCAGGTACTGTTAACATCGAATCGGCTTGTCGCGGAGCTTAACACGAGACGGGAGCACCGCGAATCTCAGTCTCCTACGCAGATGCCCACCATTGTTTCTTTCTTCGAGCGTTACCGAATCGACCCCAACTGTTTGGGCCTATTTTCTATCCCACAAGTAGTTCCAAACCTCTACGTCAGACGGAGCCTTGGCCCTGATGTGGAGATTACTCTCCCTCGTCTCGATTACTAGGGACTCCAGGCATAATACACAGGTAGACGGCATTGCGCTTGGATATGTTGTGCCTCGAAGTACCTTCGGAACTGCACCCCGGAAATCCCACGATGAAGCTACACCAAACGCCGTCTCCGGGGGACTTACAAGTGGCTCAAGCCAAAACTCACCGCTACGGCGCAGATTAGCTCGTTTTATCGTCCAATCCAGGAGTGCAATCACGCTTTCTCGGCATTTTTTCTCTCCCTTTAGTTTCCATCATCATCATCAAATTCAAGTATGCTCTTCTTGCATTTTCTTTGATCGAGAGACCGTAGGCATTGTGTATCTGCCTAGTTCTGCAGAGTGAGGGACGAAGCTTGACTATGATGCATAGATATATTTTATAGAACCGATCTTGTGAAACATGAAACGTCTTGCGGGCTTCCTTGCCGGATCAAAGTGCGCAGCGATGCCCGTTGAAAGAGGAGTTGGGCTATTATTGAGCCCTTTGTTCGAGCTCCTTCTGACCAACCCATTCAATCCGGGAGACACCGGCCTTTTCAGAACTCCTAAAACATGTTCATATCGCTCAGAAAGAAACAGCGGAAAGATCAATAAAGAATAAGAGGGGGGAGAAAGTGTACATACGGTCTTTCTCCTCCATCTAACAGGTCAGGCCCCATGCAAGCAAACATGATTTGCACCTCCATTGCATGGCCCGTTCCATCGACCCTCGCCCTCTTGATACCTTTCTTTGACAGATTATTCCATTAACATAGAAACCGTTTGTTCGAAACAACTGCCTACATCCCCTGTCTGCAAGGCGGCCTGGTTGTCCCTGTGAGTTGCCGTGCGTTTTCCTTGTCTAGTCATCTGGAAACAATGAGACAGGGCGTCGCAGAAGCCTGTTTGTGGCGATTGGAGATGAAGAGACATGAGTGTTTTAGGCGTATTGTCATAGGAGATGGAGGGTGTCGGGCTCTCCGAGGAGAGGAGAGAGAAACCAGGAGTTGACGTTCGTGATGGTGGCTTCTGGGGATTTATTCTTGCTCTTTGTTGAACTCAGATATATCTAGTAACTTGGATCTCTCAACACAAGTTCCCAACTTTTTCAAGATGGCCCAGCATTCGTCGTTCAAGAAGACCCACGCACTGTTACAACGGCCTGCTTCATTTCGCCAATCTGTGTATCATTTCCTATCATCTCCGAGATGGTCTTCGGTTGCCGTCGTCGTGCCCTAGCACCCAGCCCTCCCCGTCCCACCTGCATGCTCAAGGGCTGCAACAGACGCGCCTTGAAATGCGACACCAAGTCTCCGGGAACCACTCTTCTCTCGTACTACTGCAGCGATCGTAAGTCCAATCCCGCCATTTCCGCTTCACGCTCTACGAAAATTTGATATGCGTTAACAGGAAATGCAGATGCTTGTCGACAACGTCTGGGGGATGGTATGTGCCCTACGCCCAAAGACGCTGGCGCCGGGCGTTACTGCGATGATCGTAGGTCGACATTGTGTTCTTTTTTGATATTGCTAGCACCATTTGTCTTCTTCTAAACGAGATTATAGACCGGCGATGTCATGCCGAGGGCTGCTCGAAACCTAGGATATGCGGAGATAGCAACCCGTACTACCAATACTGCACCAAACGCAAGTTCCTCCTGGCTTCCCCACGACTCTACATCAACCAGGGAAAACGCGCCATCCGATCCAGATCGGACAACTAACACTAGATTTTTGGGAAAGCAGATACGTGCTACCTACGCCCCTGCGAGAAGAAACGCTCCCCAGGTTCAAAAATGTGCGACACGCACACTCCCCGATGCCTCATCCCCGAATGCGGAAACCCCTCTTCCGACAACGGCGTGTATTGCCCCTCTCACAGCTGTCTTGAAACTGAATGCGACGGCGTCATCTACGGCGGCGGGTGGTGCAAGAATCACAAGACGTGCAAGGTTGCGGGTTGTAAGGGTGGGAAGTTTGCGCTCGTGGTGCCGGAGGGTAAGGGTGAGAAGGACTTGTGCGCCATCCGTGAGTTAACCCCAGGGCCTCCTTTGGGGGGTTAATCTGGAAGAGAAATATACTAAAGCATTGGAAGACATGCCTAGGAAATGTCTCGTCGACGACTGCGATGCGAAAACGACAGGTGAAGCTCCGTTCTGCGAGAAGCATAAATGCGGATATCCGCCCTGCCAGAAACCTCGACACTCGACCAAGAAAAGCCTCTTTTGCAAGTCCCGTATGTCCAACAACCGCTACGTCTCCCCTGACAAAGAAGGAAAGAAAGACACTAACCTTTTCTCTCTTCGACAACAGACACCTGCACCCTCACCACCTGCACCAACCAAACCTCCCTCCCCCAAGATCCAGCCTCCAAATTCTGCACCTCCCACTCCTGCCTACCCCCTTGCCCCCATCCCACCAAGCCCAACAGCCCCCTCTGCGCAATCCACTCCTGCATCCGCGAAAACTGCCCCTCCCCACGCACCCTCGATCCCCTCGTCGACCCGGAAGCGCAGTACTGCGCGTCCCACGAATGCGCTTCCCCTACCTGCCATCTCCCGCGGGCTTCCCCCTTCGTCGCGTACTGCGAGGCTAAGCACGCGTGTCCCATCGAGGGATGTCCGAGAGTTAGGGAGGATCATTCCCCGTGCTGTGGGGTGCACATCGCTTGGGTGGTTCGGCGGTTGAATGACGAGTTGAGGGTCAAGGACGAACGGCGTGACTATGGGCATGGGGTTGGGCTGGGGCTGGGGAGTCTGGGGAGGAATAGAGAGGGAATGGAGACGGCGGTTCAGGAGATGTTGAACATGAGGCTTGAGGAGGAGAATGAGAGGTTGGAAAACATGGCGAGGGCTGGGGGTAAGTGGGATGAGGAGGATGTTTGGGGGAGGAGAGGGAGGAGGGAGAGGAGTTTGGATAGTGGGCTTGGGAGTGAGATGTCTTCTGGCACGTCGAGGACCTATGTGTCTTGATCAATCTGGTTTCTTTTCTTTTCTTTTTTTCAGTATTTTTTTTTTTTTCTCTTTTCCCCCTTCGGGTCGGGGAAAGGAGATTTCTCTCCATCAGCCAGCTCTCTCCACGGCTGGATTGTTGGACAGTTTGGGCGATAATAGATTTCAATTGCTGAAAACATTTACCTTTGCCATAAAATCGGATTTTCGAGATGGCTATTGGCCTGAGAGATTCAACACACACATTGATCTGATCTGCGATCAACGCCGGCGATCTCTCGGCTCCCAATTCACGCCCTCGTCGCCTTCGTCTGATTATCCTCCGTTCTGCATCCCCGCATGGCCCGACATCGCTTCCGCCTTCATCACGCATCCTGCGAAAGACAGCGAGCATGAAGTCATAAAGGCCGCAGGAGAGACATTAACAGACCAATCCAATCGACGACCACAACTCGAACCTATCAGGCCAGCGCAGAGCATCCCGCATTGGCTTCCCCCCGGTCACGGGTCACTAGGTCCCGCCTCGTATTCTTTGCCCCCTTCATGTTTACCACAACATTCTTGCATTTCCCATTCTTTTTGACCTGTCCCCATCCCTGGCCTGATGAAAGCACTGGGAGCAAATCGGAGGAACAGACGCACGCACCGTGTTTTTCTTTCCGCGCTCCGTGGTTCCGAAGTGTTCTCTCTGTGGAGTGATGATCGGTCTAGCCCGTCTGGGACCCGACCATCGACGCTAGAGACTGAACTGGCATGGGCTTTGTCTGTGATACGAAGGGAGGGAAAAGAAGGTGACCGGGATCAGAAGAGAGAGAGAGCATGGTTCTATTTTTGGCAACACGCCAGCTCAAACGTTCAACTTCCAACCTCTCTCTACGAAGTCCACGACGTCTATCCTTCCAGGTGCTTCTCATCTTTCATCCTGCCTCGTAGACATCTGATCTCAGATTCGAACCATCTCGACCATCATTGGATGGGCCATTCTGGCATTGCTGTCGTGGTGGAGCGATGCTCACTCAGAATCCATCTCATTCGGTATATTAATTTTCCAACATCATCGTCATCATCATCACCATCATCATCCCCAGCGAGGCGTATTCCCACGCCCATCTCATTCCCCTCTCCAAGCCAAGCCTCGGTTCCACACCTCCCTCCATCACGACGTTGTCAAGACCCTTGAAAGAAGTTTTGGGCAGTAAGACGATTACTATTCTCGGGAAAGAACGAGCACCGGACGATTACTATTCACTCAACTCCCTTCTTTTGTTTCTCTCCTTTCTTTCCACTAGTGTACTCCGCTACGTTTCCCCCATTCCTTGCGTCAATCCGCTTTTAGCCCATTTGCCTCGTTTTTCAGCCGTGGCGTCCCATCCGGTCCTTCAAAAGGTTCCGAGTGCCGAACCTTAAACCCATCACAGCCCCCAACATCAGAACCGAAGCTCATCGCCAGAAACGACGATAGGTCGACAATAGATACCATGGCCAAAACCGGGCATAAAAATGGAAGACCAAAAAACTAGAGTGCAAGAAATAACATGCTTTTCTACCTCTCTCTTTTCTTTTTGCCGTACCCCGAATGTCTCGCTACTCCGCACACACGCCACCACCCATCCAAGTTTCTTGGCCGGAACCCATTGCCTTCCAAGGCTGCATGGCCAACCCTCCACTCGGGGAATCTTGCCGTCTTATGCCCACTTGCTTAGCTTCAAGCTAGGAGCTGAGATGAGAGGAAAAGGAAGTGCCTTACTTCGCTTTCGTTAGTGATCGGCGTTTACAAGCTGAGTAGCCAGTGGATGTTTTGCCGTGTCGTGTTGTAGTGGAGCTATTCCATACGAACGATCCGGTGAGCAGGTAGCGAGATCCCCGCAATGGACAACCTTTCGGGTTTCTAAATTCCTTCTCAGCCTGAGTGCCTGCGCCCAGTTGGGACATCATACGGTCTATAGCTTATTGGTTATATGCCCTATATGCTCAGGACTAAGATCACCGTGAGAAGCCTTTTCGTAAACTCTCCTCTCTGGCGTCTCTGGTTCACATTACCCGCCGTCTTAAAAAATAAGGACGGCTGAGGCGCCCCGTCATGAGAGCATGGCCCAATACCGTAGACTTGTAGATCCGTCATGACCCCATGCCCAGGAGATGTCCGAGGTAAATCTTCTACCTGTTCCGTTACAGTCTCGAGATCCAGGGCCTGCCCAAAAATCCGGTACAAGCCGCCACAGCTAGTCACCCCATACAATTGTAGCCCCCGTTTCCCGGCCTAGAGCTACCCAGATCCAGCATCCATGTTAGCTTAGAACACCTCGTTCAACGGAAAACAAAAGTTTCCTTCCATTGCAACGTCGGCTAACCCCCTTCGATCCAATGGAACAGAATACCCGTGCGCTTCCCCGTATTGGAGCAGACCCAAGAACAACACACCCCTCCTCCTCATGATCTTGGTGCTCGTCTCGCCCGTATCCCCGTACCCGGTGGATCAACACAAGGTCAGATGTAAACCGCCCTCTCGGCTTAGGCGACACCTCTGCCCCCTCCCCGCAAGATCGGCCCCAAAAAGGAGAAGCTAAGCTTAAGGCGGGGACATGGTTGAAGAAAGCCGCAGAGCCGGGCTACATACACGAGGTAGCCAAGCTGCATCGCCATGCAAGCCCATCCACATCTCCCTTGACAATGACGTCTCGAGATGCCGTATCCGGGCCAGCTAGGCAACCCTTCCGCATCTAGCCCAATGGCTCTTCATCACCTCTTCAGCATCATTCCGCTTCATGTCCTTCCCTCGAATGTCTATATAAACCACCCTCCTCTTCTCTCTTCAACCTCTCTGTTCCTTCTTTCCTCATCACAACAAACAATCCACTCTCTCAAGACTCGTCTTAAGAAACTCACAACACTCACTTCCAAACACAAACTTCCCGAGGACCTTCCAGTCTTTCAATACCCACCTCCAAGATGTACTTCAAGACCATCGTCCTCTCCACCTTCGCGGCTCTCGCCCTCGCCAACCCTCTCACCCCTCCTGCCAAGTGCAAGCCCGCCACCTACGCTTGTGCCAAGAACAGCCAATCCGGTGTTCCTGGCTGGCAGATCTGCGATACCCAGGGTGTCTGGCAGGTAAGATATACCCTTCCCATCTTTCTCCCCCTTCCCCTTCTCCTACATCCAAGTAAAAAGAAAGACGACTAACATCGGATATCATTTCAGTACGGCGGTGACTGCCCCCCCAAGACCACCTGCTACTTCAACGAGGTCAACCAGTCCCCTTACTGCATCTAATCGACCTCTTCACTCCCTCTCTATCTCCTCTCTCTTTCTTCCTCTCTCTCCTTGATAAACGACGCGGTTATCCCTTTCGGCATGAACAAAGTATCGGTCCATTAGATCTACTTTCGACACATTGAACGCGGAACTCGGTTTAACGAAACTTTCCTTTTCTCACCTTTTATGACTTCGGGATAGGCCTTTTTTTCTTCAAAAAGAGAAGATTCTCTTTTGGGTTTCACCATGTTACCTTTTAACACCCCCAATGGACATACATGTTTGGGGGATTCTTAACTTTCCTTAATGACTTAATTAGAGACTCCCTCCTTTTTATGAGGCGATTCGGGATTTTGCATAGTATATAATATATTCATTCCTTCACACATATTTGGACCCATCACTGTTGGCCTCTGTAGCCGGGAGATGAGAGCTTGGGATAAATGCTGTCGCTGAACTAGAGCTCCTCAACCTAACTCCTCAAGTAAAGCAAGCTGCTTATGATCAACTTGGACGCTGGATCCCTATACTTCACTGGACGGAACACAATAGAGAACAACAACTGCATTTCAAGTCTAAGCACCCAAAGTACAAACAAAACTGACAAAGCCTGGCTGCCAGCTCATCACTCGCTGAATCCGGGGTGGTGCCAAATACGATGTGACTATTAAGGGGCAGAGCAAAAGTTACCACCAGCATTGATATCTTCAACCCCAAGGCATCCTGGGTGCTCAACAGAAGGAGGGAATGTATAACTCAACCTACAGCTTTCCCAGATTTCACAAAGCAATCAAAGAACACAATAGCAGGACAAACCTAAAAAATGTAACATCCTTCAACGGAAAGAAAAGAGAAAAGGAACTAGGAAATGATCTTTGATTGAATACACACAAAGCCCCTCCTCAGTTGCCACTCCGGGAGGTCATTTGCTTCGTTCAAAACATCTGAAGCTAGCAGATCAAAACCGGTCAAGAGCCTAGGCAGCCTTGTGTGTTTGTATTCCGCATAGTCATCATAATCCGAAAACGCCGAAAACCAGAGGAAATTCTCGTGTAAAAAAAAGAAAGAACCACATTTCGCTTAAGCCGTCTCGAAATCGCCAAAGGTGTTCTCGCCAGAGTACGTGATGTAGAGGAAACTATTATAATCATTACCATGTTAGCAGGGGGATCTTGAACATATGTGACGCGGCATAAAATGGAAGGTATTACGTACCCGTCCTCATCCTTGTGCTCGGCGTAGATGCTGCTCATGAGAGCGGCGGTGGGAGGCAGTACCTCATCGACGAAGATGAAGATGGCCTTCTCGGGCGAGAGCTTGATGCGCTTCCTGATCACGTAGACGAACTGGCCTACGGTGAGATCGGCGGGGACGAGATACTTCTTCTTGTCGATCGTGGCGATGTCACTCTTCTCGACCTTTTCGCAAATAACCTAGAAACACCATCCTCTCGTTAGCGAAATTTCCGTGGTTAATTTTTCATGCGTGTCACGGCGTCGTGGTGGATAGTGCTGAGTGCGGGAGAGCGGTGAGGCAGCCTGATGGGCGCTTCCGAGCCTTCCCAGACCGCCTCCCGCCTTATTGTCGTGAATGACTCCATGGAAGATGAGGGGGAAGATGAGGGCATGGACAAGAATGTCGAAACCGCGAGAGCGCGGTTCCAAGACAAGAGAGAGAATTAAAATGAAGGGTAAAATACGTACCGGAATGCGGTCGGCATACTTCTGTCGGATGCGCTCGGCCTCAGCCTTTCGCTTCTCGAAGGGGTGCTCGTCCTTGAACTTGGATCGCATCTTGGATGTGGTATCGGTGGATGATTCTAAATGTTTTATTTCTGTCTTTCGTGAAGCTGATGAGTTGAAGTTCGTTGTGTGAACGTTGAGAGAGGAGCAGGCACCTGAAGTAGTAAGATGGGTGAAAGGGGGGTTAGGTTGATGATGGATTGCGCAGGAACAGGTTTGGTGATGTCAGTGGGAAAGTAGTGGGTAAGGCGAAGGTTGCAGAAGTGGAAATGGGTAGGAATAAAGGGAAATGGCTTTGAGGGGCAGCCAAGCAAGCTGAGGCAGGAACATGAAGTCACACTTACGTACCTTGGGTGGAAGCAGGCAGCAGGCACAACTGGTATGAGGAAGGGAGCTTTCAGCACAGTGATGATAGTGGTAGACTCAGGTAGAGGATAGAAGGTGTACAAAGGCGGGTCAGGCTTGTCGAGGATATGACTGGAGTGCCTCGGTACTTTGAGGGTACTTCTATGGTATTCTACGACTAGGCGAGCATGCTTGAGGCTTGTGTCGCCAGTGCTGGCAGCCTGGCGCAGCTCCAGTCAGTTGTAGAATTGTACATTCGTACTGGGCAACGGAGATTACTGGATAGGCAGCAGGAGGGGAAGTGTGACAGAGGAGTGACTTCTATTGGCAAGTGCACTGAGGGGCAGAGCCAAGTCAATTGCACTTCGACTTGGGTAGGCCATCCTTGTTAGTCATACATGTGTTCCGTCCGCTTCGGTGTGACGGATTGGTTAGTCGGATTTGGCGGCACGGGCAGACCAAGCTGGTATCAAATCTGTCCAGTGCTGGAAGCGGGCGGAATCTTGAGCCTTGTCCAGGTGACTCCTTGGCCTGAGCTGTATCTGGCAGAATGACAATTCTGAGAGTCGCAGAGATGAGAGTCGTAGAGATGGTGACTGGGTCTTTCCCGAAACGTGCGAAAGTACAGAGTACACTGAATGATTGCCAATGACTCGCCACTTCGGACTCTGAGCACAGCCCAGGCTTGACATTGGACCTGGGTCTTGCTCGTGACCAAATCCGGTGTTATCCAACAGCGCCTGCCGCATTTGTCAACCCCCAAGGCTTAAGTCGTCATGCCAGGCACGTAACCCTGAACATTTAGTTTAAATCTTCTTGGCTCTTTGTAGATTAGGTTGAGAGAGAGACCTGTGGATGTGTCACGTGACACCCGCTTTGCTCAGCGTTTCCGGCTCCCAATGTTCCTGCCTCAGTGCCTGCAAGACATGTTATTATTTACAACCTAAATGCAAGTCCGAAGTATGACGGCACCTTCAAGGGACGGTGCTGGAAAGTGGCCTGGTCGTCGGAACTGCTATTGGGCCGGGGGACGGCCGGGGGGCAGCCGATCGACATGAATTTGATGAGAGAGCCTGACGCTCGAAAGAGTTTTACTATCACTCATACCCATTCCACGCAGTTAGTGCAGAATCAAAAGGAACCCTGGGTCTATCTTTGAAAGTAATCAAGTTAACTGTCGTTGATGTTGGGGTCTAGATGGATGCCGTGGAGGGGCCGTTTGGCGGGGTCGAAGCTTGGCAAATCGGAAGCAGTCTTTCACTTGCTGTCGTCAATTGAAGTTAAGCCGAACAAAAAGAGCAGAGGCCAGAGAATCACCCCCTCTTCGCTCCAAAATCCAGGAACCGTTCCCAGCCGCTGCAAGAAACAAAAAGGCATCGAATCCATCCGCCATTTCTTTTTGTCTCCTGACAATTTTCACAAGACAAAAGTCGGCGCGCTCCGCGGAAGATCATCCTCACCCCAACAAGTAAGCCACGAAAATTTGCAGCCAAAAGTGGCCCGATGGACACCTGCCTCTAGTGGCGACATCGTTCGATCTCCCCCCCCACCGCCCATTGGAACCTCTGCAGTTGAACCCTTCTGGAGCTCTCTGAAGCGGAGGGGAAATTCCATTTAAATACCGTGTTTCGCGTTCGATGCTCTCTCAACGCCAATTGATTTGGAAGCTTCCAAGCCGCCAGCTCAGGCCTTGTGCGACGCGTAGTGTAACAATCCCCCGCAGACCCTTCTCGACGATCAACCCGAGGTCGCCGAGTTCCTCCACGAACAATTCGTCTTTGCTAGCTACCATTGGTGCTGGAGTCGCAGTCTCTACTGCCGCAATTGCATTCACAATGGTAGGTAGCAGTTCTCCCAGTTCTACGGCCTTTACAAGCTCCAATTGGAGCCAATTGCTTTCTTGATGTCGTGTCCTAACTCGCATTTGTCTTTGTCTTGACCAGGCGACCCAAGAAGCCACGAAACTCGACATCAAGAAGCTCAAGCTCGCCGAGCGAGATGACGAAACCAAGGCGAACCAAGTCATCGACGAGTCTTCGCCCATGCGCCTCCGCATGGAGAAGTTCATCAAAGAGCAACAGAAAGTCATAGTCGCCGGCCTCGAAGAGCTCGACGGCCAAAAGTTCCGCACCGACGAATGGAAGCGTCCCGGCGGCGGCGGCGGCATCACCTGCGTCATCCAAGACGGAAACGTCTTCGAGAAGGGCGGCGTGGCCGTCAGCGTCGTCTACGGAACCCTGCCCAAGGCGGCCATCGCGTCGATGCACTCCAGCCACAAGTCCATTGCCGCCGACGCCGAGTCGCTCGATTTCTTCGCCGCGGGGCTGAGCATGGTGATTCATCCCAAGAACCCCATGGCGCCGACGGTACATCTGAACTACCGGTACTTCGAGACGTGTCGTGAGGACGGCACGAGCCAGGCCTGGTGGTTCGGCGGCGGCGAGGACTTGACGCCCAGCTATCTGTTCGAGGAGGATTGCGTGCACTTCCACCAGACGATCAAGGACGTGTGCGACAAGCACGACAAGAGCTACTACGCGCGCTTCAAGAAGTGGTGCGACGAGTACTTCTACATCAAGCACCGCGGCGAAGGCCGCGGCATCGGCGGCATCTTCTTCGACGACCTCGACGAGTCCGAGGCGAGCGCCGAGAAGACGTTCGCTTTCATCCAGGACGCCCTCAAGTCCTTCCTGCCCTCGTACATCCCCATCATGAAGAGGCGCAAGGACATGCCTTTCACCGAGGCCCAGAAGGAGTGGCAGCAGATTCGCAGGGGCCGCTACGTCGAGTTTAACCTCGTGCACGATCGCGGGACGCAGTTTGGGCTGAACACGCCCGGGTCGAGGGTGGAGAGCATCTTGATGAGTTTGCCTGTGACGGCGTCGTGGAAGTATATGCATTCGCCTGAGCCCGACACTCCAGAGCAGGAGTTGTTGGATGTTTTGAAGAATCCTAAGGAGTGGGTTTAGACAAAAGTGAAGGGGAAAAAAAATAGGTCCGGAACCTTGAATGTAACTCATATAGAAAGATATATGACCTGTATAATATATGAATGTAGTATGAAACCAACCCACGATGTCTTCTTCATGATTTGAGCACATGATGTGAACAATAGCGTGGATTTGATATCGATGTATGGCGATGGAATTATTACGCCCTTGCCCAAATTCATTTTCAATTTAGAGTCAAATTGCAGATCTGGGGGTTGACATCGACTTGTAGCTCCAACTCAAAACCACAACCACCCCATCTTACCTCACCAAATCTTCATCGCAACTTATCCTTCGACTTCGAATCTGCCCAAACTCAAGATCGAAGGCTATCAATGCCACAAAACCCTCCATCTCTCCCCTCCCCACGCACCTTCCTCACAACCCTCCTCTCTACTCTCACCGAAAACCCCGCCTCCACAAGGCACCCCTCCCCGCCATCAGCCCAAGACCAACCATCTCAGCCAGGAAACCCCCTCCAGGACGTCTCACCCGAAGCCAAAGGACTAATATCGACGCTCCACGTGCTATTCCCCACGCTCGTACTCCCAGCACTAGACCTTCTCGACCGTGGCCTCGTCACACGGATTTTCGTCCAAGATGCCAGCACGCGACAATCTACAGACCAGGCCGTGGAGGAGAATCAAAAACGCCAGGAGGAAAATACGAAACCGGAAATAGGCGGGACGTACATCGTCCGCTCCATCACTTCTACAATGCGAAGAAGAGCAGCCGAATCGAAATATTATCTCGTCCTACTCACTTCGTGGTCATGTTCCTGTCCCGCCTTCACCCTTGACGCTTTTCCCCCGAGAACAGCTGCGCCTCCGCTAGATATCCCGCGCTTCGCAGGACAGTTGTCTGATCGTGATGGAAGGGATTGGGAGTGGGAATTTGGCGGCTTAAGCTTTGATGGGCTACCGCCACGAGGTGGTAATGTTCCGTGCTGCAAGCATCTTCTTGCTTGTGTGCTTGCGGAGAGGTGGGGTTCGGTTCTTGGGAGATATGCGCCCGAGAGAGTGGTTACGAAGGAGGAAATGGCGGGCATGGTCGCTGAGCTGTAGAGGTGGTTTCCTCTTCTCATTGTCTTAGGAAGGATCATCTTGGCGTTGGCACCAATTGTTCATGTATTCACTGATTTGTAGCTCACCCCCATCTCACAGCGTGTGATAGGACACGATGGACAGACAGACCTGATCGTCAATTCACTACAAAAATATTATTTCTTGGCTGCATTGCAAAAAGTCCAACCCCCCAAAAACGAAGAGAAACAAGGACGGAAAAAATTGCCCACACCTGGGATCGAACCAGGGACCTCATCATTTCACTAGCTCGTACTAGTGATGCGCTCTACCACTGAGCTATACGGGCTTGTTGCTGGTATGCGTCGCCGCTTCAACAGGTTGTAAAGCTTCCGGGAACACGATTGGCAACAAAATTCACAGAAACTCGGCGATAATGTAGACGTCAGGAAGAATGGTAGAACAAGAGCGAGCAAACCTGCAAAGTTGGGGACAGAGCCCGACAATATTAAATACAGTGCCAAGCTAGATAAATCTATGGCAAGTACCATCCCTCCTCTAACCGGTCCCCTTGGTCCTCGATGTTTTCGGCTTCGTCTATACACTCATTCCCAACCGAGTCCGCTCCACTCACCAATAAACTCCACTCTCATTCATTCATCCCTTCACTTCCTCTTTTCCTTCTCCTTCTCTTTCTCCTTATCACCGCCTTCTTTACCCTTGGCCTCCTTTCCCTCTTTATTCTTCACCTTCTCCTCAGTCGGCTCCTTCTCCTTCTCCTTTTCCTCGTTATGCTGCTTGTTCTGTATCTTGTTTTCAATCAAGTCGTGGAAGGCAGTGATTGCCCTGATCAAGCTGCTGAGGTAAATCGACATGAGCTGGTCGTTGGTCTTGATGCCCATCGCATGGGACAACTCGCTGACGCCCGACTTGCCGTCGCCCTTGGGAGCCGTCAGGTTGGGTAGCAGGTTGAAAACGTCCTGCAGATTGCCGAGGATGGCATGGTTGATGGGAAGCTCCTTGTCGAGGACCTTTTGCAGGTAGGCACCGATCTCGCGGAGGCGGACGTGTAGGCCCTGGAGGGACTGGAGCTGGTTGGTTATGCGGGTGGACAAGGTACCGGCGGCGACGTCTCGGATGTCTCGTAGGAGGTGCTCGACACCGATTTCTTCGGCTTCTTCAGCTTCAATGACGGAGGGGGTGTGGACAAAGGTCCTCGAGGTGGTCGTTCCATCCTGTTTTGTTATTTAAGGTTAGTTGAGAAACTAAAAAAGTAGAGGGAAAAAGGCAGCAGCGCAAGGTAATCCTTACATCCTTAATCTCCTCGATGGCAAAGTAGGCGTCTGTAGGGACACCGGCCTCCTTGGGTTGCACGTCGATAATGACGAGCAAGGGGTTCGGTGTGTATCGCTTGAGAAGCTCGTTGATTTCGAGATCGGAGGCGCGGAGCTTAGGACCGGAGTGATACCATCCTATTAACTTTTCGCGGGCGTTGATCTTCTTGAACATGTCGTTCATGTTCTCGACGTAGTTATGGTCGAGGAACCACACGGATGGATCCTTGTCATCTTCTTCAAATGGTACTATTGGGATATGAGGGTTAGCTAGACGCCGTCGCTCCGGCGACACTCGCAAGCTTGGACAAGGCAAAGGAAACATACCAGCAAAGCTGTTGGAAACCCTCACGTTCTTTCCGTCATTCTGACCTAGGAGCACACCAACAACCCGCCTCTTGGAGCCCTTAACTACTGTGCGGTTGTAGTGGTCAACTGCAGAGAGGAGAACGAGGGGCGCTACGGAGACGCTGCGGGTGACGATGGAGAGGGTTTCGGCCGTTGTCGCGGGCATGGTGGGGATGTTGAGTGGAGGCTGAAGTTTGGGATTTCAGTAGGGAGCCGTCACCATAGAGAAACGGATGAATTGAAAACGTAGATGGTATCTGAGGACTCGAGGGCGGTCGTAATTTGGAAGGAGGATGGTTGGGGGTCGTTCAAGGCTGATTAGGAAGGCGAATCGTGATGGAGGTCAATCGTTAGCTGTTGTCGTGTGCTAAGGCTGCCTTGGAGCAACAATCAATGGTGGATTTCGCAGCACCTATGCAGCGGGCCAATCAGAGCCAGCGAAAGAGCACAAGCTCGAGCCTCGTCTGGGACCGCTAAACACACGTGACGTGGCGCAGTATATGTGGCTTGTGCCAAGAATGCTATTTCTGATTCTTTTTAGCGAGACGCTCGCCGAAATACACATCCGGTCGCTCAGGTCTAGCATATTAGGGAAGGGAAGAGCGTCATGAGTTTGCGCCCCATTTTCGACCTTGAAACTTATGGACACAGATTTCAAGACTCTGGACCTCGGAAAGTGCCTAACGACGTCGCAATTTGCAGCGGGGTTCTGGAGTAGAACCCAGGTGCGACAACAGACCAGGTCACCATCCCTCAAGTATAAGAATGCAAAGAAAGGGCGGCTCTTAATGGCAGGTGAGAAGGATTAAGCGCCTTGGGGCCGGGCGAGTTAATGTCAGAGTGTTTTTGAAGAGACTAAGTCTACCATAACATCCAAGGGCAGAGCTTCGAAAACTCGGCTTCTTCAACAGGTGCACCCTTCAGGCCTGGATTAACCTTGTCCCTCAACGCAGTCGCCTTCTCCCTACAATCTTTACTCTCCTCTTCCCTGCCCCTGTCCTCGTGAATCTGTGAGAGCTTGAAAAATGTCCTTGCACGCTGGCCCTCGCCTTCTACAAAAGTCTCCGAGATCGAGACCAATTCTTTCAGAAGCTCCCTACTCAAGTCAGTAAAACGAAGAATCCAATCGTTTTATATGTTCGCATACGAGAAAGGTAAAGCTCACATCGCGGCGCTGGTGTCCCCCTCTTGGAGGTGCATACAAGCCACATCATACATCGAATCACACGTCTTCAGCCGATTCCCCAACAGCTTTCTTCGGAATGACAGCGCCTTCGTCGCTAAATTCAGCGCATCCTTTGTCCGTCCCTGCCTGAGCCGAATTCTAGACAACACCACCATGTTCCCCGAATAGCGCGGGTTCCCCGTCGCCAAGAACACCTCGTCCGTCAAGCCATTTAGCGAAGGACACCGCGCCATCATCTCCTCGGCGTCGTCAGGCTTGCCCATGCGTAGAAGGAGGCATGACATGTTACTATACGAATTTTCGATACGATCGCTGTTCGCCTCCAGTCGCAGACGGATGGCTTCCTCGTGCGCTTCGTACGCCTGTTGGAGCTCGCCCATCTCGGTGTATGCGAGGGCGATGTTGTTGAGGCTATAGGCTATGAATGGGTCCTCTGGCCCGAGCCTGGCCTTCCTAATTTCCAGTGCCTGCTTGAATAGAGGTAAGGCTCGGGCAGCTTGCGCTAGGTCCAGATCTAAAAGGCCTCCGAGGTCGATGGCGCTAGCGTATTCGAGGGTTGTGGTGTCGTCAAAGGTAGAGATAGCTTGGTCGACCATTCCGCGGGCGATGGCATACATTTCCCGCTCATACAAGTACCTAACAGCAAACCAGACGTCAGCCAGGGCACTCTTGCCAACTGGCAATAGGGATTGAAAGACAAACCAAGCACAGCGCAGGAGTAGGTTTGCGTATTTTTCCTGGTTCCCGGCCTTCAGGGAGTGTTGCTTGGCGGCCGCCGTCAAATTGTAGATATGGGGTAGGCATTTTTCGCAGCGGCTCCACGTTGCAATCTGGTGGCCGATATCCTTGCTCGCATGGTCGGGAAATCCCCATGAAAGCATGTGCACAACGGCGTCAAAGTATCGGGCTCGATCCGCGTCCTCGATACGTCTGATGGCTGCCGTTTGGACGAGGCGGTGCACGGAGAGAAGTGCCTCATCGGCATCTCTCTCTATCAGCGCTACCCCGAGGAGTTCTTCGGTCGCGTCGCCGAGACTACGCGAGTTTGTAAAGGTCAGTACAGCAAGATGTTCGTTTTAGAGGTGCTGGGAGGGAATCTGACTTACTCCATATTGTCCGTGAGGAAGGAGAAATCATCGAGACCCTCGGCACCCTGTAATAAGATATCCTCCGATACACTATCTGGCTCAAAGAGCGCTAGAATGTTGAGTAAGATCGTTGAGTTCTCGGAGAGCTTAGCAAACGACATGTCCCACACCGTACTCAACGTATATTCATAATCGGTCCCCGCCGATTTCCACGCGTCAATTCTGAAGCGGTTGCGCTCATACAGGGGCAGGAAGTCCTTTAGCCGCATCCTGCGCTGGCCGATAAAGCCTCCCATTTGCGCGAGCGCCAGCGGCAGGCCGTCAAGAGCCTCGCTGATGGCTCTGCCTTCCTGGATCTCTTCCGGGGACGGTAACGATGGGCCGCCGATGGCTCCGAGTAGCATCTGGCTCCCAGCTTCTTCGCTAAGGACGCCGACATGGATGTATTGGGCAGCAGAATTAGTTGCGACGCCGAAATCGCGCGTCGTTATTAGGATGGAACCGTGGGTTGTTCCGGGCCAGGCCGTTCTCAGGATAGCCGCGTCGTCGACATTGTCGAATATGAGCAGCCATGAGGACTCTTTGATGCTATTTAGCACCTGGGAAATTCTATCCTTCAGTCAACGCACTTACTCGTTGAGCACAGCCAGTTCTTAACCTTCCATATCGCAGCGGCGGCATCTTCCCTATCGTCATCAGTGCCAAACAGGTTCAGGCCTTCCGCGACGGTTTTAAGGCTCTGACCCATCGAGTTGGCATTGTCGGCGGCGACCCAGAGCACGACGTCAAACTTGGCCAGGCTCTGATACGCAAACTGGATCGCAATCTGCGTCTTGCCCACGCCACCGAGGCCGAACAGGGCGAGCGACCTTTGCGACGCCAATCTTCCGTCGAGGTCTACGATGGCGGCGTCGGCCTTTTCCAATATGTCATCGCGGCCGCTAAACTTGGCGTTTATTGGATACGGGATGTTGTTATACCGTACCTTAGCCTCGCCCCCTATTTCCTTGACGGCTTTCATGGCATTCAGCAGATCCAGCACTTCCTTGTAATTCAACTCGTCCTTGACCATGCGCACCATGCGAGCCGTGTCGGCCTGGGTCTCCAAAGCCGGGGACATGTACCGGATGCGCATAATCGTGCGTGAAAGATCATCCTTGAAGGACTTCCATCCGACCTTGCGTAAGATGTCGTTCGGGTTCGCCCTCAGGAACTGAATCGCCCGTGCGTAGAAGCAGATGAGCTCGGTGTACACATCCATTAGCGTAGTTTGGAACGATCGGGCCATCGGCAGGATGTCCTTGTACCCATGTAATCGGGGAAGCGTAAGGCCGAGGTCCTCCAGCATGTCGAGCGCCTCCTGGAAGGCCTCGGCCGTGGATGAGGCGCGAGAGAGGATGAGGTGAATGCTCCCCCATATGGTGGCCGTGAGGGTCGCCTCGGCGCCGAAGCAGAGGGCTATCACGGCGGAGAAGTCGTCGACGAATTTGAGCTTTGGGGCCAGGCGGTTGAGAGAGGAGAGGCCAAGTTGATGGCGATGTGGGGCGGGTTGGAGGGATGTGAGGGAGTTGACGAGGTCCTCGAGGGAGTGGATGTTTTGGATGGCTTCCAAGTCTTCTGGACTTTCAAGTTCATCCCGGAAGTGCTCTAGAGCGCTGCTCCATAATGGGCTTGGGCTCGGGTTTCTCCCCGGCCGGCTGATAATAAGTGCGGCGTGTAAGCTGGAACATTCTTTTGAGCAAGGTTCTCGTCATGAGAACCGATTCAGGGCAAAGCCAGAAGGAAAGCACGCAAACTTACTCCTGGGCCGTTTTGGTGTCCTCCATTCTGAACGATACATGCAATTATTGCAAGCCCAAGTATGCAGCGAGACCTACGAAGTTATCGGCGTCTCTAAAAGCGCAGTTTTCCCCACTCATGAATGCTACCCCCATGTGGCCAATCAAGGACCAAACGGCCCGGCCCGCGATCCCGCAAGCCAATCAGGCGGTTTCTATAAACACCTAGGGCTTGCGTCGATCCATTCCTCCTGGCACTTTGCTAGTCAAAGCGAGACTGGCAACCTTCCCTCACTTGAGGAGCCGGCTGGTGAAGCTTCTCGCATTCGCGATGGGGAAGAAGCCGAGGGGTTTAAAGGAGATGTGGCTGGACGAGAGTGACTCGGCGTCTTGGATGACGTTTTGGACGGTGCTCATTATTGGGAGTTTGGGACTTTTTCTTTCCTTTGTTCAGACGGTCTTCCAGATCCTTCAGTATGTCGCGCCTCGAGAGGGGAAATGAAAAGGGATCCCGGAAGTCGATGGTGTACAATAATTATGAGCTATGAATATAATAGTGGGGAGTCCGGGACATTCCTCCTTAGACCTTCCTATCCGCCCAGCTCTGGATAACCCCCTCGACGGTGGGTTCGTATTCCCTGAGCACCACTTCATCTCCGTCCAGGAAGGTATTCGCATGCGTGAAGACGAGGGGCGGCGGCTTGTTCGCCAAAACAGCCTCTCGCCACTCTAGATACTCACCACAAACCTCGGAGAGGTCTTCGTAGTAGGCGCGACACGCCGTCACGTCCGCGGTGCAGCGGTACATGTGGAGTCGAAGAAGCATCTCGCCCAGCGCTGGCTTGCCGTGCGAGAGGATCCTGGACCTATTAACCCTTACAGTGAGACTTTGGGTTTGCTTGTCGTGTAGGATTGTCATGAGCCCGTCGCCTGCGCGGAGCAGGCATTTCAAGATTGCAAAGTGCGCCTGTGGTTCGTGGTTCGTGGGTCAGGGACAGAACAACAAAGAGGTGAACGGTGCGGCTTACCCGGCTGTGAGCTTGACCCCAGGTCTTCGTGAAGAGGTTGGTCGGTTAACATCACTCCAAGCACTATTTTGGAATAGCAAATAGGCAACCTACTCCGGTATCAACGTTGAAATTTGCCAGCCCTCTCAAGCCATCGACTCCTAACTGCTGATACAAGTTATACGTTACTGCTTCAACATTAGCAAGCGACCTTACCTCGCTCATCCAGATCAAGGACAACTTACAATCTCCGGCCGATATTTCACTCTCTTTCGTAAAGCCAAAGAGCTCCAACAGTTCCTCATCATCCATCAAATAAGCGCCTACAAGTTCCGCTCGACACTCATCCACCGTCGTAGCAAGATCCGCAAACTGCCCTGTCCAAGTCTGTCCAGGTTTGTACCAGGCCCGAATAGGCTCACCGGTGAGAGGGCTGATAGGCGGGTTGTTGATGTCAAAGTTGTACTTGCCGGGCGATTCCTCGACCATCATCTGGCCGGTGCCGTGGCCGAGGAGCTCGTGCAGGACGACCCACCAGTAATAGGCAGGGAACTTATGCTTCCGAAAGATCTCTACTTCGGATGTGTGGATGAAGGGGTACTGCAGCGCTTGAGATTCGATGTGCATGCGGTTGGATATGATGACATTCTTGAAGCCTGTTTCCTGGCGGATGTCGTTGTACTGCTCAGCCGGTCAGATTCAATGTAGAGGAACGACGAAGAGTAGCTTGTACTGACGTTGGGCAGGTTGATTCCTGGAAAGATGATGCTCGAGCAATAAGCGAGGGCTGAGCGTCGTTAGCGAAACTCCGTGAATCTATTTGAGAAGAAGCAAGTCTTGAACGCACAGTGGATGCTCGAAAAGTCTGGGGGCTCAAAGAGGCTTTTCTCAAATGGACCTTTCCCGTCATTTTCCTCACCCACGGCCCATGGCAACCGTCGAATAAATTTGACAGAATTACCAACAAGTTTCCGTAGAAGTCTTGTCTCTTCGTCATCAGCAATGGCCACTAGGCCCTCAAACTCGGCCCGTATACCGTAAGGGTCTCGATATGGCTCCACGAAGCCAAATATGTTTTCAACCCGCGGCGCCTTATCCTTCACCCACAACCTTAGCGAGTCACGGTATTCGTCCAGGCTGCCCGTTTGGAAACTATCAATATAAGCTGAGAGTACATCTTTCTGAATATCATTGGCGGCGTAAGTAACAGCTAGGAAGAGTTCAGAGCAAATGCTGGCTAGCTCTGCGGCGTGGTCGCCAGCGACGATCTGAACAGTTCTTTCTGGATCCAGGGAGAAGGATCGAGGCTTACCGGCCTGGACAGAGGCGAGGCGAACTGTATAAGTTAGGTCATCTTGCTTGGAGATTCTTGTGTTCTCTGGGTAGATGCCCTCTAGCTCAAGGAGTTTGGAGATACTCGAGATTTCCGCTTCGCTGAGGTTGCCGCTCGGATAGTAGTTGCTCTGGGCTGTATCACTGGGGTAGCCGAGTCCGTAGGGTGGAACAGAGAACATAGCGTCCGATATCTCCTCATAAAGGCTGGCAAGACGCTCCGACTTTGATGCGAGTGCCTCGACGACTTCCGGATCCACGGAAGGAATGAACTTTTGGTCTCCGGAGCCCTGTATCTTGTTTAGACATGCCAAGTATCAGCGGGAGTTTGAGAGGGAGCATACGGAGTAGTTCCCAACATTAGACAGGAACATGGCCGCATAGGTCAAGAACTTGTGAAGAGACCCTTTGGAGACATTATCATCAATGAACGTATCCCAGTCCCCGCCGCAGTGCGCGTGTAGCCCGAGGATAAAGTCGAAGATGGGAATGGATTCGGGTGAGACCTGACGCATGCAGATTCTCGCGCCATGCCACGCTGCTCTGTAGATTACATCCTGCGTTAGCCGATGATGTTGCAAGGCATTGGTCTAGATGAACGCTGTCAGTCGTACCGGGCCATGTGGTGGGCGTATCGCTTTTCCCGCCGACTTAAACTAGCGAACTGGGACTCAACCGCCAGCTTGAAGACTTGGACCTCTTGAACTGCCATGCTGAAATACTCGATTGAAAACGACCAGGTCGACTCAAAAGTGTTAAGGGTGGTCAAGAAAGTAGATCAATTGTCCATATCCCTCAGACCATTCATACCCCGCTGCTGCCCGTGGTTATTTATCTTGTGGCCCCCGCAAAGCTGTTGGTTTTTCTGAGCCTCTTAACCTGGTCATCCACAATGAACAAACAATTAAGATCATCGATTCCTCGTTAACGCATCATTTCCCCACCATGGCAGACATCACCAAGTTACCAAGGCCTATTATTCGAAAAATGAAGCATCACCAGATCCACTTCACTGACCACTCCGGAAACCCTGCATGCATTGTGTTCCTCGGTCGCGAAGATCGCCCTCTCCGTTCCTCTATACAGCCCCCGTTTATTTCACACATCCGCAAATATCCTGCGACGCAGTCGATGCTGCAGCGCTCTACGAAGCAGCTATGCAAGGAGGTCCATACGATAGTGAGCCCCGGATCCGTTTAGATCTGTTCTTCCTACCGGGTGCAACGGACGATGACTGCATGGAGCACTACTATGCCGAGAAGGCCAGCCGTGGTGATGTCAACCAGCACATCGCGGCCGTTGATAAAGATATCCGTCCGCCACCAGCTACGGAGGTTGCACCACGGCTCCCGGGCTTGGTAGATACATATCAGCATGAGATTAATTACTACCGAGGACTTATCATAGTCTGTGACCAGCTCGACTGGACGGCCGGAGAGCGTATGATACGTTTTGACCCAATTAGTGGTCCAGAGCTTGACGAGTTGGACGACCCGGAAGCAGGATCGCTGCCACCAAGGTGGGTTCGGGTGGTGACACTCGTGGCAAGCGAACGTGGCATTCCTAGCGTTCCTAGATCACAAGATGCGCCTGTAACCTTTGGTCTGGAAATATTTAGCATGTCGCATAGCCGGACACATAATGGGCTTCATGAGACATGGAGTCAGGCTGTCGAGCGGAGTTGGGTTAATTGGTAAATCCATCATCGTTTCTTAGGCGAAGATTTTGAGAATGGTCTTCCACTCGCCGGTCACCACCTCGGGGGAAGACTTCTCACCGTGAAATCAGCTCTATGAATTATTACAAAGCGCCTGTTTCATTGTTCAGCCTATCACTTCCGTTTCCTGAATATGCCGGTGATGTCAGTTCCAGATGCGTCCGACTATTTTTGAGACTCTCGCGGGGGTCTTCAAGAGTGCACGACGATAAGTGGGGGGGCACTAACCACCAAGACTTGAGTTCAGGAACGAATCAGTCTGCTCCTTGAGGTCACCAATTGCGATGTTAAATACGACCTTAGAGCACCAGCGGAGCCCTCGCAACAAAGGATCCCCAATAGACGGTAAACCGGAAATACGCTTCACTAAATACCCGCTCTAGCAGCATACTACTTCTTCCGGACGACCGCTCTCGAGGTCATGGAGGGAGGAGCGGAGAGAAGTCACCAAGAACCAATGAATGACCTTCTGATGTTCTGCAGGTACCCACGACGAGGCACTCTAAAGGCGAACTTGTCTTAGTTTCAAACTTGGAGGTAGCTTCGGCCGAAGACGGAAACATTTCTTCAGTCAAGACATGCACCAAAGCGGGTTGGTAAAGATGAAGGCACAGGTAAAAGACTCAAACCTAAGCGGATGGGGAGGCGGGCGTCTCAATGCTCGATGCTTTGTTCTCCGTACGAAGCACCTCGTCAGTTTTTTACAAACCAAACATTGAAGCTTTTGCTGAATTTGATGGGTGAGATGTTTGGATTAGGAACTGATTGGCGCAGTCGGGTACCTCGTACATTTCCTCAAGTACGAGTTCGCGCTAATTCCTTTGCAGTTGTGTTGGACTGTTGGCGTTGGGATAGGCTTGGATTTGGTGGGAAACTGTGGCGTGGCGCTCAGTGTCCTGTGCGGCTCATCTGCCGGTGAACTATTATAGCGAGCCTCAAGAGTCAGGGTGGGCTGGGGAGCAACTTGATGCTCAAAGCTCTTCTTGTACTTGGTAATCTGCGTGGTACTGAGGTATAATGCCATTAGATACGGGGTCGGATGAAACGGCAATCGGGACTGCTCAGATCAGGATTTTAACTCAAGCCGTTAAACCCTTGGCTGGCACTTGGGGATCCAGGAAAGGAACATGGCCTCCGATCGGACGTCTCGAGATAGCTTCGCTTAGCGCATATTAGAACAACCGCGGCTTCCCTCTGAACTGCCATCTGGAGCAGCCGCGGGCTAACGCATACGGATCTCGGTACGGATTGATGCATGAGCTGGTATAGATGCATACATGTGCAGTTTACGTGTAATGTACCTGCTTCTTTTAATATCCTGCGCAAGGGGCTTAAGATCTTGCATTTCTGCTCTGCTGTACTTCGTACCCATCTATGTAAGTACTTAAGACTGCTGGGGACAATTTCGGCAGAACAGAACTTGTCTGCAGTCAGCATCTGCTTCAGGAAAGATCAATGGTGCGGAGGACATGGAATGTCCTGTTCCCGTTGTTATGAATCAATATTCCCGAGCAGCGGCGATCGTGTCTTAAAAAAGACTTTACTGCTTCGGCATTCGGCCATGGGCAAATGTCGCAATGGGGGTCAATCCAAACCATATGACATCAAACAGGACCAATTCTGCACAATGTCCACGTCCATCAAGAATCAATTGAGGGCTCCAAGTTGTGATGGACTGGATCAATTGAGCAATGTCTCTTCAGCACTGGTCGCCACTGCTTTGCACGAAGTGGTGGACAGGACAGGGGCCCCTGTTCCTGCTCCATGTGCTGGTGCTTCCAGTACTTGACACGGGATAGAATAACTTTGTGGAGTAGCATCGAGTTGTACCCTTTCAAGATATTGAATACAGAAGGATACTTGTTATGGCCCGTGCTCTTCTGTAACACATCGTATTCCAAGTACTGGTCTTCAGCAGCTCCCCAAAAGCCTAAAATTCTCGCAGACAACAGAAAAACAAAAAGAAAAAGGGAAAAAAAAAAAAAAAAAAAAAAAAAAAAAGGAAGAAGCCACGGCAAAGCTCCGTTGTACCGACCAAAAAGAAATCGGAGTGTCAAATTCGGCGGTCCGACTTTGACCCCCAAAGTTGAAATCTATTTTCCCCAAACCGCTTGACGTGCTCTCGTCTTTTCCCTTCAATTCCTCTCCCCCCGTTCTCCTTTTCCCTCTTGCTCAGCCTTCAATTCCTCCCCTTAACGCATTCCCTTCCCCCTGGCCCATAAAACCCGTCGAACTCCTGCCCAAGCTTTTCCTGTCAGCTGCCGGTTTTCCTTGGCGAACAGGAAACTTCCCTCGGCTTGTTGTGTTCTCGACACTTTTGCCTTGCTACTCGGCAGCCTCTCTGTTAATTCCCTCCAAGGAATCAACATCCTGTTTTTCTCTTTTCCTTTTTTTTCGATAAAAGAAATACACATTCCGACAAAATGGGCCTCGTAGAAGACGAAGTTCAGCGATTACGCGACATTGTCAATGGCTTCGAGTCGCGTATCAAGAAGCTTGAGGAGAAGGCCCTTCTCGGCGGAACCGAGTCGCCCAAGACGACCGAGGAGATTCGAATGATTCTTATCGGTCCTCCCGGAGCTGGTTCGTTGTTTTCGCCTTCCTCCCATCGTGGACTCTTTGAAGTTCTCGTTGTTTTCCGGCAACTGTTGAGCTGACAATGGACGATTAAAAAATTAGGCAAGGGTACGCAAGCTCCCAAGATCAAGGAGAAGTTCAACTGCTGCCACTTGGTAAGTCCTATCATCCTTTAGCTCTCTTTGGACGTGCAATTGGGATCCACGGAAGACTAATTGGAGCTCTTTTGTTTCGTCTAGGCCACTGGCGACATGTTGCGATCCCAGGTTGCCAAGAAGACTCCTCTTGGTATCGAGGCGAAGAAGATCATGGATGCGGGTGGTCTCGTCAGCGACGACATCGTCATCGGCATGATCAAGCAGGAGCTCGAGACGAATAAGGAGTGCCAGGGAGGGTACGTTTAATATCTACCATCAACACTTCGTGCTATCCCCTGCCGAGGATCCTCTATCCTCATCAATTCGACTCCTATGAGCTAATACTAACTCCCAATCTCTTCCAGATTCATCCTCGACGGCTTCCCCCGTACCGTGCCCCAAGCCGAGGGCCTCGACTCCATGCTCAAGGCCCGCAACCAAAAGCTCCAACACGCCGTCGAGCTCCAAATCGACGACTCCCTCCTCGTCGCCCGCATCACCGGCCGCCTCATCCACCCTGCGTCCGGCCGCTCCTACCACACCACCTTCAACCCCCCCAAGGAGTACATGAAGGACGACATCACCGGCGAGGCCCTCGTCCAGCGCAGCGACGACAACGCCGACGCCCTCAAGAAGAGGCTGGTCACCTACCACAAGCAGACTACCCCCGTCGTGGAATACTACCAGAAGACGGGTATCTGGAGCGGTATCGATGCCTCGCAGCAGCCCGGGCAGGTGTGGAAGAATATGCTTGCTATTCTCGAGAAGAAGAGGAGTAACTAAAGGGGCCGCGCGCGGAGGAGAGAGGGGAGGGGGGCTGGTTGTGAGAGAGTGGTGGATGTTGGGCCATTCATGATTTTATGGTTTACGTCCCGGGAGAGGAAGGAAAAGGGGGTAAAGCTGCATCGCAGTGTCCGAAGAGCGGAGGTTTAATATTACGAGACTTTCCAGAGGTTTTCCGTACAACTTGGTTCGGAATGGAAAAAAGGGAACACCGGAAACAAAATAAGGAATACGGGAAAACCAAACTCGTGAAATCAAACCACGAGCGGGGTTTACTCAGGAGTTTTATGTTCTAGGTCACCAGCGGGAAACCCTGACGACATCTATGATGTACAGGCAATCTACAAAAAAAGAAGAGAAGGGAGGTCCAGCGCTCAGAGCCCAGCATACTCTTGGGAGCCTGACCAAGGGGGAGGGAAGAAAACAGACATTTGTATACTATCTTGTTCAACATTCTCTTATTCCTCCTTGTTTTTCTTGATTTTTTCGTGATGGAATGGAAGGATGGCGATGGGAGGTAGTTTTACAGATGGTGGTTTTTTTTCTAGCAGCGTGTAGGAATAGGCGTAAACCAGAGCTTGTTTCTTCCGTCCCTTGTTCGGATTCTTGACGCTCTTTCGGTGACGGTGATAAACGAGAACTAGAAGAGTGGAAGTGTCCATCTGAGTGATATTATAGGGATGTAGAAAATGTAATATATATCCATCCTACCCCTAACCACCAGCATACGGTACTCCCGTAGAGAGTATCCGCACCCATCGCTGCTCGTTTACTCCTCATCCAACTAACAAATATCAAGGGGAATAAGAAGAACGGGGAAAAAGAACAAGAAGAAAAGAGCCCCCTTCGCCATGCAGATAGAACTAACCAAACAAAAAAATCTAAAAGACAAAAAAAACGACGTAGTAAGAGCGAGTAGGAGTTGCGACCAAAGTATCTCTAACCATCATCTCCTCGGCGTAGCTAGAAACAACGAGGAACACATTCATGAGCAAGTCAAAGTCACCGACGACGAAAAGGTTCCGGGAAACAACATGAACTCACCATTCACTAGCTGCCGCTGCTTATTGAGCCAACTCCTCGGCGTATCGTGCCTCCTTTGAAGGACGACATGGTTGCTCTGCAGCCTGCTTGCCAGGTCATACCACGCCGACGTGATGAGGGCGTTCTCGCGCTGGAGGTTCCTAATTGTTTGTTCGGCGGCGGCCTTTTGGGGAAAAAAGGGAACAATTAGTATGGAGTGATCGGGTGGGAAGAACGCTTCTTTCCCACACATTGAGTCGGAACGAAAACAAAATATAGGGTCACACGGGTATAGCAACAAGTCTATCTATATCACGTATCAAGGAAACCGAGAAATAAAGGAGAAAAGGATTGGATATTCAAGATGAAAAAGAAAGAAGACACGTCGACATACCTTTTGCGACGCTGATGCACCGCCGGCCAAAGCGGTCTTGAGCTTGCGCTGAAGTTCGTACTTTTCCTGCTCGGCCTTTTCGAGTTGCTGTAAAACCCAACCAAGAACGAACAAATCAGTAATTCTATTCCCAACTAGAACGAAAAAAAAAAGAGTAAGGGAAAGGAAACACCAGACGACCGAGAGCACAACACTTGTAAGGCACCGCACTAGGTTCCGAAACGGAACCAAGGCTTCCTGCTCTTTTCGTGCACATGGGTCGCAACTTCATCATGCGTCCACCCAAACTCCAGAGGAGGATTCTTCGTAGGGGTGGAAGGGGGGGACGGATGCTCAACAAGGACAAAGGGTTGGAAGCGCATTACCTCTTGCCGCTGCCTGAGCCTATCGCGCAGCTTCTCAATCTTCTCCGAGGTCTTGTTAATCTCCTCGGCGATGACCTCGTCGGTGATGTTCTTATTCTCAACCGCGGGCTTCGAATCTCGGAGCGCCTCGATTTCCTTTTGGACCTTGTCCTTGGCGACAAAAGCCTCGAGAAGCTGGGTTCTTTGCAGCTCGATCTCGGACGTGAGTGACTTGACGCGCGTGCGGAGGGCGTCGAGTTCGTCCCTGAGAGAGGCTGATACGAGCTCGTCCGTGGCCTTGAGTTCTTCGAGGGCTTCGGTGCCGTCCTTGGACATGGCCGAGAGCTCCGTCCTCGCTACGAGGAGATCGCGCTCTTTATCGGCCACTTGAGTCTGAAGGTCGTTTGCGCGCTGAGCCTCGCGCTTGTGATCCATGTTCGCCTGTAGCAGCTGGGTCCGAAGCTCGTTGAATGCACGAGTCCTGTAAAAGTCTTCATTTAGCAAGTGATGGGACAGGGTAGCGAGTGTCTCGTTAAGCTGTTTCACTGACCCTTCACCAGCAGCGTCGTTGACGAGCGCAGTGATCTGATCCTGTGCCACCGAGTGTCTCTCGACAATCTCGGTGTACTTGTTTCGTAGTTCTTGGTACTTGCGCTGCTCTTCCTCGAGATCCGCGCGGAGTTGCGAGGTCTCGGTGGAACCCACTCCCCGCTTGAGGAGGGCGTTCTCGGCCTTTAGCCTGCTAAGTTCGAGCATGAGGCCGGGCATTTGCTGGGTGCCTTCAAGTTCCTGCTCGAGAGAGATGGCGCCGCCGGTGTGATCTGCGGCGATCTGAGAGCCCGCTTGCTCCTGGAGTTCGGCGATGAACTGTTCGTCATTCGATCTTAACTCCGTCAGGCGGGTGATTTCGTTGGCTAATGTTCTATTCGTTTCTTCTAGCATCCGCTTCTGGTTATTGAGGAGGAACAGAGTCTCCTCGGCTTGCGCATGGGAAGACCGAATTTCCTGCAGGGCTTGTTCGAGGGAAGTGTTCCTCTGGACTAATCTGTCGTAATCCGTCGTCTTTTTCAGCAGCTGATCCTTCTCGAATCGCAGATTTTGCACTTCGATGACGACCTTCTGCTGCTCCTCAAGTTTCCCTCTTAGTCTCTCGGCAGCATTCGCCTTTCTCTCGAGCTCTTGGCTTTTATACCGAAGCTCTTTAATCTCCTCATCTAGCTGCTTTGCACGGTCCGCTTCCGGTAATAATGTGGTAACATCCCTCTTGAGCTTCTCCGTCACGTCTTGCTGGGCTTTGACTTGGGCCTCCTGGCTGGTGATGAGCTCATCTTGCTCTTTGATCCTGTTCCTGAGGGCCTTGATAACCTGAGAGTCAGAGGCGCCATCTTCGGTTGCTTCGCGCAGCACGTAGAGCTCTTGTAAGTGTTCATCCGCTTCCACTTTCAACGACTCGTAGCTTTCCTGTAAGTGCTCCAACCGGCTAATGGTGTCAGCATGCTGCATCCTCGCAACCTTGAGCTTTTCGAGGAGTTCGGCACGCTCCGCCTCGAGAGCTAAAATGGCAGCCTCGAGTGTTTCGTCAGCATCGGTTTTATTAGTGGCCTTGGATCTCTCGCTTTCAATCTCTATGATAACCTGCTGAATCTCACGCATCGTGGTCTGCTCGAATTTGTCGGGCTCCTGCAGCCTTTTGACGTACTTGACCGGATCGGGGCCGAGGAAGGCGACGGCGATCATGGCGGAGATGAGCTGCGCGACGTCATTATTAAGCTTAGCATCTTCCGAATGCACGGTTTTAGTGGAAGAGCGAAGGGTTACTACCTTTGCTACGCTATCGGAGGTAGGGCCGTCGTCTAGGGAGTGAATATAAGTTCGCTTTGAGAGAAACTCGAGGTCGGGACACTCGCGGTGGATGAACTTGAAGAGGGCCTTGTGGATGGCCATGAGATTGTTCTTCCGGCCGAGGGATCGCGGCGCGGTTGTCGTCGTGGACAGGTCGAGGTCGGAGATATTGAAGGAAGGGTCGAGATCCTGGAGGACCTCGGCGAGGATGACGCCGTCTGCGAGATCGGCCAGTTGTTCAGCTTCATGTCTATTCGGGAAGCCATCGTTGATCTGCTCAGGTGGGAGGGCCCGTACCCATTGCGGTCAGCACATGTTCCTTTTCATATTGTTCTTCTTACCATCGTCCCTCTTCTCTGCCATACTCGGCGCGCGCTTTTGGCCGCGCTTGTGGAGGCAAAAGATGTACAGGTCACTTACCCATTTTAATAGCGCGTCCTGCGCGCCCTGACTGTAAGGCATCGTGGGGGATTCGGGGTGCCGCAAGAGGCCCTGCCGGCTCGGGGAATTTGGGCTGTACGAGGATGGGTACTAGCAGGTGCAGTTAACCTGGTCTCCGAACTGTTTCAAATGGGTGAGACCTCATGGATCAGGATCGAGATCTGGGTTCGGTTGATCGAGCTATCCTCTAGACGACGGCAACAGCCGCGCCTGCGATATAGATTTCGATAACGGGACCGGTATTAAAGGAGGGGAGGAGCGATAGAAAAAGACGGCGGGATGGTTGCTTGCTCAAGGTGGGAAGTTGTCGGGTAGCACGAGTCCAAAGACCGTTGCAAGTTGCAGATTGCAGCTCGGTCCAATCCGAAGTAATTTGATATCGAATTGCAGCACGGTATTGCTGGTGCGGGTCCCACCTCGCGCCGGTGCCCAATATGATGAATATGATAGTTATGAAACGCCAAATGTTAAATTGTCGATGGTGATTCAAGCGTATTTCGGTATTTCGCAGTGTACGAAGTAAGAAAGGTACACACGCGATAAGACTGCAAGGAAGCTGCAACCGGCGCGATTCGCGATTGGGGAGATTTAATGGCAAGATTTCGGGTGTCGGATGAAGGAAGCTTATTAGATCAAGTGTCTTGTTTAAGACAGCGACGAGATGGCCAGCCCACGATCCACGGACTAGGAGGGGGAGAAGCCATTAATATTACTAGAATTTCAGCATTGTTTCATTGTCATCGCAGAGCCATTGTTCGCTTGAATGGATCACGCAGAAGAGTAGGGAGGATCATCAAAGCCGCATTGTTCAGACGGTCACTGCTCCCGAGGATTGGTTCCCCTTGGCCCATGCAGTCAGGGCTACAAAGCACGACATTGATAACTTCAGACTGGTTCAATCCCGTCCATACAAGGTTCAACAATCAATTTTGCTCTGAATTCCATCTTGGACTTGACTTGGTCTTGTCTCTTCACTCTTTGTCACCTTGGGATGCGTTCAATCCGTTCAAGAATCATCATTTAACGGCCTTCATGCAAACTAAGGTGACAATGCGTCTTGATTGGACTGATTTCATTTCCTTCTAGAAACAAAAGTGGCTGCAGGGTCCCTGGGTTCATTAACGAGCTTGCATAAATCCCGCCACCCGAGTGTGTATGAAAGAGGGACGGATCAAAGGCGGGACAAACGAGAGGAATTTGACTGGAACTTGGTCCCTTAATATGGCTCATTCCTGACGAATATCGAGCAGAGAAACATGATTTGAGAAGCCGTTCTTTTGTTTGTAGCTAAGCTTCTCTATTGATTTGAGGAAACAAAATTCATCGGATGGATCTTCTCAATTTCCCCCAAACCGGCATGTCGCAGTAACCAATTAGTAAATAATACTCGCTCCGCTAGTTCTTCACTGGCCAAGCCCAAGCCGACGCTACAGCGACGAATTTTCTACAGGGGCGGGCCACCGCGCTAGAGTCTGGGCCTGGCGCCAAGGACATCTGAAGAACTGGTGGCGAACGTTGAACCTGTGTGTCGTGTGCTCTCAACCACGTAACGTCTGCTTGGTACACTAGGCAGCGATTTAGAGGCTGAGCCTATCACATGCTTCTTCTCATACCGAACGCAATAGACGACAAAGTTCTGATCTCGTCTTCTGTTAAAGCCACCTTACAACATTGCGAGAGTGGACGCTTTCACTGAGAGTGGAGATGGACATGCCTACGAATCTTTAACGACTAAGGAGCAAGTATCCAGGTTTCATTCCCAAACTAGATAAATATATGCCATTCGCTCAACGCCGCCAGGAGAAGGAAGAAATAAACAAGTAAAATGACCGCATAAGAGTATCCGTCCTAATCATCATTTGCTTGTCCGGCCGCATCGGACGCCGCTGTCTTGGACTGCAAGCACGGCTTCAGGACCAGTCCACGACCATAGACGGATTATCGTGTTCTCATGATTCCTGTTCGTAAACCCGAAAAACCATCTTGTCAAAAGAGAGGCAATTGGGGCCGCGATATCGTCGAGTGATAGCCCTAGTTCGTGATGGTAACCTTCTGGTCCTCCTCAATCGTGATGTAGTTACCGCCCCACTTCTGGATAGTGTCGACGACGTCAGAGGAAACGATGGCGTGGAAGCCGCTGCGCTGCCGTTAGCACCGAGGACGACAAACGAACAAAAACGAGAAATCACATCCATCCTCCCAGCGAGACTCGCAGAGGGACCAGCAGTACTCGGGATAAAACCTACTTGATAAACTTGAACTCGTGCGTAATCTTGCCACCCGCCTTGTAAATCGCATCCTTCGCCTGATCGATCAAGCTGTTGACACTAGGTGTATCGCGGTTGTATGTGACGAGAACCGACTTCTCGACGCCGACGGAGAGGGCACCGGGGACGAGGGCGAGAGCGCCGGCGAGAATGGTAAGAGGACGCATGTTTCAAACGTGAGCTGCGTAAGGCAGTCGATTAAGCTGAGTAAAGGGTATGTCGGGTTTGCGGTTCAATAACGACGATTTGTTTCGGTCCGCTATCGTCGGAAATGTGCGTTCGAGTTGACTGTTTCGCACGTAGGAAGTATGTTGTTCGGTAAGTGGTGAGGTTGGGAGCAAGTGAAAGGTGATGATGTGGACATGGAGTAGATGACGGATGATGCTCCTTATCCAGCTGCCTTATCGAGAAACAAACGCGGAATTTACCGAAATGGAGGGAGGGGTACTTATGCATCACGCCATTACAACTGTCAGCACCTGGCTTTCCGTAAACGGTAGGTGCAAGCTTAATCCTTCCAACATCACCAACCTGATTCAGCAATATTGATTCAATCCACTGAAGACGCCATGTTGATTCATGTTTCTGGGGTAATCAAGGATATAATAGCGATTTGCGATGATATGGCAAGACCTTCCAACCGAGCCGCTTAAGCTTTTTTGTTGCCCTTTTCATATTGATTAATCTTTACTTCCTTGTCAGCCTACAGGTCCAGGGTTTTATATTATACGAATGCTTATTATTAGTATTAACTATTGAGTCGTGTTCACTCCTGAATGCTTAGAAAGTAGAAGGCGCTCGAGGAACATAACTCAATCGGGGACAAGAACGTCACTAACCGATGAGCCTTGCGAAGCCGAGAGATATTCCTTCAGCTCTTCGTAGTACTGGGACGACTCTCTGTCTCACCCCATACGTCCTTGCTTTCTTGCTCAACCGCCTTCATGGCAACGGCAACTTCACCGAGCTTCGCCACGACGTCGAGCACTCCCTGATTAACCCGCTGAAAGTATTGGTCGTTCGCCTCACGCCTCTTCCTGGCCAGTAAAATATCCACCTCCGTCTCCTCCTCCAGCTTAGCCTCAAGTCGCTCCACATCAGCACCGCTACTTCCCGGTCGCGCCGCGCTATTCGTACCAGTAGTCTTAAGCGTATCCGCAGCCTCGCCCCCGGATTTGGTAGCATCAACCAGTCCGGTACCTTTCAGATTGCGCAGCTCCTCGGTGCCGGTAGCTGCCCCTGTCTCTTTGACCGTCTCGATGACGTCGTCGGCCTCGCTGCGAGCCCAAGCCTGAGCCAACGTTATCTGCGCTGCCCTCAACTCGGCGAGCTTCCGGTCGTGGTCCGGTCCGAAGACGTGCGTGCCTCCCGATGCTGAGAGCTCTACCTCTTCTAGCGTCGCCTGCATCTCGGCCCAGAGAGCGTCGGTCCTGTCGACGCTGCGGGAACTGTCACCTGTCTTGAGAGTCCGGATGGGTCTGCTCGGTATCGCGGGCACGAGAGATCCGCCGGCCGCAGACGCGACATTTCGTTGCGTCGCTGTTTGACTAGCTAAAGGAGCTGGTCGAGCTGAGGCTGAGGGAGTGGCCGCAGGGGCGGCGAGTATACCGGGGAGCGTCGCATGGGAGGCCGACGGGGATGGGTGCAGGAAGAGACTGGGGGGAGGGTTACGCTGTTTGCCCTTGCTCTTCGGTAGTTGAGACATGGCTACATTTTGGACCGACACCGTTTGCCCCGTCCAAGCTCAGAGCGTTTGCGTGCACAGTCAAAGATTATGAAATGGGCTTGAGTCGGTGTAGCATATTCAATTGCAGGCAAGGTAAACTACTTCGTAAGGTCGGCGACAGCTGGAAGCTTGTTTGCTGAGTCATCAGACTGCCTGGAAAATGATAATCCGGGGCCGATTCTCACGCTTCCGCCTCAGGCAATTTCAAGTGGCTTGTTGTCTTAGCCCCACCCATTTTTCATAGGGTTTTTCGTGTGCCCTACCAAAATTCCCGTGACAAGACAGGTCAAATCTGGTGGTCGCAGCATCATCCACTAAACTTTTCCCCCTCGATCTCCCCAACAGCCACCCATCCAACCCATCACCACGAGTTTAGCAGGATAAACCAGTATGTAAAGCCATCCTCTCCGCCATTGACACTCATCTTCGCATAGCATTGCGATCTGTCCAATTCCCAAAAACCGTTCAGCGCGATCATTTCCCCCACCGACGAAATACACTCGCCTCGATCTTAAAGCATCATCCTTCAAGTCGCTGACCGTGTGATTTTTTTTTCTCCCTCCAGCAAACATGCCTCGTGGTCTCAACTCCGCCCGAAAGCTGCGGACTTACCGCAAGGACCAGAAATGGGCCGACCTTGCCTACAAGAAGCGAGCTCTTGGAACCGCCTTCAAGTCCTCGCCCTTCGGTGGTTCTTCCCACGCTAAGGGTATCGTGCTCGAGAAGATTGGTATCGAGGCCAAGCAGCCCAACTCCGCTATTCGAAAGTGTGTCCGTGTAAAGCTCATCAAGAACGGAAAGAACGTCACTGCTTTCGGTATGATCGTCCTCCCTGCGCCCGGGTCTCGTTCTCAACAACATTCTCGAGTGGCCAATCTAAGTCTTCCATGCTCGTTAAATTTGCTGACCAATTCCCCCATTCTAGTCCCCAACGATGGTTGTCTCAACTTCGTCGACGAGAACGATGAGGTCCTCCTTGCCGGTTTCGGTCGCAAGGGCAAGGCCAAGGGTGATATTCCCGGTGTCCGATTCAAGGTTGTCAAGGTTTCTGGTGTGGGTCTCCTCGCTCTATGGAAGGAGAAGAAAGAGAAGCCCAGGTCGTAAACGAAAGGAACGGGAATGAACTTGTCCATTTTGAGGAGTCATGGGTTGGTTTTCATTGGCATCTTTCTCGGCAAAAAGGGTGTCTAGAAGATTAAAAAAAATATAACACGACTATGATGTTTTGATCACACAAACGTCGAGCGTATTTTTCTGCCACGGCTCTCCAGTTTCCAAGTGTGCCTCGATTGGTCTAATTAAGAGTTTTTGTTTTTTAGATACAATGTTGTACAGTCTAACTTGGGTCTATGCCACGACAGGCACAGCTTCCTCCTTCTCTTCACGTTTCACATATCGTACAAGATAATCAGCAGCCAATCCCAAACTGATAGCGCCACCGGTGATCCAGCAGCCATTGACGAACCACCACCAACAATCCTTGACACTCTTGAGGTTGACCTTGCGGATCATATATCCGAGGGTTACTAGCGCGCCACCACAGCTACCGACGAAGTAGAGAGGACCAGCGCCCGACGCAACACCAGCGGCCGCCAGCAGACTTACTTGGACTAGACCGAGCCCCGTGAGAACCCGCTTAGTGTCGGCGTCATGCTTGACGGCCATACTCTTGATTCCGGCCTTGACGTCGTCCTTGCGGTCCATGTGCGCATAGATCATGTCGTAGAGGATGGTCCACGCAATGTTAGAGCCGTACAGGCAAGCGGCGGCCGTGAGAGCGGAAGAGCTGGAGAGGAGGTCGACGCCAAGGGCGGGGAAACCCATGATGGCGCCCCAAGAGAAAGTCAGGCCAAGAACGGCCTGAGGGTAGTACGTTACTCGCTTGGCGAGTGGGTACGTCGAAACAAGGAGCAAGCTGGGGATGCCATAGAAGAGGCAAGATGTGGGAAACTGGAGGAGGATTCCAAGACCAGCGAGAAGCTGCGCACCGGTGAATACGACGCCCTTGAAAGGAGTGACGGCCTTGCGAGCAATGGGCCGGAACTTTGTTCTCGTCACGTGAGGGTCGAGATTCCTATCCCAGAGGTCGTTAATGGTGCAGCCCGCGCCGCGCATGATGAGGGCGCCGGAGAAGAAGAGCGCCGTCGTTCCGATGATAGCACCAGGTGTCGCCATGGGGTCTACCATGGGAGCGGCCATGAGAGTCGAAAATAGACATGGGAAGAAGAGATAGTAGGTGCCCGTGGGCTTATCGAGGCGAATCAGCTCAGCATAAGGAACCCAGGACTTGGGAAGATAGGACAGGAGGCCGGTGGTGGGAGCCTTATAGACGTGCACGGATTCGCCCACTTTGGGCATTCCTGTCGTATCGAGGACCGTGGTGGGGGAAACCTTTGTTGAAAGAGCATACTTGGTCTCCTGAAAGTTCGCCGTTCGCCGCCCGGCCCGGTTCCGGGAGTGGGATCCACTTATCGCGAGGACAGATAGGGACGATGAGGGACCGGCGAGAGGCTTGGCGGTAATTCTGGAACGAGCTCGAGTGGACTGCGAAGAGTACCACCGGCGCGAGCATTGAGAGATATTGGCGAGCCGCATCGTGGGCTACAGGACACTGGCGCTTCACAGGGGTTCTTCAGACTCCGAGGTTCCCCGATGCTTGACGACTGGCCAGAATTAGATCGCCTTTCCTGGATAAGATTCTCAACAGATTAAAACCTGTAAAACGAATGCATACCTAGAGACTAGAAAGAGAGCCACCAGACCAATTGACGCGCCCTTCTAAACTTTGGCCGTGTCCTGCGTTGCGCGTGTCTAAAATTTGGCACCTGGGAAGACCGGAGATGGAAGCGCAGGAAAGAGCGACTTAGACACCGTTGGGGTGAAAATGGAAGGTTGAAGGATGACTAAGAAACCAGGTCGCAGTGTCCAATGAATGATTTCATCAGCCTTTCAACGTCTCGCCCACTTCAACGTCGCGTCTCCTCCACCTCATTCATCCATCAAATTAATAATTCATGGCACACTCCTCCTCCTACTTTGGTCGGAAATTGGCTCGCAACCAATCTTCTACACGGCGTCGCGCACTCGCCAACTTCCAAATGTGTCCATAGTGGGGGAATTCAGCCCGCTACTGAGCTGTGATTGTAGAACGCGTCCTCGACAGCGAACGAAGCTTGCCACCACATTCGAGCGTCGCCATCATGCCCGCCCCTATGCACCCCCAAGCGAAGTTCGACCCCATCCCGCCAGATTTAGACCTCCATGGCCTCGTTGAAAATACCCCGAACTTGAGCTGGGTCGTCCGTATCAGCACGGCGCAAATCCGGAATCTCAGCCAGCAGGAGTTCGAGAATCTGGTGAACATTCATGTGATTCAGCAGGGGCGGCCTCTCGTTATTTCGGGATGGGACGAAGTGCTTCCCAAAGATCTGTTTAGCGCCGAGTGGCTAGAGCAAACTTACGACAAGAAACGTATGTCCTAACCTTCGTTTTCCCGTTACTTACATCCCTTGCGGTCCACTTTTGAGTCGCCCACGACTGACGATCGCGAATGACCTGTGTAGAGGAAAATGTTCGCGATATCAACTCACAGAAAGATATTCCCATGACCCTCGGTCATTACATGCGGTCTATGAAACAACTCACGAAGCAATGGACTCCCACGAATTTTCGAGAAGAGCGCCGTCAGCGACTATACCTCAAGGATATCGATTGCCCTCCCGAGTGGCACGAGACTCTACAAAAGATCATCCCACCAAATATTTTTTACATGAACGAGAACATCACCGATAAAGGCGGGAACGAGTCCAATAACGGTAGAGATGGCGAGCTGTTCAGGACTCAGGTCCAGTCCGCGCCAGCGGGTGACCTCATGTCCAGCCTCCCGGAGCAGATGCGCGCTCAGAATCTCATGTGTTACGTCGGTCACGAGGGAACGTATACGCCTGCCCATCGCGAAATGTGCGCCAGTTTAGGCCAGAATATCATGGTCGAGGCATCCGGGACCGAAAACGACGAGAAACCCGGAAGCTCGATTTGGTTCATGACGGAAACCAAGGATCGCGAGGTTGTCCGTGAGTACTTTCTCTCTATGCTCGGTCACGACATTGAGATAGAGAAGCATTTTGCGCAAATCAATGCTTGGAAGAAGGCCACGTTTCCCGTATACGTGGTCGAGCAAAAGCCCGGCGATTTCATTCTTATCCCGCCCCTCGCCCCTCACCAAGTCTGGAACCGAGGCACGCGCACTATGAAGGTCGCTTGGAATCGAACGACGGTCGAGACTTTGGAAATGGCTATACGGGAAGCGCTCCCCAAGGCCAAGTTAGTGTGTCGGGACGAGCAATACAAGAACAAGGCCATTATCTACTACACTCTCAAGAAGTACGCTGCGGAGCTCTCCAAATCGGAAGAGAGCGATGAAATGGGGCTACTCGGACTTGACGCGGATCTTATCCGCACCTCACCAAGGACCGAGCAGCTTACCCGTGATTTCAGGCGGCTATTTGCCCTCTTCTCCGATATACTCACCGATGAGATGTTTGCGACAAAGGAAAAGGATGTGGAGTTTATACCGTTCGACTCTTGCATTACCTGCTCATACTGCCGCAGCAACATCTTCAATCGATTCCTTACATGCAAGCATTGTATTCGGCCTCTGCTTGACGGAGATGAGGATACGTACGATGTTTGCATGGAATGCTATGCCATGGGTCGCTCTTGTCTTTGTGTCTCGGGCCTTCGGTGGTGCGAGCAATGGAATTGGTCCGAACTGGTAGACAATTACGAACACTGGCGGACCATGATAATTCGGAGCGATGGCTTTGTCGATTTGGAGAATTCGCCGCTGCCCCTCGAACTCGCGCGTCGGCGCAGAGGCAAGAAGTCGCTCGCCCAGGTGTGCCAGGAGGCACTCAAGAGGCGCCCTTTCAAGGACATAACCAAGCCTGAACCCGAAAGAGTGCCGAGCGAGTCGGAACCAGAACTTGATGATGAGGGTCGGCCAAAGAAGAAGAAAAGGAGGAGAAAACCCAAGGTGGGCGAGACTCGACGCTGCCACGTCTGCTGCCACCCGGAATACACATACAAGGTGCAAATATGTTCCAATCCGGAATGCAGCGAGGCCTATTGTTATGGTGTGCTGTACAGAGCCTTCGATATGATGCCGCAAGCTGTGCAGGAGAGCGAGTATTGGGAATGTCCCAAGTGCCTGAAGATATGCAACTGCGGAGGTTGCCGACGGTCAGGTGCCACGCAACCGTATGTGCCTAGGAATACTCTGCTTGGGCATGATACTCGGCCGATTGCCGATGATCGAAGCGTTGAGGTCCTTGTCGATTTCCGGATGCATAATCTCACCTGGCTCAAGGTCATGGGCGAGGAGAGCCGAAGCAATAATAGCAGGCGCATGCAGCGTCTGCGAGAGCAGGCTGACATTGCCAAGTCCCAGGATCCAGGTTTGGTGACGAACGAAGTCCTGTCTCAGGAAGCCCAGAACGTTGCCGGTCCTCCACTTCTGCCTCCCCCGTCGACCAACGGTCATAACGCTGACAATGACGGGGACGTGGAAATGACGGGTAACGGTCATGTTATTGCAGATGACCACCTTGGACCAGATGTGATTAGACCAGAAGGTCCTACTCTACCGCCTGATCACCCGCTTGCCCTTGTTGAAGCAGCGCTTTTGGAAGAGGGTGACACGTCAACGTCATACCCCGATCCTTCAATGATGGGTCCTCAGCGCATGATTGGTATGGGTTACTACGAGCAGGATGACAGTCCAGATAAGATTCTCTTTGACCCCTACCAGATGCCGACCGCTGAGAGCATGGTCTTGGACGAGCCGGATGTCCCCGAGTATCTTAAGAAGTCTATTAGGGCGCTCAAGCGCAAGGCTCGACAAGAAAACGAAGATCCAGAGTTTAAGATTCGCCCCCGTTACGAAAGGAAGAAGCCGAGGAGGGATCCCCACGAAATTGAATTCATCGAGGTTGATCCGGCGCTGTTTGCCACGCCTAGACGAAAGGCAGCGGAGGCGAACCATGGGGAGGCTGCCTCTGCTAGTAACGGTGCCAATGTCGCGGGAGATTCCGAGGCTGGCAGTAGCGTTGGCGAGGAGGAGGCCGATGAGATCTACAGACCCTCTCTTCGTGGAGCGAAACCCCTTCATTCATATGCGGACTTTGATGATCTGGATGAACTCCTAGACGACCCCAACAACCTTGTACCCGCACGCGAGCCAGGTGAACCACCGCGACGCCCACGGCCTAGAGAGCCCACGAACGGGGCCACACCTACACCTAAGAAACGGGGCAGGCCGCCACGAAGCGCCAATGCAGCGACGACTAGTCCTGCAACCGGTTCACCGGCGGCGGAGGGCACTTTACCTAGGAAGCGCGGGCGACCCAAGTCGAGGCTTAGCAATGTGGTCTCCGCCGCTGATGCAGACGCTGAAGCCGCCGAACTTACGACCGCCCCGCTAGCTACTATGGAGACTGTGGAAGCGGATGACTACAAGACGCTTGATGATGAGCTGCAGGTGCTCGCGGCTGATCTGGAAAAGGAACTTGAGAGAGACTTGGGGCACAACGTCGATGATGCGGAAGAAGTAAATGAAAGCGTCGAGCGTAGCGTTTCCGGTTCTGTCGACATGACGGGGGCGGTCAATCCCGTCCCAGTAAAGCGAAGACCCGGCCGACCTAGGCGCTCGGAAACTAGTGTTAGCGTCCTTTCGCAATTTGAGGAACAGGCGGGGCCCGTTGTTAAGAGACCTCGAGGTCGTCCTCGTCGCTCCGAAACTGCGCCCTTGCGAGATTCGTCTCGATCACCTTCGGCGCCTACTGAGGCCGTTAAAAGACCTAGGGGCCGTCCTCGTCGATCCGAGCACGCACATGCGGTCTTGCGGGATGCGTCTCGATCGCCTTCGCCGCCGGTCTCTGCGCCTCCGAGTAGCATGAAGATGATGTCCATGGCCGAACGCATGAAGTTGAAGGGCAAGAAGTTTAAGATTGGCCAGCGTAAGCCTCAGGCGTCGGCTTCTTCGTCGACCAAGACTACCCCGGTACGAGCGTCCATCTCAGCATCGAAGGGGGCGGATGAAGAACCAGTCACGAACCAATTGAATGAAGAAAAGGAGCAACCGAAGAAGATCCCCCACGGCAGGAAAGAGCTCGTCGACAACGCCTACAATCCGGCAGCGGGTTCTGGCGGTAGTTCCCCAGAGAATTCTGACGAGGAGTCGGACTCGGACGCCGGTACTCCCGAGCTTCCATCGCCGCCTAGAAGGTGGACCGTTGCGGGGCGATCTTCGGGACCTACTGTTGTGAAGCTCGGAGATGTCGAAAGCGACGAGGAAGGGCAGGAGGATGAGGAGGAGGAAGATGACCTCCCGTCTTCTGACGATGATTTTGACGATGGGATCCCGGCAAGGAGGGCTCGTGGTGGGGCTAGGGGTAGGGGCACCCGCGGTCGTGGGAGGGGGCGTGGACGGGGGAGGCCTAGGGGACGACCGCGACGGGATAGCTAGCTGAGCTTGTCTGGCGCAATGGAAGGGGAGGGTGTTTTTACTTTAGAGACGTGGATTTATTGCTATGGAATGGCGTACGAGGCGGGATTGATATCCAATATGTTTGCTTTTATCATGACTTTAGTCCTTTGATTGAGGAATATTGAGGAGTAAATCAAAGTTCGTGAAACCACAGAGTAGGGATCACGCCAATGTAGCTGTTGTTTCCCTGTGCAGGAGCTATGGCCCCATTACGATGAACACTAACCAGGCGACCTCAGCTAGAAAGCGCAGCTAGAAAGCGCAACTAGAAAGCGCAACTAGAAAGCGCAACTAGAAAGCGCAACTAGAAACGCCTCCAGTGGTGACCACCACTTGCCGAACTGCCATTCACCTTTCTAAGACCAGCCGATGAGGAGCTCACTAGTACATTGATATATGTATCAGATAAAGCACCCCATGAAACACACACTCACACACTAGACCTCACTGAAGCAAGCACGAAGTACGGAGTACGAACTTGGACGTCACCCTGGGCAAACCATCTGCCGGATCCGCAAAAAAATAAAGTGGGCGAAGTGTGCTCCGTTGTCCGGGGTTAAATTAAACCATTCAAGGGTTCAAACCAAACTTTCGTCCGGGGTGTTCCGACGTCGGAGATGCAACCGCGCTGTCGCAAAGGCGGCATTGCAGCAAGTTTTTCCCTCCTTTCTCGAGCTCCAGTCGCGAAAACGAGGGAGCTCGAAGTGAAGTCGCAATCGCGAATATTCCCTTGCCCCCGCAGTTCTACTTGACACTTCTCCATTTCTCTTCTTTTTCCGCTCCAATTGATTGGCGCCAGGCGCTCCGAGCTCTCTGGGCCTAGTCCTGATCTAGCCAATACATGGGCCGCCGAATTGTGTCGTACTTCGAAAGACTCCACAGGATCGAAAACTAAAAATCCTAGCGACCTGGGTGCTGGGGATGGACTTTACCCGGTCCCGTTAAATGACTAGGGCGCACGGAAGCTGTGGTTCGAGGGTTGCGGAGCCGGAGATGCCCGCAAGAGCTGTCAAACGAGATGACAAAGAAAGGATTTCGAATGTGCGTCGGGGCGGGCGGCAGCGGGGATGCAAAGATGTGAATCTACTACGTACTATTTGGTGGCTGAAAAGGTGCCATTGGGCGACTGTAAGTGAGGGTGTCGATGTCGAGTCGATGCAATTGCGGAAATTATTGACGTGAGCTCCTTTCTCTTTACGAGTATTATTCGGGAGCTGAGGCGGTGAGAACAGAACTCGGGTACCTCTCGTTTGTAGTGAGTCACTAACATAATGGGATTCAGACCAAAGCGAAAGTCACGATGATGAGAATTGGAGCATGAAATATTTTGGTTCTTGAAAGCCTCGTGTGGGTAGAGTTGCTTCTTCTTGATCGCAAATCATCTGGAGCGAAGAAGCAGCATTTGTACGAAGTAGAATGTACGAGATGGAGGAAAGGGGATTCGTCCTTTGTACGAAGCACTTTCCGCAAACATGAAATGCGAATGTTAATGTACCTTGTACTTGAATCTTCCTACACTACGAAGCATGTGATAAAGCTGTCACTGCCAAGCTAGAGCAACCACGACCAACAACGCGCTGAGAAGAGTGCAAGAGGACGAAGGATTCATTTATCGAATATGACGCCCACAGAGCAAGATGGACGGCGTGGGGTTTGGGAGTCTTAAATCGGCTTGGCTGAGGCAACAGCTGCTTCGTAGCAAAAAGTAATCGCAGCTGGATGATGTTTTGCTGTGAAAGTCTGTCGTGGATCCGCCAAACCTGTTCAGAGCAAAGAAGCACGCATCCGGGCAACTGAGTACATAGTAAGTTATTCCCATCGAATTATTTGTCGTCGTGAGATATTCAATGGATCGGGTAGGCATATCACATTAAAGCGAGAGCGCGGCTCCTATCATTGCAAGGTAATTCCGAGTATCAGCTCCACCGAGCTCTGCAGCTGGGCGGGACGCCGCCGAAGGAATGGCTCGAGGTTTACCTTTGTAGGACCTGCAGAAATTCTGTGAGAGGAATCGAGTTTAGTGCCGACCAGTGTTGGCGTCGTTTCATGCGAACGAGGCTTGGGAGTCTTGTAGACCGCAACATTTCCCCAGGGGCGAGGCGTTCCCTGATCTTATTCGGAAGCCCGGGAGAAGTACTGCCCACCAGTTACACAGGTATATATCTTATTTATAAAACAATAACTAATCAGAACTTGCCTAAGTTTGAGGGTAGCGAAGACAAACTCAGCTCGGACCAGATCGCTGCTTGGACTCATGGCGGAGAGGGACCCTTGCTGCGGAAGGTGCGGTTGGCGCGTGGGGGCACTTGCTGGCTGACAGTTTCGCAAACCAGGAAGGACCAATGGCGAACTGGGAGTACAAAGTACAAGGTACCATCTTGTTCGTGACCGCATTTTTACATAGTAGCTAGCACTTTGGTCCTTCCTACCTGCTCCGGTGGATTTGGTGACTTGGAATTGTTAGCACCAGCCAGTCATTGCTGCTTCCGCCAGAGAATCGAGTCAATCGACACACCCCCCCAGGCGACGCTTGATATTTGGATCCGAGTCATTTTTCCCAGCTTTTTTTTTCTCACTTCCTCTCTCATCTGACTTCACATCCTCCTTTCTTTTCTGCCATTGTCCTTCAGCCTCGAGCCCTTTTTCATCTGTACTCTGTCCTCTTTCTTTTCCCCTTCATCACTTATCTCCTAATAACTCCTATTCACAATGTTGCCTGCTATTCGAATCATTGGTGGTAGGCGATTCGCCGTCAAGGGAGCTTCTGCTCTCAACGCGACCGTTGTCCGATCTGCCTCTACCTGGGCCAATGTTCCCCAGGGCCCTCCTGTAAGTGCTTCAATATCTTTATCCTTTTACTTCCATTGCATTTCCTTTCTCGTTGATTGTCCAATGGACAGCACTGGCATCTTAACTCTGCTGGCGGTCTTGGGGTGTTATCCGTTCTATGCACCTGCTAACCATTGATTCTCTTTAGGATGTGAGTATTCCCCAACCTTCAATGGCCTTCCCTCGAATTCGATTGCGAAAGAAACGAAACTCGAAACTATTATAAGAGAGCTCTCTTTTACTCTCGTGATGAGCCTGCATGCTGACCGCTGTGCTTTTTCGTTTGCCGCTCTCTATAGGCTATTCTTGGTATGCTGCAGCCAATCCCACTCGGAGTTTTTCCCCTTTAATCCTTCCACCACGTTTCGCGATCCTGCAGCAGAGCCGCAATCGCTAACAACTTCGTTCCTTGCAGGTATCACCGAAGCTTTCAAAGCCGACACTTTCGACAAGAAGATCAACCTCGGTATGGACCCACTATAAATCGAACCACTTGAGCTTCTTAGATTTAGCATATGATTGCGAAAGCTCCAGCTTGGAGGCGTAGAGGCAGATTACGATTGATTACTACACGATCAGCCCTAGCTAACGATGCATTTCCGTGTCCTGCAGGTGTTGGTGCCTACCGCGATAACGCTGGCAAGCCCTACGTTCTTCCCTCCGTCCGCGCTGCTGAGGACAAGATCGTCGCCGCCCGCCTGAACAAGGAGTATGCTGGCATCACCGGTCTTCCCGAGTTCACCAAGGCCGCCGCCGAGCTCGCCTACGGCAAGGACAGCTCCGCCCTCGACCGCCTCGCCATCACCCAGTCCATCTCTGGCACTGGTGCTCTCCGCATCGGTGGCGCTTTCCTTGCCCGCTTCTACCCCGGCGCCAAGAACATCTACATCCCCACGCCTTCATGGGCTAACCACGGTGCCGTCTTCACCGATTCCGGCCTCAAGGTCGAGAAGTACAGGTACTACAACAAGGACACCATTGGCCTCGACTTCGAGGGCATGATTGCCGACATCAAGGCCGCCCCTAAGGGTAGCATCTTCCTCTTCCACGCCTGTGCTCACAACCCCACTGGTGTTGATCCCACCCAGGAGCAGTGGAAGGAGATCTCCAAGGCTGTCGCTGACGCCGGCCACTTCTCCTTCTTCGACATGGCCTACCAGGGCTTCGCCTCTGGCGACACCAACAAGGATGCCTTCGCCGTCCGCCACTTCGTCGAGCAGGGCCACAACATCTGCCTTGCCCAGTCTTTCGCCAAGAACATGGGTCTTTACGGCGAGCGTGTTGGTGCCTTCTCCATCGTGTGTGAGAACGCCGAGGAGAAGAAGCGCGTCGACTCGCAGATCAAGATTCTCGTCCGCCCCCTCTACTCCAACCCCCCCATCCACGGTGCGCGCATCGCCTCCGAGATTCTCAACACTCCTGCCCTCTACACCCAGTGGCTCGGTGAGGTCAAGGAGATGGCCGACCGCATTATCACCATGCGCGCCCTCCTCAAGGACAACCTCGAGAAGCTCGGTTCCCAGCACGACTGGTCCCACATCACCAGCCAGATCGGCATGTTTGCCTACACTGGTCTTACCCCCGAGCAGATGGACGTTCTCGCCAAGGAGAGCTCCGTCTATGCCACCCGTGATGGCCGTATCTCCGTCGCCGGTATTACGACCGCCAACGTCGGCCGCCTCGCCGAGTCCATCTTCAAGGTCAAGGGTTAAATACTAAGCGGATTCAACCCGACTCTGAGATGATGGCGATATAAAACGAAACGCAAGGGGGGTTGCGGTTCCCTCCAGAAACCAAAACTTGCAAATTGATGACGGACATGGTCCAAACCGACACAGACGGACAGGAACAACTGGTAAAGGAGCGCGGCGTGTTGATTTGGTGATGTGGTCATTGGACCCGGCCTCGCTTTTCTCATACCCCCTAAAACACCCCAAAAGCCTTATGGCCCTCTCCCCGATATTCTGGTCTTATAGACGGCGGATGGTATATAAAAAGGAAGGGGAACTTTTTGCGAAAAAGAATTGGCCTGTAGACTAGGAAGTAAATAGGGGCGGAAAGGCATGTGATTAATCGTTTCTTTCAATGTATGCTTGGCTCGTTGCTTCTTTGCCCCTTTTTTTTTCGTGTTAGGTATTTCTGTGCCACCTTTCCGTTCGCCCTCGGAGTAGACAGCGTTTGAACCGCACGACCTTGATGTCATTGCAGAGACTTGGATAATATCGATAAACGCTTCGGCGAGAGGTCGTTGGCCGTGCTCGTGTTCGAGTCGGGCTCCATCGATGTAAGTTGTCGGGCGGGGATGTCCGCGGCGGCTGTTTGTTAGGGACTCTTTTCATTCGCAGGACTATCTGCTGAAGGTTGCACACCACGCGAGAGAGCAAATTTCAGACTGATGCTTCAACGACGACAACAAGAGTTCGCTGGCGAGGACAAGTTCTTCTCCTTCTCTTTGTCCTTTCCATCCCTCCGCCTTTTTATGTTCCTTCACCCCCTTCATATATCGTCAGTACAACTTTCTCGAAACGCCTGGCGCGGTCCCGCTCGCTACGGCATCGGGCACAATTGATTGGAATAGGACACTCGTCACCAAGAATTCCCACCAATTCGTATCTCGTTCGACTAAGGAAATGGCAGCTCGGGGCTAGGAGAATGCTTCCGGAGAAGAAAAGCCGAGGAACAGGGAGAAACCTCGTCCCGTTCGAGGCGTCGAGCACGGGGCCTGAGATCGGATCGAAGTAAAACTCGAGTTGCAGGGCAGGATATTCGTGCTGGCTATCTTCGGCTCGAACGGTCGGATGTGTGGATCTAGTTCTCCGCGTAAGCTCCGAACTGGAACGGAGAATCTTCGTCAGTGGTTTCCACAGAGTCACAGAGCAAGGGAGACCTTGGGAGAATCCTTAGGCCCATCGGGGACAAGAAACCCAAGTGGATTAATTCAATCCGAGGACAGAATTTGTTAAGAAATCAAAAAGTGAACTAGAAAAGAACTAGATTCGTGGGGGACGCTCCTAATTAAGGCTCGGACCGTGGTCCACAACTCCGCCTCTCCGACCGAGCAGCAGGGCCGGGGGCCCCAAGGAGCCAACCAAAGGGCGGCAATCGGGTGGCATTTTGCTGGGTTGACCAAGGAGATGGCATCTACTATCGGTAAAAAAATGTCATCCCTCGGCATTTCGGGTGTGTACCTTTTTTTTTTTTTTGCGCCTCAACGGATGCGCAATAAATTGTTCTTGGGGAAAATCATACCATGTTTTGCTTGGAATCTGGCATGATGGTGGGATTTGAGGTGTTTCATTATCGCGCAGGCAGTCTGACCAGCCGTAACGATACCAGGTCTGGAGCGTTTTGCAGAGTTCGGAGGGGAGACGTCGTTCCATCGGCTCAGGAGGAGAGCCTTTTTACTACCTCATTGAGGCGGGACAGGTTTTCTCGGCTTGGAAAGAGCTCAACTAGAGTCTAGGAAAATATTGGCGAAGTATTCAGGAGGCAGGGGGATGATCACGGCGACGGAATCATGGACCAAGCTCTCAAACCCATTTGGCCGGACCCCAGCTTGCCGTCCTTCCTTGCCGACGTCATGGCAATATTCCCAATGCTCATCCATTATCATTGCCCATCCGAATCATTTACCACGACGAGGCCAGAAGGATAACAGGCCAGAGCTAGCTCATTAGCTCTTGAGGACATTGACAGTCCTACAGTCCTCTACTCCAAATCCCCAAGCAGGCCCATTGCAGACGGCAGCCTCAACGCCAAGTCAGGATCATCCGAAAGGTATCTGGAAGCGCATGCGGTCCCATCAAATTCCCCCCAAGTGGCGTGAGGACCTAGGATCTCGTCCAAATCTGCACCCTCACTGATATGACCTCATCCCTATGATCAATGTACGATGGCACGCACGCTGAGATGTCAAACTTACATGCTCAGAAGACGCCGTCCACGTCTCTCAGTCTTCCCTCCCCCTTGCAGTTGTCCGCGATATTAAGATCGGACTTGGCGGCGAGGTTCCTGAATGCCATCTTGGAGTGCAGCATTGATATCTCTCTACCATTCTATCAGCTGGCGAAACGAGGGTGGAGAACCAGTTGGTCCTGACCCAATCTAAGTGGCATGGCACAGTCTTACCTGCAACATGATAGACTGATAGACGGGGCCATTTGAGGTCAATCTCGCAGGAGCAAGTCACTCCACCACATTCGTACCGTACTCTGCCACAGCGGTCGTCACTACTATTTCGATCGCCGCTCAGCTTCTCTCTAGGATGTTTGTCCACAAGCCCCGTGCCTGCCCTTACGTCGATACTCGTTACCCTTACTCCAAAACTCTCGGCTTCCCGCTCCGGTCGGATAGCTTGGATAGCTCCTCTTACCCGTTATATAAAGCCGGGAAAGGATTTCACTACCTCCTTCCCAAACGAGGGAAGGCATCGGGAGGGCAGTTACATTAAGAAGCCATCCGTCGAGGAAAGTGAGGCGCAGACGTGACGGACGAGCGAATACACGTGAGGTCTCCCAGACCAAAGAAGGAAGGTCTCCAATCGACAGTGCCTTCTGCTTGGGTCTCTCACGTTTGAGTGCATTTCACGGACATGAATCAGGAGGACGTGAATCAGAAATGGATGCAGGCTGGACTATACTATATAAACGCCCTTCTGCCCCTTCATCACCACCCCCCAAGATACAACCTAGACCTGCAATCCCCCAACCCGATCCAGATTTCCATCTCTGATAGTGCAGGTACACGTCGCAGGAAATGCCGAGGGAAGGGAACAACCTGACGACGGAGACAAAGTCGGCGAGGACGCAGACGAGGACGGCAGATACCAACCTGGCGTAAAGAACGTAAGTGCGCACCGCGTAGGCTTCCAGAGTGGGTTACCTATTCATGCTGACGCCTAGATTGTTTAATCACTAAGAGAATGCCACACGATGCCACGGATGAAATCATCAGAATACTCCGGAATCTGCTACTGGCGAAGAAGGAAATTCACAATCTATTGCAAGAGCACGGCCCAAACGGCAACGACGACGTCGGAGGTATGTCTTTTTGGCGGAAATCCATCACGCGAGTGCGGCTTTGGAACATTGAACCATGCCTTCCCCAGGCTGGTCTCACTCGAGGAAGACATGAATCATGGTCATTCCACAATCTTGGACGGGAGAGGAGCTGCCCAGCCATTTCATTGTAGAGGTCTCCTTCCTTACAGAACTAATAGACTCTCTGCCGAAATAGAAGTCGCAGCCTGAGAATTCCGTTCTCGAGGAAGGAGCATCAAGGAGCATCCATGATTCCCGTGCTCGATCGCACAACCGAGATTTTTCCCAGGCCTCGGGGATTTCCTATAAATAGAGCTCCCTCCCCCCAATATCTTCCCACCTTTTCATTCTCTCCATTCCCTCCACACCTCTCACTCATCCAAATCGATCAACCATCGAGATCTACCATCCGGGTACAGTCCTAGAATACACCAGTAACAACCAAATCTTGTCCCTGGCGTTGCTGGATGCGGGAAGTCGTACTTATCGGAAATGTTATACTCTTGAACAAAACTTCAGACAACTTCCTGGCGACATGCGCCTTGAATCAGAGTGCCAAAGGACACTGATGGCACTCGCTGCGACATGATCGGGGAACTCGATGCCAGGATACTGAACGATCAGCACGCGTGGCGGCTCTGAATTTTTTTCGAAGTCAACCGTACAAAGTACGGGAAATTGTCAGAGCTGGTGGATGATGTCGCCCGCGGCGGCATTCTCCACGATGTATCTCGACAGTATTTGAAATCTTCGATCAAGAACGTGTACCAGGATTTCCTTGAACAGTTTACCGGTGCTATCGTCACTACACCAACAGGAGCATCTGTCTCCCTCTTCGAAACCTCTTTCCGACCGGACCTTGTCGTCATGGACGAAGCAGCTGTGGTGCGAGAACTAACAGCGCTCCTGCCAATTGCGTTCCTTGATCCGAAGGCTTGGATTCTGACGGGTGACGTAGCCCAAAAGCCACCGCACCTCAATTTAGAGCACGACTGAGGCGCCGGCGAGATTACAGGAAACCCGTTCAGTGACCAACTGAGGCTTTCGATGCTTGGACGGGCCGTTGAGGCAGGTGCGACAAGTGCTTACCTGCGCGTGAATTATCGAGCTCTTGGATCTGCGCTCGTTATTCCGAATAAATTGTCCTACTTTGGGCTCATGATCCCGGCGAAACGTGGAACAGAAAACTGGCCAAAAAACCTCCACGCCATGGTCGACTTTGTGCGGGAAAACATCGTTAATTTGCCTACCTCGTCAAATTATTTCGTTGTGGAATTCCCAGGGAGTAGGGTTGGCATATCTGGCACCTCCCTCACAAACCATTCTTATGTCTCGTGGGTGGACGATGCGCAGCGTCCTGGCCATCATCCAGTCTGGTATCGAAGGTCTTGGTAAAAATGCAGACCAGCCTTCGAACATCTTGATTGTGCCATTGTTCAAAGCGCAAAACGCACTTTACCAGCGTGCTTTGAAGGCCCTGGTAGATGACGCGAGTTCACTGCCAGGGACAAGACAGTCCATCGGGTCAATGTTAAGACGCTAGATGACGCATGGGGTGATGAAGCAGATATCGCCTTTGGTAATTTCGTTCTCACCGACCATACACGCTTTATTGGAGAGAAATCTCGCACGACATTTGGTAACGACCAGAGCGAGAGGAGTCACGGTGCTCCTTCTCAATCGCGGTACATTGGCTGGTAGAGGCCAGGCTTGATGCAGAAAGCGGGCGAATGTGCTATGTCAGCTTCATCGCCTTCGATACCGAACCGATCTGGCGTTTTCCTTCTTCACGGATATGAGAAGAAGAAACCTGCGATTTCCGAACAATGGTGTCAACAACCTACCGCGGGGAGTAACAATTATCCCCCTTAATCGCGGCTCCTTCGTTGGTCGATGCCAGATTCAATTGTGAAAGCGAACAAGCATCCTTTACCGTCTACATCGCGAATATGAGAAGAAGGAAACTCGTATTCCGCGCGGTCGAGACCGGATTGAATCGCGAAAGCGGCCCAAGCAGGCCTATAATCCGCGTCGCGAATCTGGGAAGAGGAAAGCTCGTGTTCCGCATGCCATGCTACCAATGGCAGAACTGCATGAGAGTTTTGTATGGTCTCGTTATTCATCTTGCTACACCCGGTCGACGATTTAGTCTCAAGAGCACTGGAATCATTATGAGTCTTGCTCCGACTAGACTTTCGATTTTTGGGAAGAACAGCCGTCCTCCTCAGGTCGAGGATCAAGAGACACATTGAACACTGCCACACCGCAGAGACGGTCTCCATGGTACGCAAACAAATGGCAATTTGGAGGCTGTAACCACTACACCAAAAAGACTACCTGCCATGACATGCTCGACAGGTTGTTTCCGCGCTCTATATATAAAGATGTCTAGATCGCTCCAGGCTCGCGTAGACTGCTCGTAGATAGTATGCAGAGCAGAGAGGTATATTCAGTAATATCAATTCATCTTCTACTATCATCCGTGCAATCTGAACAGTGCCTATGTCGACAATTCCTTAAGGACGAAGTGGCATCTGTGAATCTGTTTCCGTAGCAGCCTTGAAATCCGGAGTTTTCTTACCCAGCTGCGTTTCATTGACCTCGTCATCCAAAGGTAAGCTGGGGCGTCTCGATTCGTTGTCGAAAGGCCCATTGAAGTTAACCTCGAAGCTGATCTTAGAAAAAATGAGGATGTGATCTTTATTGACTAGATGTTAAGAGTTTTTGGAGACACCATCCCAAAGCCCCAAAGCACGGCGCCCCAGCATTGCTCGTTCGTCTATCATGGATCCAGCTTGAGAGTAGGAACTTAGGGAAGAAAAGATCACTTGCGGTTTCATTCCTCGGTATTTTCCTCGGTGGTGTTCCCCTTTCGCGGGCCTGGATGGTCGTAATAGCCCTCTAACACAACCTCTCTTCAGATAGCCAAAAAAACTGCTGCGGCCTGGACCTTCCACAAGAATGACTCCCTAAGGCGAAAATCTAAACAGGGACGGGCTCATTCTCCTCGAGGAGATTTGGTCGCGATAAATGACCCAAAAAAAAAGGTTCGGTCGAAGGACAAAAAAAGACAACTCTCCCTCGGGGAATCGAACCCCGGCCACCTGCGAATTATTCCATGACAAGCAGGTATCCTGACCACTAGACCAAGGAAGATGGGTTTCGTTTGACTGATGCTTCGACGGGACGGCTGAGCAATCTAAAAAGTTCCCACGCAGTGCAAAGACGACACAAAAAAGAAAAGGGTAATAAGGAATAATTCTCTCGGAGATATCAAGTTGTTATAATGAGCGGGACATAATATATAAACTCGCCCTTGGGGATTCGAACCTCAAGATATTCGGGATACATCTGCCTCACCAACCGGAAAAGCGCACATCACAAATAGCAAAGCATTATCACGTTCGACGTAAAGCATCTTCAAGATTTAATAATAGCTAAAAACCGAGTTCAAGGGACAACTGGGGGTATGCACGTTCCCATTCATACAAACAAGACCAAACGCGCGACAACAGTGAAAACAAGTAACAGAAATGCATAGCAGTACACAAAAGCATCATCAAGCACCAATTACACTCTTTAAATCCGCCGGCTCGCCCAAGGGGAAACAAAAGCAAGAAGCTCGACTCTCTGTCTCTCTCTCTCTCTCTCACCGTCTTTTTGAACCCTTCTTGGCCTCTCTTTCTCATGACAACCTTCAAGTGATTTCCTCTCCTCCCCAAGCCTCGTCTTCTCCAGGAACCCCTGGTCCTCCTAAAGATAGACCAGGAAGATTCGGAAGATATCAGTATAACAGGAAGACGAAATAGAGCCACGACCAGTCTCGAGGCTGAAAAAAAAAAAAAAAAACAGAGCTATGAGGATAATAGAGCAAGTGAACGGGAACGGGAACACGGTAAGAAAAGTGAAGACGGTAAACAAAACGTTAATGTTGTCATCTGATGTACACGGTAACTCCTGGTTCCAAATTTTAAAACATTAGGCTTTCCCTTTCCTCGCACACAATGAACTCCGGTTTGGGATCCATCCTGGGCCCAGATCGACGCTTTGCGTGGACGGCGGAGGTCAAAAAAAAAAAAAAAGAAAAAGCTCTGCCGGTCGCAGTAGAAAACGAAATAGCGGCATGCCCGGATCGGAATAAATTCGTTCGACACTCCTGGAGTTCGGTAGAGTGTTGATATCGAGAAGTCGACTTCCAACAAGAAGCATGTTGGGGAAAGAAATGAAGAAGAAGAAACAAGGTTGCCTGCCGTTCCTGTATCAACAACACCCAACCCAATCGAAAAAAATGTCGCAAGAGGGCGATAAAAAATGGCAAATGAAATGAAATGAAAGGAAAAATAAAAAGAATAAGTTATGGATATCCGGGGTGAGAGAAACAAGAGAACCAGCAGCACCGATAAAAGGCCCTCCAAAAACCAAATCCCTCCAAATGTTGACGCCCGCCACACCATGCTGATAATGACCATAATTTTCGACGCATGTTGCACTGTGGTGTGCAAATGTAGTTTTTAAGGAAAATGACTTTGTGACTTGGACTCCATCACTGGCTTGTCTTGGCCTTCTTGGGCATCCTCGGTGTGGGCGGGTTCTTCTTGCCCTGGATGCCATTGACCTGCCCGCCGCCCGGTGTCGGAGCCGATCCGTCGTCCTCCGTCTTAACGGCAGATGGCCGTCTCCTCTTGTTCGATGCGGGAGAGGTGTTGGCGCTTGGCCCGCTGGAGCTCGTTCCTTGGTGGCTCCTCTGGATCTGCATTCCGGGGGCCTGCATGTGGCCAGGGATCGGGCTGCCAACGATGTGGGGAGAGCCGGGTAACTGGATGTTACCCATGGCAGGGCTGGCACCCATCTGCATATTCGCGAAACTGGGTGTCCGGGGTCCCTGCACCATGTTTTGCGCGTTCATGTTGTTGTTAAATTGGGATACATATTGGTCCACGGCCGCATATGCGCTAACCCCAGGATGCGTGTGGCAGTATCCAAAGAGAGGGCCCATTTGACCCATTACTTCCGCAATCTAGGGGGAAAACAAATGTTAGCAAATCTATGACAAGTACGTGCCGAAGCTTCGGGGTCTGGGGTCTGTCCGTGCCTCCAAAAACTGGAATACCGCCTCGGGAATTCCCATGCTTGCATTAACGGCCGACGGAGGCAGGTCCACAAGGGCATCGGGAGGCGGGTTCTGGGGCGACTTGAGCTGCTTCTGCTTCGTCTTTTTGCTCATCTCGGGAGAGGATTTGGCGTCTTGCGAGTTAAGCTTCTGCCAGTCCTTGACCCAATTGTGGGCCGGCGTGGCCGCTTTAATGACGTTCTTCAAGGACACATATTCCTCGTGGCCCGTGGTCGAGAACTCGAAGACCTCGAGTTTTTGTTCCGCATCAAACTGAGCCCTCAGCGTTCCGGTAGCCACCAGCTAGCGATATTAAGTCAGCGCTAGGTATTCTGAAATGCCGTCGAAGGGTTCCCCCGTCCCCAACTCTTCCAACAGTCATAGATTTCAACTTACATGAAGACCGCTCTCGAACCAATACACGAAGCTAGATCGGCTGTTTTCTATCCAATAACTGTCACCAGGAAGTGGACGTTCTGTTGTTCCCTTGTCCATAATGAACTGCATTGTCTTGACACCGCTCTCGAAGTACGTATGGAAGTATCTCGCCAACGCGGGGAACGCAATTTCGTACTGCTTGTCAGTCTCTTGCTCGGCGTCGTTGATATGGACCCAGTGCCTAAAGACACCCTTGGGCGAGAAGAATCGGTTAACAAATTCGTTCCAATACGACAAATCGCCTTTGCCCTTTGGACCCTGTTGATTTTCGTTGTTAGCAAGAGAAGAGAGAGTGGCCCGGTATGACCGAATAAAAAAAAACTTACAGGGAACCCGCTGAGATACTCCGAGAACTGCATCAGTCTCAGCAAGCAGTGACTCCTCATCTCCGCCCTCATCTCCGCCCTCCGCTGTTGTAGAGCCATGTTGTTTGCTACCGCAGCTTGATGCGCGGCCGCCGCGTTCAATTGCGCCTGTTGCTGCGCCGCGGCGACGGCAGCGTTCTGGAGTTGCGGTTGAGACTGCTGAACTTGCTGGTTCTGGGGTTGCTGGGGTTGGGCTTGTGGCGCAGGTGCAGGTCCCGGAGTCTGCGCCGGCGTCTGCTGTCCGCCAGAGGGTGCGGGTGTACCGGCTTGCGTTTGGGGTTGCGAACCCGGGGGGTTTTGCGGGCCGGGCTGGGGTTGGGCCTGAGGTTGGGGTCGTTGACCGGGGTGCTGTTGGCCTTGGCCGGAAGCCTGCGTCTGCATGGTCGCGGCGGCGATTTGCGCCTGTTGTGTTTGCAGGTTTTGAAGTTGCTGGGGTGTCATCTGCATAGGTTGGCCTGGGGTATTGCCCTGGACGAGGTGTTGGTTTTGGGCCTGGGCTTGGGCCTGGTGATGCTGCATGGCCATCTGCTGAGCCATCAAAGCCTAAACCATATTCACGTTAGTACTAGATACCGCAAGGACATTCGTTATTCTTCAAGTTCGTCAATCCGTACCTGAGCGTGGCCGGGATGTTGGCCCTGCGTTTAATTAGTAAATGAGCGTTGCTAGCGCGTGTTAGGCGTGTGTGGGTTCAAACTTACCGGCCTCATGCCTTGCCTCATGGCGTTTATCTGCGCCGCATTCATATGGTTCATAGGGATACCCATGGGCATGCCGTTAACGGCGGCCATGTTTCCATGTAGTTGTTGTTGCATCAGTGCCTGCCTGGCCTGGGCCTGCTGTTGAAGATATCGCTGCTGCTGGAACTGCGAGTGCATCGGACCGGCGACTAGCATGAGAAAAGAGGGGAAAAAGAGCACATAGGTTAGCCTCGACCTTCAGAGCCATGCGTGTAATGGGGATGCGAGTTGGAATGACATACGGTGTAGTGGCTGTTGAGGGAACATTTGTGCCTGCGCAGGGTTCAAGTGTTGAAGTGCATGTGCGTTCGGCCCACCTGCTACTGGTTGCATGTTGCCCATGAGCCCAGCGGGTACCTGGGCGCCAGGCGCGCCAGAGACTCCCATATGCGCGCCTAGCTGGGGAGGCATACCTCCTCCGGGTACTCCTTGCTGACTTGGGTTGTGAGGCATCCCGGGAGCCATGGGATGGCCCCCAGGTACGCCCGGATGCTGTTGCATGACGTTAGGATGGCCGAAGCCAGGTCCCATACTCGCCATCATCTTCGAGTGCTATTGGTCGACGATCCACCGGGCGTGGATATCGACTTCGTTGATGGGTCTACCGTTATCACCATGCGAAATTCAATGGGACGTGCGACAAGGGAGAAGTCAGCCGTGAGAGAGGGAGGCGGCGACTCGGGAATCGACGGGGGCAAAGCCTGGACGGTGGCGCGAGGGGACGAAGCGGAAAGGGCGCGTCGTAAGGGCCCCAGCTCGGAATGGATAGCAATTGCCAGAGGTCGATTTAGGATGAAGAATAACGCGGAGAGGATTGATTGGAGGCACTAAGGTTTGAAATGTGATGGGATCGGCGAAGAAAGAAGTCCGGTGGCGGCGCGAATTATAACAGCGTCGAAGACATTGACGATGGGATGGAAGCACAATCGAATTCGAGTTTGGTTAGCGATCTGAAAGCTGCGGCTATCGATGCAACCGAGAACCCCAGTGGGAAGCGAGAAAAAAAATGCGCAAAAAAAGAAAGAATGATGAGAAGAGGGAGGACGGCCTCTTGTTTGGATTGATGGAAGTCGGAAGGCGGTCAAAACACTTAGTGGTTGATCACTTCGGAATTGGTTGGCGATAGATAGTGTCGCTAGATTGGCGATTCGACCAAGTTGAATTCGAGAGAAGGAAGAAAAAAAGAGTTAAAAGACCAGGAAGAGGTGTGCAAAATCGACCCTCAAAGCATGCGACAAAGCTATGGGCAAGGGAATGCCAAATCCTTGTCTTTTCGTCCTTGAAAAAAGCGACTCGAGGTCTTGGGAGGAAAGTCTTGGTGGGGAGAAGAGCGAGTGAAAGCGGCGTTCGGCGCTGGCGTTAGTGGGAGTCAATCGGCGGATAGGCAGTTCGAGTTGTTCGACAATTGTCGTGGGAAATGCGAGCCGAAATGGATCGAAGGAAGGGAGGAAAAAAACGACCAAATGGAGGTTTTTTTACCTATCAGCTCTGTCGCATTTGCGTGTGGACTTGATGGTATCTGTGGCTGCCTTTGGAAATTAACTTTTGGAAAGTCAGTTGGCGTGGCTCATGGGAATTTTCTCCTGCTTTGTTGCATAAAGCTTGTTTTTTTTTTTTTTCCGTTATTTCTTTTTTTTTTTTTTCTCGATGCCAGAAAACTGGGGACAAAAGAAATCGCGAAAAAAAAAAGAGGTGGAAGGGGGGGCGAAGTGAGAGGGTTGGTTGAGAAGAAACGAGGGATTGATGGGGTGGCAGAAACAGAGCAGAACAGAGCAGAAAGCAGACCAGACCAGAGCAGGAACAGAGAAGGAGCAGAGCAAGAGCAGAAGTGGAAGCAAGCAGCCTTTGCAAATTGGGGGAGTGCGACTGCGGGAATCAACAACTCGGAGGCAAAGTACCTCGATACAGTAAGAAATTAAGTAGTGTACTTCGTACATTGACCCAAGGCAGGAACGTTGGACAGTCACACAGGCACTGGGTTTAGGTAATGAGACAGTACATGGCCAACAACCTCCGTAGTACTTCGCACCCAGCCCAAAACCAAAACACCGTGTACAGGAAGAGGAAGAGATGCTCAGCAATAAGAGTGCACATACCTTCGTTTCCAGAAAGGATATTGGCGCTGAGACACTCCGGGGCGAAATGGCGTGGTAAGTGCGCTAGGGAGTGAGTGTTAAAAGTAGAAAGAGGGAGGGAAAGAGAGAGCGCGACAAGAGGGAGGCGAAGAATAAAGAAATAGTAAGGTAGGCAGACAGGCCGCTGGAGAAGGTCGACAACCTTCTGGAGGAGAGAGCGGGCCTCGACGGAGTGATGCGACCAACGTGGGCGATAGCGGAGTATAATAAAGAGTCAAAGAGCCAAAGCGCCTTGAATCTTGGGAACAAAGTCGGGCCCACAGATAAGGTATCAGGCTCAGTAGAATTCGACGTCTGGAGCCGGCGTCGCTCCGACTTTCATCTCAGGTTCTTGCGTCGTTCTGCGACAAGGACGGGTCGAGAATAAGCCTGTAGACGTGCTGTACGTGTTTGCACTGCGACTCTCTCGCCAATTGCTGTTCAAACTGGGTTTTAGTGGCGGTGGGTAGGAGTCTTTTTGGGGGGGGAACACCCGGATACCGCGCACGCGCTTTGCGCTTTTGGGGGGGGAATGCGAATCAAAGAGGGGGACTATCGAGTTGCATAGGGTTCCAGAAAAATCGGGGGGCTTATTCAGGATACAACGATTGAGGGACGGGTGGTTGGCCCAATCAGAGAAAATGTCATGACTTAAACGAGTTCTGGTATTCCGGATACTACGGGGTACCCGGTTACAGGAACGACGCATCGGGGTTTCTTATCCTGGTATCCTCCTATACTTCATAACTCCACTTTTTCCATCGCATTCATCTCTCTTTTCCGAGCGACACCGCGCAATGGGGGAAGGGAGCCGTCATTACTCAGCGAGAGGGTTTGTCTCCTTCGATTCGTACGAAGCAACGAGAATCGCGTCAGACACCTCTAGCCCTACCCTGTTGGTAATAAAATTCGAGGAATTTCCCCGGGTAATAATCATTCGAATAAGTCCACTTCTCTCCTTCTCCCTCAGTAGTTCCCGGAAACCCACGAGCTACCCCGTAGTCCGTCGATCAGTCATGTCGCAGGGTAATGCTCCGGATGAGACGATCGCTGAGCTGATTTAATACTTGGCTGGCAACTGACCGGCAGAGCACAGAAGCGTACTTTGTGTAGTGTAGCACTGTACCTTGGTGGCTTGGGTTAAGGCCAGGGGTCCTTCCCCGTCCCGCACTTCCCTTGCCCATCCCTTCCCGACCACTCTTTTTTTTTTTTTTTTTTTTTTTTAAGTCACGTGGTTTCAAAACCGCTGTTGGAGTGCCGAAATTTTCCCATCGATTGCTCCACTTTTCATGTCCCCTGCTCAACCAGGGAGAAAAAAACTATTTATTCTAATGAGGCTCAGAAATTTCTAGACATGCTCCATCTCAACAACGACACGGAAAACTTTTCCTTTTCTCTTCCATCAGCGTCTGTCCTCCAACTATAAAGAGGTTGGAGGCGCGCCCGTCGTTCTTGTTTCAACTTGCTCTTCTCTTCATCCTCAACTTGAACTGTGCTTGCCCGAGAAGCTGGACAGCAGAACAAACCGCACCATGGAGACTGTCTTCTAGGTAAGCTGAACTCAGCCGTTGCTTTTCTTTTCTCCGATGAAGTCGCTGGGAGGGAACAAGCCCATCCAGGCAAAGTCCCTCGTCTCCAGCGATTTACCCTCCTTTCTGATGACATTAATGAAAGTTCTTCTTTTCCCATCTGATTCGACCTTGAAGAAGTCTAGTCTGTCCGGGACCTCGTCTGCGGACGAGGACCTGTTACTTGCCAGTATCTTTGTCTGATTTTTCAAACACAATCGCTGTCTTTTTTCGTGCTCATGCTCTCGAAGGCATTACGCTAACATTGGATGGCTTTCAGATTTTTTAGACACATGCTATTCACCTTCACCGATCAGAAACTAACGTCGCAGTTCACATGCTTCAACCGTAGCTTGCCGAACAGGTTAGTCCATCCAACGCTCTTCGTCTTTCAACACAAAAAGCACACACTCCCACCTCGCGTCAACATGATGAAATTTCCATCTACATTCGCAGTTTCCACTCGAGTCCCGTTAGAGCCTTTTCTGGGATAGATGAGGGTCAATCCTTCCTTGGATGTCTGATTCATGACGCGAGATTGGGCTTTTGATAACCGTTATTTTCAGTCTGTCGCTGGAAGCAGTTTGGCTAACGTGCTTTGCCTCGAATAGGTTTTCCTCGCGGAATCTTGGCAATATCAGATCAACGTAGAACAATTCTTCATATTGTAGCCCACGGCCGGGGTACTCGCTGCGGGCTTTGGGCCATTGTTTGCTAATTTAGATGTCGAATATACTGCATTTCCACCTATCCTCTGAATCTGTGTGCTTGAAAATTGTGCAGCTTTTGAGGCTAGCCGTACACGTAGAAGATCCCCCCAATGACCCATGTTGAGGCAGATCCAAGCATGCTTGTCAACTCAGGCCCAGTCCTCACAAACCCTTGATGAATTTCATAGTCTCGACTCTTAGCTCAGTTCCAGCCTGTAAACTCCAAAGTAAACCGCCTAAACACCCAAGGATACATACACTTATACAAGCAAAAGCAGTGTCCCAAAAAGGCAAACCGCACCCCTCCATCGAGCCCAAGGTATCAAGCCTCGAATCTATCGTCACAAAATCCTTTCCAAACGCCGAATTCGTTTCGCTTTTTCTTTTTCTTTCCTTCTTCTCCCTCCTCTTGCCTCCACTCGCTTTCATGATGGAGAAAACAAGCAAGTAATCGTCAACGATAATGGCCTCATATCCCGACGCCGAACCCAGCCAGGTGGTGATACAGTGACCTCAATGACATGCCCGTTGTCCCTTAGGAAGCCCTAACTTCCTCCCTGCCCTGCTGCTGCTGCTGCTGAGCATTGTTATTTCCCCTCCTAACCCGTCCACCCACAATCCCCCTCCTATTCCTTCCAGTTCGGCCCCTGCCCAACCAGTTGAGCTTTAGGAGCCTGCACAACTCCTCCATCTTCTCGTCGCCAGCAGCGTCGGTCCCATCTCCCACAGCACCCACGCTCGCCAACACACTCATGCATTGCAACATCCGGCCGACGAGCTCGGTGACCTGCTTGGAATCCTCGACATTCTGTTCCCGCGGACTGATGGTAGAGCCACCACCGAGGACTTGGAGGCTTGATGGGGTGAAAGGGCGGAGGCCGCCGTCGCTCCCCGTCGTACTACCCTTGGAAACGTTTGATATCGCTCGAGCGCGGACCGAATTTAAGCTGGGCTCGCCTAAAAGCGTCGTCGAAGATGAGTTGTAGCTTGAGAGTGCCGGGTCAATGCTTGGGGCGGTTCCTGGGCGGCCGAAAGAGCCCAGGGAACCAGAGGGGCTTGTAGAAAGGAGACTCGGTTCGGGCGGGGGAGAGGCGAGTGCCATCGATGCCAAGGAGGAAGGGAGGAACTCGAGGGATAACCGAGAGAAGATGGTTTTCAGAATGTCATAGCGCGGCAGGATGACAATATCGCGGTAAGCATTGAGCACGAGCCGCCGGACGTCAATAACGGCAGAGGCCGGCGCTACGTGTGCTCCTTGCACTCCCGTTTCGAGAACTCCACCCCAGAAATCCCGAGCCTTTTCAGGCGTAAGAATAGTACCAGCGCCGGCAAATTCCAGGTCTAAAGGCAGGAACACAGCCTGCATATATGGAAGAATCGAAGTGAACGTAAACAGCCAAAGCTCCACGAGTGCGGGTATAACACGATCCTCAGGAGTCTTGCGCAACGCCTGGTCGAGAGAGGAGAAGCCGGTGTTGAGAAGCTCGCGGATATCCTCAAGAATAATGTTGGGCGACCTCCGCTGAATGCAGTATTGAATGTGAAGGGTCACAACCCTGTTCAAATCCTCGATACTGATGCGGAGGTCCTCTCCCTGGAACACGACCAAAAGCTTCGCCTTTAAGAACGGCCAGGCATCATCATAAGATATAGAAGAAAGACCAAATTTCGTGGGATCCAGCGGCTCCAGGAATCCACCAGATGAGTAGGATGAGGCTAGGGGTTCGGTCGGATAAGAAAAGATGGACTCGCTGTCGGCTCGGCTCTCCGAGCGTTCCTCCTTGCGCTTATCTCGTCGCGCGCCATGTAAACCGGTGATGCCCTTGGGGAATGTCGCGGTGGGAGCAGGGCTAGGCGGCAGGCTGAAATTGTAGAGCCCACCCAAGCTGTGGGATTCGGATCCTCCCTTAAAGCTGCTAGAGGCAGTTGTGAGGTGGTACTCTTCCTTGAGCTTCTGTTTCTGCCGCGATAAGAAATGGTGCTTCTTCTCTTTCTCCTTGCCCTCCTTCTCGTTATCGGCCGGCCGTATCGTTGCGGAGGACGAGTTTCCTAGACTGTAGAACGATGCACTGGACGAGTCAACCAGGCTTGTCGTGCTAAAATTTCCCCTCTGCAAGGCAGATAGGGCAGAGCCAAGCTTTCCAGGGCTGGGAAGAGGTTTCTCATCTATCTCCCCCTTCGTGCTAATCTTTCGCGGACGTGAAAACAACTTGACTTTAGACTTCTCTGGTTTCAGAGGCTTATCAGGTAAAGGTAATGATTGTTGGGGGGCCGCCGGTGGGTGGGACGGGTGGATAGGTGATGTAGGGCCGGATCGAGAGAAGACGACGTTTGCAGCAGTTGTCGCGGCGGTTGTATGGCTTCCCAGCAACCCATTGCGATAGCTTTGATTTGCGAAACCGCTTTCGCGGGGTACGCTCGCCTCGGTGAGACTGACTAGAGGAGGACTGAGAGGGCCTTTGCTCGGCCCAGGTCTCCTCTGATAGACGTCGGCTTCGGACTGGCCCGGCGTAGGGACAGTCTGCGACCGTTGGCGGGAGTGATGACTCGTGGCGTGTTGTTGATGGGTAAGGACGGCGGCCTGAGCGGCAATCTGGCTGGCAGAGAGTGCGGCGGCAGCGGCAGAACCAGACTGCGCCATGCCTACGTGGGATAAATTGGACGTCGAAGTCGAGGGCAGCGTCGGCTCAAAATGGCCCTGACCCGAGTATTTCCTGTGATGACCCTTGCTCGTCGTAGGTCCCGTCGAAGACGTTTGCGAAGAAACCGATCGAGCCGTCGATGGTACTAGTCGCGGCGATACAGGGTCGGCGGAGTGAGTAGGAGTAGTTGGAGAGCGGGCAGCAGATGCGCTAACGTTTGGTCGGGAGAAGTTCTGGAGACTGGAGGTGCTCGAATTGGCATGCGAAGTGAAGTGGGTGTAGATGGGATTGGGAGTCGACAGCTTCCCTGAAGCGGCGGCGGCGGCGGCAGCAGCAGTGGCTTGGCTGGCTCGTGGTTGTTGATTGTGGAGGTTGAAGTGCTTTGTGTTATCGTCGCTCGAGAAGGATGGACGTCTCTCTGTTGGTACAGGCGGCGGTTGGCGTAGGGGCGGAGGTGCATTGTTGGTGCTGGTAGTTGTGCTTGTGCTTGTGCTTGTAAATGGAGAGAAGCTACCAGGGGCCCGCTGGGCCCGTGCTGGATGCATCGTGCCTCTTTCGCAGTCCCTTGTAATTGCTCACTCGGCTATATAGTGTTCGTGTGATCCCATGTATATATGGGTGTTGGATAATGGGGGAGGTGTTCGAGTATACCAGGGGACCGTTTTACATCTTGGGCTCGGCAGGCGACCAAGGACCGGCTGGCTGGCGGGCTGTCTGTTCGCGGTCAGGAAGGTTTTGCGGTTGTGGGTTCGGTTGGCTGTCGCGGGGTTAAGATGAGTTTGAGACGATCCGGCACAGTTGAGACTAATTCAACGTTGGACCTGACAAATGACGGATTTTCGAGAAACTACTCAGCCGACGCTTGCGTGGCGATGAGAGTGAAGAAGAAGAGAAGGAAGCAGCCAGAAACAGGGAACTGAGTGAGACCGCAAAAGGAAAGAGGAAAGGTGAGGCTTAGAAACCTAGATCAAGCCATGGAAAGAACGACTGCGATTGGCATGTCATCCAGGAAAGAGCCGAGTTGAGTTCTCTCGAAGTACCAGTACTTGGGAAGGTTTGCGCCTGTCACTGTGTCGCTGGCATGTGGTCATAGCGGGGCCAAGTCACTCACAAATACGGCAGTCGCCTGGCGCTCCAGGATTGCTCCCTGCGATCATCGCCGTGACTTTGGGCCAGCCAGGATGACGTTGAAATTCATTTACAACTGTTCCTAAATTGATGTCTGAGCTTTCACGTCTAATATCACTCTCGAAGTCGTCAATCGCGAGCTGTCTCAGCTTCGATCCTCCCCGAGGAAGGCTGTTTGTACTTGCCCCCTGAAAGGTACCGCCAGCACATGTCGCACGAGACGAGTTCCTGCTGCGTTGTCCTGTATCAATAGATTCAGCACCACGAAGTCTATTGATCCAAGTTCGTCCAATCTTGTCCTCTCTCAAGGCATCTCCATGCATCTTGTATCTAGCATCGAATTTGATTGATGTCTCCAATTCAAGTATAGCACCATACTTAATCAGACAGAGTCTTGCTCAACCAGGCAAGGAAATTATAGGAACCCTGTGGTTTGTGGACACTGCTGACAATCCCCCACAACTCCAGGTGTTTAGTGCGCCCTCAGTGGAAACTTGAAACGTGCCAGCACAGGGATAAGAACCACCAAGGGAGATTGAGATTCCTTAAAACAAGCCCTCATCAGCAAGGGGAGTGTGGAGTACCGACAGAGTACGAAGTACACTGCACTCATCTAGTCCCCAACAGCTTCTCCCAGAGTCGTGTGAGCGATAATACGGGTAGGAATCATAACAACTTTAAACATTTGGCAGTTGGATTTAATGGTGGCCTCTGCTGCAGTTCAAATGCCAGCTCCGAAGCCACTCTTATCCAAAAGAGGCAGGCCTGCAACCCACACCCTCGGATCTGATATTGATCAATGGATTTTAATCTCATATAGCTACCCTAAAATGGCCCGGGATTAGGCCTAGCTCGATGGCAGTTAATATTTCCCCGGCCTCGATGGCCTGGCTGTGGTGCTTGCGCAGAACCAGGTTCGCAAAATAGTGGAGCTCAAGTACGAAGTAATCAAATTTCAATTTGTGTTCATCAGTCATTGTCGCTTTATACGAAGTACTCTACGCTGTAATAATCACAGCTCAAAATTTACCCCGCCATCTGATGGTAGAAATCTTCTATCTGATCCTCCCATCTCCATCATAGCTCTAAAGCAATCCACGCCCTCTCAAAGGAAATTCTTCCGAATAAGACAGAAAGGAACGAAGAAATAATCGAATCCCCTCCCTCCATCCATCCTTCAGAGAACCCCCCCGCCGCAACAATGTCACAAGCTCCGCCAACTCTCTCCGCAACCTACGCCTCCCCCACTAGCTCCCCCTTCACAATCACCCAACCCATCCCAGCCTCGACCGACGTGACCTCCAACAACCCAGCCGCCTACCTATCCTCCCTCCGCACCGCCGCTGCCTCCGTCCAGGACGACATCAACAAGGAACTCACGCGCCGCATGGAAGAGGACAAGGCGCGCGAGGCCGGTTCGGCGACGGGTGGAGTCTCTATTGACGAGGCGAAGGAGGAGGAGAACTACGGGGAGGAAGTGGTCGAGGACGACGAAGAGAACTAATTCACCAGGCCACAGCTGTGCAAAGCAAGGGGAGAAATCTCAAATGCTAGCCGAGAATATACACGGTTTCTTTACCCGCCAGGCGTACCTATCTGATTATCTAGACACACAGCGGCCTTCCCAAACTATCAAAACCGATAAGATCAAAGAAAAGAAACACCTTCTCGCCGTCTCAACCCATGCAAATGCGGAAATGATACCCGAAAGAGCGCAGCGTCGAACACAGGCTCGTCGCAGACAAATATACAGCACATGGACATTCAAACACCGAATTCCCACCTCCACGAGACATGCCTACGACATTGTTCTTCCCCAACTAGCCGCCCTCGCCCCATCAGACCTCGGTATACCCGTCCTAGTCGCACAACCATAGTGCACGACCGTGTTATCCGCAAGCACAGACACCACACTACCCCCCAATCGTTTGTGGCACACCCCACAAAGCTTCTCCTCCATCACGATGACGCGCCTGCTACGGCCGCCCTGTCCACCCTGCACGCCTGGTACGCCATCGCCGAGGAGCAGCTGCGCCTGACTGGCGATGTACTCGGTCGCTCGGAGGCCCGCGATCACTCGCGACTCGTTGACCATGCTGGTTGAGGCCCGGATGCGGCCGCGGAAGTAGGACTCGAGACTTCTTACGGGGAGACTGTCGGGAATCAATGATAGGGTTGATTCGGCCGGTAGTCGTGAGCCATGCTTCGAGAGGAGATCCAGCGCCGGGGGGAGATTCTGAGTGTGGGGTGGATGAGGCGTGAGATAAAGCGCCAGTAAAGTGTGGTAAATGGACGGCGGCGCCTCGACCTCGCCGTCCTGTGGAGGAGCCGCCCCCTGTTGGGACTGGGGACGTGATGGAGGAGAAGTAGACTCCTGGCTGATATGCACCTGATTACAATATCTAAAAAAGACGCGACAATTAGTGAACCTTTTTGTTTCCGAAGTGACATTGGATCTTAAGCTGGGTTTCACTCACTCCTCTGCCTTGGCATAATCCTTCATCTTGAACACGTAAATTTCCAGCGCTTGCTTGTGCTGACCCATAAGGAATAATATGACAGCCTGTGCTTGGTAAAAGGATGGATCTGATCACATAGTGTTAGCCCCTAAAGAATAAAAGGCCTCATCTCTTAACTTACCATCCCGCGGAATCATGCCAAACGCCTTGCTCAAGCTATACTGCCTACTCGAGCGCATAAATTTAATCAACTTCTCCATAGCAGCATCCCATTCATCACCTCTCGGCTTATCCTTGAGATACTGGATCAACAACTCAACAAGTCTATTGTGGAACTCCGGCGTCAAATCATTAAGCTCCGAGATAATGTGCTCAAGATATCGTATTTCCAGGGACGTCTCTATGCCAGAGAGAAACTTAGCCACTTTGTCACGCGGCAAGGTCTCAGCGTTCTCGGTGTCCGCCGTAAAGACCTCCATGGCGTGGTCGGGGTCGGCGCGAAGGGTCCATTCGGCATACTTCAGAATGAGGTCGATTTCGGGAGGTGCTAGGTTTTGGAGATACGATATGGTCCGCTGTGGACCGTGTAATGACGGTGCCGTTTCGTCTGGTTCCTCTGAGGAGCCGAATTTCTTGAGCAGTTCGAGGGCTTGCGAGTGCAATTTCTTGCCATAAAAGAAGTCGACGAGCTCGTTGAAGCGGTTATGTTCGAGGAGCTTCTCGTTGACGACTTCGGGATCACAAAAGTTGGGGATGCGGAAGAGTGACCCCGCCAGTGTAGGTCGCGAGAACATGTAGGAGCGGAACAGGGTTGTGTCGACGAGAGTGAAGGTATCCTGGAGTTGCTTTTCCAATTCCTTTTCTGACTCATCGTGGGCGGACGACAGAAAAGCTTTGAAAGTCTCCTCCGTAGTCTTGTTCTTATATGACCGAGGCTTCAACTTGCCCGTTGCTGGATCTATCACCCTCTGAAGGCGAGCTCGCGTGCCAGCGAGATAACTGTTGAGCTCGAGCACCGCATTAGTGAGATCCTTGCCCTCGAGTGGCTGATCTCCAGGGGGCTTCGCTTGAATACTCGAAGCATCATCGCTATCTGTGCCGTCCTTCTTCAGTGATTTCGTGGACGCGTTATCCGCTGCAAGCTTCCGGCCACCCATAAACATTGAAACAAAGCCTCCACCGCCGCCAGCTCGAGCTGGCGACGATGGTTGGGGGGTGGATTCCGGCGTCGCCGGCTCCGCACCGTTCGTCGCTTCGGGTAAACCGGTATCAGACTCCTCCTCCGTTTCCTCCGGGGGAGTGTACGCGGAGAGCTCGCCCGCTATTAACGGAGGGAATAACCGCAGTACTCGCTCTGGAGGGGCATGGACTTCGTCCTCGTTGAACAAATCCAGGGAAGCTCGGTACCTCTTAGCCTTGAACAGAAGCTCGGCTTTGAGCATTTTTGTCTCGCGAAGAGATTCGGTCTTGTTGGACAGCAGCGCATCCTCGAGCATATTCAGAATGCTAATCGCCTCGTCGTAGTGCCCAGCCTCGACCAGCTGCTTTACTTGAGAGTCGTAGTCAGTCGCCCCCATTTTCCATACACACCGCTCGCTAGAGACATGAAATCCCTTCGCATGCGCGAGGCTCACAGTAGGTGGGGGGAAATGCAGTTGAGCTGCGCCGGGTAGGGAGATCGATTGTAATAAGGAGAGAGTATCCGGATTCCGCACTTCTAGGATTCCCTTAGCCGGCGCCTGGAGCGAAAGGATATATGGGTACGAGTATCCAATAGACTCTGGTGCCACCTGCCAGGGAATCTGGTTTTTCTCCAGCGGCTTTCCATCGTCACTTATGAATTGCGTGTTGATGTCCTTTGCGAGGAGAAGCTCTCCTTCCGCTAGCCTGGCGGACAGCGGTTTGGGAATATAGCCCCCAAGACCCATGTAGCCCATTCCAGCTGTACTCACGGCACCAAAACGGCCTCCTGGTGCACCGCCGGGGCCGCCGAACCCTCCCGAGCTTCCTATCTCCTCTACCTCACTCGTGAGGACATTGACAAGCACGTAACCGCTATTCATACCGCATACGATCTTGGTCGCATTCGCCCAGGTGAGAGACCGAATTGTCTCTGTCAAAACAACCTCGGTGACATCGGAGCTCAGTTCGCTTTCATGCCAGCGCCATAGCAAGAGCTTGCGCTTCACGGCAACGGCCAAGCGGCTTATAATCTCGGGGATCCCAGTTTCCGGGTCCTTGAGGATGTTGGACGTGACGGCAAAGCAGGAGGCATTTCTGGTGCGACCGAGAGTTTCGATAAGCTCGTAGGTCTGGCGGTCATGGAGGGACACGTGATAGTTCGATAGCGAAACCAGTGTGCTCGCCTCTTTTATTATCGCGAGCTGTTCGATAGCTCTAGTGGAGAACTTTTCCACCTCGCGCAGGAGGTCTGTCGGTTTCTGGGTTGGCTGCGATGAAGGTTGGTCATTGGCCGCCTTGGTCGGGCTGCGACCGGGGATGGTAGATGGCTGTGAGGCACCATTTGTAGGTTTCGCGGGATGAAGCTCGTTGACTCGGTATATTCGGAGGGAGCCGGTGTTTAAACCAACAAGAACTCGGTCGCCTAGTCACACGGAAGGGTTAGATGCGTTCAAGGGATGCCTATTGTCAGGACGGAAGCTTTGTGTTGAGGAGTCGTGGGGATCCTACCATCAGCCAAGATGGACTCGATCTTGGACTTATCGCGGGCCCGAAGCTCGATAATGGGCCAAGCGGTAAATGCAGAGAGCATGGCGTCAGCCAGCCCGGGTTTCAGGTTGCTATCTGCTGGAATCGTTCATGAGATGACGGCGAGGTAGAGCTAGTGGTTCATTAGATGCTAGTACGGACAGTGTGCTGTAAGTGAAGTCATTCCGGGCGTCGGTTGCCAAGGTCATGCAGGCAAGCGCCAACGGTGGGTCCATTTCGGTATTTGAATATGTGTGATACTGGCATGCATGGTCTGAGCGATTGGGAGTCTTAGTAATACTAGTTGAGAAGGACAGCTCCCAACTAGCCGTATTAAGAGTGCATCTAAGACGTCGCCCTCAATCTAAGACACGAGGCACGACCTCACCGTCAAAATTGTCTGACAGAATTTGAATGTCATGGTAAATTGGCGTCGTCGATTCTGGTCACTTTGCGCATTACACATGCAGTGAGTGGGCTTTCTAATCTGCCCAAGCCGTGATCCAGATCCGCTTCGACTTGCACTTTCCAGCTCCTATTTGAGGGGCACAGATCAATTGAAACACATCAATCTAAACCCCGTATCTTAGCTCGTCCGTATTTTCTATGAAAAGGGACAAGACTCTGAGAAGTTGGTCCGAGCATCAGGGAATACCAAACAGCAGCTTAGTTGAAACTTCTCCATCGGAACCAACGCACCTTCCACCTGCACACCTTGGGCAGTTCAGCTTCACATGTCAATATAGGTACCTCATTGCAGGAAGCGGTTTCTGCTTGTACTTGTACCAACTTGAGGTGCCAGATCCATGGGGGAATTCAACATGGGAACATGTAGGAACCTCCAGAGATGTCGCGTCTCGCTTTCCCAGCTCTCCTTCCCAGCTCTTCCTGTGGACCCAGTTGCGGGCCTTCTCTGAGTCGAACTTACAAGGTTCCTCGACTTGCTCTTGCAGGCTCACTTTCCCATCTACCTTTGGCTGGTTCTGGTGTCTAACCTTGATCCTCTCTTCCTTCCGGTGCTTTTGTTCTGTCATTTCACGACCTACATTGCTTCAACCGACAGCTACTCTCCTCATCTCGTCTTACCTGACAGGCCCAGGTTCTCCCCTCACCCTTTCACCACCCATTGCCGAGCACTGCAGCTCTCCACTGCATTTTACGACGCCGGCAAAGCATTCATAGCCCTCCCATGCTGCCAGAGTCAGTATAGTATAGATGTCTCAAGACCGAATTGCCCCTGTCTTCGTCGAACTCACATCCCTTGCCATTCTTTTGTGCCCTCTTCGAGTACTCCTTAATCGACGCCCCCGGTGCTTGTGAACTCCTGTCGTTCCTTTAACTTCAGTGTCCTGGTTCGCATGTTACACTCATTGCCTTCTCAGCACCCACGGCCCTCAAGGCCGAACGAGGATGCGATAGTCTCCATAAATTGGCCTCCCAGCTCACCAGGTTATCATGGCCTACATCTCGCGATGCGTCCGAATACCGCTCGGCTCCCATGGCACAGCCGAAGCTTGCTGAATTCCGCCGCCTCGCCTGGGGATTCTGCATATGGCTCAGCGCCAGGAAGCCCCCGCCGCTCTGAATCACCATGCGAAGCGTCAACTTGGACGAATCCTGGTTGCGACGGTGTCCACTGCCCTATTGATTAGAGATCACTAGAGAATAACGCGTGCACCCCCAGCAGAACACTGCTAGAACAGGCATCATCTGATAATAACAACCCAAATCCTCAGAAAAGCCTTCCTGTAATTCCCTTCATATTCCATTCCGATCATGGCCGGCCGCCACTTACACCAAGGAACAACGAGGTCAGCAGGATTAGGAATTCAGCCCGCTCGAGAATACGATGTCCTGACCGGTTCATCCCACAGCGGCATACTGAATCCCCTCTTGCAGAGAAGTTAAGGCTAGGAAAGAGACATTCTTCGTTGTCCGATACCGAGAAGCTGTTGAGGCACCGTAGGGCTAGTGTTGACCCCTTCCAATCGAGATCGCGGGTTACTGCTCCGTCTGTCACGCGCTACCCGTTCTCATCCGGGGGCATTTCAACAACAGCCGTTGGTGGTAAGTCGGGTCACGACCGCTGCCATCAGCCGAGTGGCGGGGGGGTTCTAACTGTATTTTCAGGAACGGCAGTTCTCCGTTCGGTCCATGGTCGGCGAGCAGGCGAGCGTCACCCCAGCCAGGGAACAATCTGGACTGTTGGAGGCACAGTCTCTGATATAACAGCCGTCGAGGATGGCCATAGTAGATTCGTATACAGCGGCACGAATGCCCGACTCTTCCCTACATCGTACGCCAGCCGTCGGTCCAAATCCGAAGAGGACGAGGAAAGACACGAGGATCTCCTTGCTTTGGCACTCGATGTTGACCGTGTCAAGAGAATTCTAGAGACAGATATTACTGCTGGAGCTTCTCTTAGTATCGAGATCCCAATGCCAGGTTTACAGCCATCATCGGGAGTTAAAGGGACCAAGTGGAGTGGTACAAAATGGGAGAACGACAGCGTCGAAGGTTCGACTTTTCCGTTATGGAGGCGAGGTGAAAAGGAGATAATCACTGACTTGTCGCGCCATACCACAGAACCGCCCACTCAGGCATCCCTGCGCATTCTGCCTTCGTCACCTTTCAGGTACGTCTTCTAGACATGTTCCGCAACCACTTTCATTTTTATCTACATTCTCAAGGAGACCAAGTCCTAATGATACCAGAGTGCTCGATGCCCGAAACCTGCGCGATGACTTCTATTGCTCTATCCTTGCCTATTCAGATACCTGCAGTATCTTGGCTATGGGCCTTGGGAACATTCTCTACGGTTGGACCGAAGACAAGGGTGTTGCTCTCCTCAAGACTTGCCCACCGGAATGCTGGATCTCTTCGGTCGACTTCTCTTCCTCCCAGGGCAGAAAGAGTATTCTAGCTTTTGGCAGAATCGACGGGCATCTTTGTTTGATGACACCGAGCGAAGCCGACTCTCCGCGATTCGACATTGAACAGCCGTTCCCAGTTGCCTATGTGAGCTGGCGACCTGTTTGCACGACAAGACCGTCGAAAAATCCACTAAACCCCGGTGTCCCAGTCGAAACGGAGGACTTGTTAGTCGGAGATTATCAAGGTGACATTTTTTATTACATAGTCGAATGGCCAATGGGCTGGGAAGTTGAAAGAGACACCTGGCCGGGCACCTTAACACTCGTCGCCAGGATCAAGGCTCATGCCCAGCAAGTTTGCGGGTTGGCCTGGTCCCTCAAGGGCGACTTGTTTGCATCGGGTGCGAACGACAATCACTGCTGTCTCTTCAGTGTCAACCAAATATTCGGCCCGCCCAGGCAGGATGCGCAAGGCCTCACATCTTCAGTTGAAGGGTACGGAAGACATGTGGAATATCCCCAGAGCTACGTCTACACGAATATGGACGAGAACAATGTATCCAACAATGGAGGTGAACTCATGACTCTGAGGACATCACCGCCCACTGTGAGGAATATGCTACCGGGATCTGAGAGATTCCGGTGGGTCCATGCAGCTGCGGTGAAGGCCATCGCATTCTGCCCCTGGCTAGATGGTCTTGTTGCAACTGGAGGAGGTTCTAACGACAAATGCATCCACTTCTTCCACACGACGACCGGAGCGACCCTCGCAACGATTACGGTTTCGGCCCAGGTGACGTCGCTCATTTGGTCGACAACGAGACGAGAATTGGCGGCGACTTTTGGCTACCCCCAACCGGATCATCCATACCGCATCGCCATTTTCAGTTGGCCGGATTGCAAGCAGGTTGCAGCGATCCCGTGGCCCGGCGAGTACCGGGCCTTGTATGCTATACCATACCCTGGCCCGCAGCCACGGGGCAACCCCCACGATGACCGCGCAAGAAGCAAGAAAAACATGACTCCGCAAGAAGGATGTATTGTAGTGGCGGCGAGCGATGAAACTGTCAAGTTTCACGAGGTGTGGACGGCCGGCAGGAAGGCGACGGTTGGAGGATCAGGAATGCTTGGGGGTAGCGATATTCTGGAGGGCATAGAAGGCATTGATAAAGAAGGAGACCTCATTCGTTGAAAGCATGTTTTCTTGACTTTTTTGTTTTCCCTTTCCCTCTTTTCCGTTTTCTCTTCCTTTGAAACCCAAAGGGGCATATAAACGGAGTGTGAGTGAGTATTTATATAAGGGCTACGCTGAGTCAGTTTAGTTTGGGGGGGGTTGGGACGAGGTTTAAACCCACAGCCGGTTGATATTGGGATTTTCTGTATCGTTAGATGTTATTGATGGGGGTATCGGGTCCTCGAGTAGAATAGAATAAGAAGGACAATGTCACTCTAATGCAAAAGCGGATGGGGGAGACAAACTTGCGAGAATATGTCTGATTCAGTATAGCTAAGAAACACCACCAGCGCCAGTAACGATTCCCTATCCCATGCGAGAGAAGTATCATTCCGTATTTCGAACCTCATTCGAAGAGGAGAGCCCATTCGAAAGAGTCGCCAACTAAAGTAGTACAAATGAAACGAGAAGAAAGATAGGCAGAGCAATGAGAATAAGGGCTCATCTACCTCAGTACTAACCCCCCAAAACACCAGCGCCAAACCTCAATAACAACAAAACAAAGCAAAAAGTACGAGGCGCCGAATAACCTCCCCAATTACACTCCCCTTATTTCAAGATAGCGATAAGCAAAACCAAAATGATAATAGTAATAATAATAGCAGCCATCTGCCTCCCCTCTCCCGACGCCCTGGCCACCCTCCCCAACGACCTCGAAGCCCTATCCAGCCTACTCTGATGCCTATCAACCATAGCATCAGTCTCATCCAGCATCTCACACTGCGCCTCGAGCTCATCCCCCATGCGCATGCTCAGTTCCCTCTGCCTCCCAATCGTCTCACCCAAACGATCAAGCTGCTCGTCCTGCTCAGCGAGGACGGTAGAGTGGAAGGCGTGGATCTGCTCGTTCGTCATGCCCTGGGCGCGATCGGCTGCGGAATTAGCTTCCTCGGGGTCGTCTCGGTAGCGGGAGAAGAGTTCGATGGAAGGGTCGTCTTCCGCCGGGGGCGTGTCGGAGAAGCGGACGGATTTGGAGGCCGTGGTTGGGGCTGCGGCGGGTTTTTTGGTGGGGGGGAGGGTTGTTGCATGGGTGAAGTCTGCGGCTAGGGAGGGGTCGTTGGGGTGTGTGAGGGTGGAGGTTGTGGAAGGGGTGGTGAAGCCGTGGAATTGGGAGGTTAGGTCGTCGAGTTGGTGTTGGAGGGTGGGGAGGTTGTCGGAGATGTCGAGGGCGGCGCTGGGAGTGGCCATCAGTATACATCGTTCTTGCAATGGAGAGCGGGTGTCAGACAGGAAGATATATAACTCACTCTTCATCTCCCTTATCCCGGAGCCTCTGTTCCTCCTCCCTTAGCGCCTCCAGACCATCCTTGAACTGCTCCAGCGATCGGGAAATGTGTCCATCCTGGGAGTTTCCCTCGAGATTCAGCGACTGGGCACGCCGGCGTTCCAGGAGCGAGAGCTTGATGTGGTCGGCAAGGAGGAAGAGCTGATTCGGCTTCGACATCTTCGGAAGTCCTTTTCAGGGGGATTAATGTGCTCTTTTGGGGGTCGGCGGATCTATTCGTCTGGGAGAAAGAAAGCACCGAGAGAGGGCGACTATTTCTCTCGTTGGCAATGTGTTGACGCCAAAAAGGGGGCCGACTCCCACGAACAGACGTAGAAACTGGGCTGCGCCGCAGGCGTTTCTGTCTGTCTCGAATTCTTCGGTGGATTGCGAGGTTTATTCCAAAAGTTGATTTAGAAAGCGAAAAGAAAAAGACCGGAATAGGAAATAGGGAGCGGAAGGACGGGGGCTGAGATTTAAGGTTTTGAAGTTGGTTCCTGCCGCGAAGTGACGGGCGTACGTACTGAGGTAGTCCACGACTTGAATGCGGAACACGAAATGCAGCAGCCTTCAGTGAGAAAGTCGCAGGAGGGATCGCCGGATTACGTCATCGCTGAGAATCATTGTTGGCGCATTTGTATCGTGGTGCGCTCATGGAGCATTATTGGTCTGGCAAGATTAACCAGAGAGCCCTTGGATGATCCGAGAGCAAACGAGTGGAAATACGAAGTAGATGTTTCGCTATTTCAAAGTATTTCATTCAATCTTCTATTAACTGTATTGTATATCCAACCATGGAGTGTGTCAGCGCCTATCTCTCTTTTGAACCATTCGTCCTCGCCCAAGTTCCCTCTCATTTGGAAACAACGGTGCAACGAGACTATCGAAGAGCAAGCAGCTTGGAGATTGATGGCAGATAGTCTCAATGGGCAAATGCGCAACAAGAATGGGCCATTTCCAATGATCTTATCTATCAGAATTTGCCCACTTTCCCCGACAGCGTAGCCCGCTCAAACGTCCAGATGTTTAATCCCATCAGTTCTTCTTCGCCCCAGGCTGCTTATGATGATGCAACTCTTCAATCTGCTCGTCAACCTTTTTCGATAACTCCTGCAGCTTCTCGTTGCCGCCAAAATCCTCACGGTCCGCCTTGACAGCTTCTTCGCTGGGGCTAGCGAGGTCTGGCTCCCATTTGTCGTGTTGGATCTTGCCTGCGGGTGGGGGTGTGTTCTTGCCTATACGGAGGTGTCATCATCAGTATTATGACTTTTTATTTTTTTATTCTCCAATGCTCGAATCTCGGGGGAAAGACTCGTAGATAAATTCTCCGAGACGGGTCGGCGAACAAACTAACCACCAGTTGAAGTTGTCTTGCTGCCGGTGGCGTAGGTAGCCCGGGCACGGTAGGTAATTAGAGGAGCCCGTGTGCGTAGAATTCGGAGAGCTAGTCTGGAAGAAGACATGGTATCCGTCCTCGGGTATGCCTCGAGATGCGAATTGATGAAAATTTGGATGGTGAAGGTGTAGATGAGTGCTTGGAGATCTAGAGTGAACTATCAGATGTAGAGATCGGAAAACGAGGTTACGTCCCTACAACTATATATATACTGACGGTATCAAGAACCTAAACATCATTGGACACTGTCAATGGGTAGCACTCCCTCTCCTCCGTGTCATACCATCCGGTCCGGAGAAGCTTGCTGTGATGGAGGAGGTACTGGTGTCCCGGTATCTTCACCACTGACGTCAGACTATCTTCAACGCAGGCATCAGATCATCTGAGATTCCAGGTCCGCGGAGCGCAACCCTCCAAGATGACTGCTCCTGCCCCTCATCGGTGGACCGCGGCGAGTCGGTCTGGATAAGGTCAAGAATAAACACGACATGTAGTATTATCCTGTGTTCCTGGCGTCCATCCCATGCTGCGGTGAAGCAAACCGAGAAAGTCTACCGAGGCGTGAACTTCTAGTACTCCCTAGGGTACTACCTTGCGCTGTTTGTCCCTGCTTTCCCACGTTAGTTCAGAAAAGACGCGGAGGAGCGTACGGCAAGGTTGTAATAGAATACCTCGAAGTTTCTGGGTCCTTAACTGGAGGAAAGGGGTAGGGCATGCACTGAGCAGTGCTGGAACTGGCGGATCTTTTCGTCTATCGTGCGAATTGTCCCCTTGCAATTATTTAGCGGGTCATTGCCTCACTGAGGGTGATCAGGGTCCCAACCTCTTTGCGGACACCTCGGACTTCTTCCAACTCCCGAATAATTTCGTGCGAAGCTTTGTGACGCTCGCCGGTTGGTTTAACGACCTCTTTCGCATGCGTCACCGAAGAGCTGCTCTCAGAGTCGGCTAGACGAGATTTCAGGAGCTTCTCCAAGTCGGTATCAGAGCAGAAGCTGAGGCTGCAAGATAACCTACCAATTCCGCAAGGTATCCGAGCTATCAAAGCTCCTCGACTAGGCGCGGTGGGTGGTTGCTAGCCCGAGACCTGGGCAAGGCCGGTCGAGGGAGCGCGGGGGCTTTCCTTTCCACTCCGAGAACAAACTGTGGGTCGAGGCGTCTTATCTCAACATCTCCCTTCAACCAACCTAGTGGACGGCATCTCCTTGGTTATCCATGAAGATCATGGCAAAGTAAGGACAAACTCCAATCCCGTGTGGGAGTTCATCCATAATAGCCTTCTATACTCTGGTCTGTTAGTTTAAGTGGAATTTTATCATGGTAAATGAGGTGGAAGTTCGTTGTTTTTCGATTCTTCGTGCTTTGCCCTTGTATATGTGCGGCGGCGTCGATTTGTTTGTTTCCAGTTACTGAACATACAACTTTCCAAGCATACCATTTTTCTTTCTCCCTCCCCTTTCCCCCTTTCTTTACTTTTGGCCTTGTGTTATGCTTTGTATGTTGTCGAAAATTGTAAGAGCCTCCTGATTGTTAATGTTAAGTCGGCTTCTTGTTTTCCGGATGAGTAGGAATGATGGTTGGGAATGTGGATATCTGTTGACATATACATTGATCATTAAAGAATCATGAGTCAGACACACTTTACATCGAATCGGTCACGGAAACGCGCTTGATTAAAATTCAACTCAGCGTAATGTTATCATTGCTTTCATGATGTATCTGCTTTCGCGCGGGTGTCTCGTTTCCCCTCGCCTACCAAAAAAAAAAAAAAAAAAAAAAAAAAAAAAAAACTCCCCCAAAGCGGCAGCATCGCCGTAGCAGGACTAGTAATGATGCATCCACGCTTTCTGCACTCCCGAGACTATAAATCGTCGGTGGGTGTAGAAGTATAAATGATAAAACCCTGAATTTATCGTCCCTTAAGCAGTGTTGATTCTCCTAGACCATTGTGATCTTCTCCTCAAATTCGGCGCGATGTAGCAAGAGTAAGAATGCTGGACACATGCCTCCCTTCTCTCGAAACCAGACGTTCTCTTTGGATTCGTCTAGTTATCGGAAAGATGAACCATGAGACCGTGCTTTATGTTTCATTACCAATCGGTCTCCCGGCCTCCATTCTCAACATGAGCCTCGACTCCTGCGTCGTCACACGACCAGCCTCCATTCTCATCATGAACCTCGACTCCTGCGTTGCCAAACGACCAGCCTCCTGTAGCGCCAGAGGACCAAACCCCGTCAGCATGAGGTGACTCAACTAGAGTGGCGTCAGAAGCCTCAATGCCAGCGGTCCCAACAGAAATGTCCGGCCCCAAGGAGGTACCGGCCTTGATGGTTGCGAGCTCCGCGAGGTCAGTGTCCTGAGTGTATTCCTCTTTGGCGGAACGCAGTCTTTGTTAACTCGAATCACACTCGTTCGTTGACCAGCACTCCCTCGGGAGTTGTCTCCAGCTCGGCATTTGTCGCTTTGATGAGGGCCATTGCACCTCTCACACTTAGGTGTGGGCTTTCGACACTGGTCTTTCTCGTGGCCCACCTGCTTGCAACGGTGGCACCACTTGACGTTGCAGTACTCTGCATGGTGTCCTTTCTCTCCACACTTGCGGCATACCCGTTCGGGGCAAACGGCCGCCCTGTGGCCCCGCTGCTGGCAGGTACGGCACACAACATTTAAGCCCCTCGGTTCAGTGCAATCTTTGACGGTGTGTCCGACCTTCGAACAGCGATTGCAACTAATGGCATCATCCTTCTTTGGGCACTGCCTAGCGATGTGTCCCTGTTCACCGCATGCGTTACAAGCTATACCGCGGGGCGTCTTGAGTTCTTGGGCACAGTCTCGGTAGGTATGTCCTTTACCCTCGCAATTGTTGCAGGTAAAGTCGCCAGGCGTTGTCTTGCATTCAAAGATAAGATGATCCACATTGCCGCACCTTTTGCAAGTCAGGGGTGTGGGACATTCATTCGCCGAATGCCCCTGGATCTCGCAGTTGCGGCAGATCCGGGTCGGACAGAGCGCTGTGATGTGTCCAATTTCCTGGCAGCTTTCCCGTTCACATTTGGCCTCGGACATGTCAAGAGCCACTGCTTTGCAAGACGAGGTTGTGTGTCCGTCCCTCTGGCAAACGGTGCAGCATGGAATGCGGAACACCAGCTTCCTCTTCTCAAATTCGCGATACAGCCGGTATAGGACGTCTGCCCGTTTTCGGTATTGGGGCATGTCCCTGCCAACAAACGCACCTCGATTGAGAAGGAGGGCGGTGATACCTCGAGCCCTGGTCGTGACGAGGGTGGTTCGAAACTTCTCTCCAAGGAACCCCGTATGATCAGTGAGAACGAAGTCGCCAAAGACAAAATCGGCTTCATCACCCTGTGCATCGTCTAGCGTCTTCACCTTGACTCGATCGGCTTCCTCCTCGGTGAGCTCGCCGAGCTCTACCAAGATCTTTAACGAATGCTGATAGGCCTGGTTCTGTGCTTTAAAAGACACAACGATAGGATATTTCCGATCTCTGCTACCACCTTTTTAGCCGTATTAACGGTCGCGCCACCATTGCGTACGCGGACGAATATGACGATGGGGTTGTCCTGGGGCTTTCGCCTCCACCCAAGTCGATAGACTCCGATCGCTCTCCAGTTCATAGTATCGCACACGTCACGGATCTGGTCACATATACCTTCGTATTCTTTGGTAATCCTGTGTTGCTTGCCGACAGGAAATATATGGACAGGAGCGCGATATACGTAGGGGCCCGGACTCTGTGGCGGCTCATCAAAGGCATGGTATGACCTTGCCAGGCAGATAAGGTTGCCCGGAATTCCATGGTAGAGTTTTCTCTGCCAATCTTCGATTGGCTCTTCAAAGTCGGCAGTCATGTCCATGCTTGACAAGGAATGACTATTCCGCCGCTTTCTAATAGCGTCAGGGTCAGGAGATGCACATCAAGACTGGAGCGGATGGAGTGGGCGACATACCTGGAGATACTTGAGATGATAGAAGGAGCGTTCTAGGAGAATGAGAGATGAAGGTCGGTACCATGTTGAGAAATTCTAGGTAGTTGAGACTTGGTGGTTGGCGAAGAAGGGGCCACTGTGCATTTATATAGTCGGCTCGAGTTCGGATGTAGGGACTGTTTGAAAGAGGAACCCGCCGAAAATATGAGGCCCAAGCCGAAGGCTACATCGATCGCTCTGTCGTTCGGCTCCTTAGTCTGCTCGATCTCAGATGCTTGGCTCGTTCATGGGCGCTTGGTCCTTCCTCCAGAATTGAATAAATCGACGAACGACCCCCTAAAGCCGGGTCTGGCTAGGCAGTTTAAAGTCGTACCTCTAGACTGGAGTGGCGGATATTTCAATCGGCCCCCTAAAGTCGGGCCAGACTAAGCCTTTTAAGGTCTTGCCCAGGACCATTTGATGCAGCTTGCGATGGTGGAAGCCCGCCTCGCGGGTCAAGCAAGGCGTGTTTCTGGAAGGATGAGGAACTGGGTGTGGGAGGGTTCAGGGAAGTGGGCAACGATTAAGGTGATAATAGGAGAAGAGTCACAAGAGTACAATTATGACTTGCTGGTTAATAATTAGTAAGGAGTTAGAAGGGGAAGGAGCTGCCATACTTACTTTACCTCTGCACATCAGGCGCCACGGCAGCGCTGACTTAAACAAGAAAGTAAGAAAAAAAAAAGAGGAAAAAAAAAAGAGGAAAAAAAAAGAGGAAAAAAAAAGAGGAAAAAAAAATAAAATAAAAAAGAGAGAGAGAGAGAGAAGAGAGAGAGAGAAGAGAAGAGAAAGAAGAGAAGAGAGAGAGAGAGAAGAGAGAGCTTGAGGGCGACTGTGAAGGCCGTTTTAGTTGAACTTCCACGCGAACCTAGGGATCATCCATCAGCTCTAACATTGTCGGAGCAGTGATGGGTCTGGTGTCCTTGGAGGGGTTCTCGTCCTCTTCCATAGGATGGTGATTGATACTTACGTCGAACTGATCAGCGATGTCTTGTGGGGGTGGGGGGGGATATAATGATGAACATGACAAGAGAGGAGAGAAGGAGCATGCCGTCACCCTTGATTTCATCGTAGACTTTCTATGAACTTTAGATGTATAGTTGCCCTCTCTTATAGCACCCAGCGTGGTCATTAAGATAAAGCTTACAAGGAAATATATGATATCTCTAAAGCCTACAAGGCCATCGCACGACGTTTACAAGGCTCTGAATATTCAAGACTGAGAGGTATAAGTCCCATTGTTTTCCGGTTCCCCATCCCTAGGTCGTCGAGCTTCATAGAACATCGCATAAAGCACAGTGATATCTGTAACAGATAAACCCATCGACCCCCCCAACGATAAACTCTGCAGGAGCCTAGGAAAGACGGATAAAACACTCATCACAACATCGGCAATGGACCGCAGTTTTGAAGTAATACAACATTGCCTTTGTATTTTTTGCAAACGCAGGGGCATCTTCGCAGCAAAGCCGACAACCCAACTCCCCATTTCCCAAGTACCGGATGGCCCCCAATTTGGCCCAGACTATGGACATACACTTTGCCAAAACAATTGCTCCCGCCTATCTCATGTCTTTGCCGACCGCCGCCCAAACAAAGTGATATTTCCCATGAATAGACCCAGAGCGGAAGTAAAAAACACCCAGTAATAATAGTAAAAAAAGAACACAAAAAAAATCAAAAAGAGACAAGCTGCTGCTCCCAGTGTGCGTGTTGTTGTTTCCCAATTGCTCCCCTTTGCCCGCTTCCAATAAGACTCGTGTCAAAAAAAGAGTAGAAAAAAGGTAAACAACAAGAAGACTAAAAGTCATTCTCTATATGTCCAGGTATAAAAAAAGCCTCCTCTTTTTCTTTGTGATGATGTCGTGGACCCGTAATGGAAAAAAAAACAAGCTTCTGACCATGGTTGACAGCCCGAGATTTTGTATCTCGCAACGATAGAAAAACAGTCGACCGCACGCTTCCCGTAGTAGTAGTAGTAGAAAATCGAACCGAGGATGAGCGATGGAGATTATGAATGTCGCGAATAACGAATCAGAGGTGAAAAAAAGGATACCGAACCAAGCCGAAAACTCCGCCGTTAAAGGTTGTCGCAACAACCCGATGCAATGCCGATTAAACGCAAAAACCGCCCTTCTGTAAAAACGCCTGTTCATACCATGATCGAGAGAAACCGAGAATGATAAACTTCATCTTTCGAGACCGATAAAAACACCGACGTTTCCTTGGTATAATGATGACAAGGTTTGAAGAACAAAATAAGGGAAGAATGAATAAGAAACAAATTGATATCGGGAGATATCGAGAAAAGAGATTTGGGGGGATCGATAAGATGCTGCTGAACCAAGGGGTATCAACCTGCGAACGGGAATCCTTTCCGTGTTGTTTAAACAGGGTATTGTGTCGAAATGATCCAAGGTTGTTTGTACAAGTCGAGAGAAAAAAAGGATACCGTTCAATCGGCTGATAGAAGGGTCGAAAGACTAACCCGAGAGGGATTATGTCGGAAGATGTGGGACAGGAGAGAGTGAGAGAGTGCGTGCGGAGAAGAGAAGGAGAGGAGAGAAAGAAGCGAGTGTGCCTAGAGACCCTCGTCCCAGGAACAGTAGAATATTATCGATGGCCAATTGTTGTCGTCTCTATTTCCGAGTCGCTCCAGAATTGTCGTCAGATTTTGCCTTTTTTTGGTCGTCGGTGCCAGCCAAGATGACAGCCTGCTTCTCTCAACCGGGATGAGCAGATAGAAAAAAAAAAGAAAAAGAATGAAACGTTTCCGACTTTTCATGACATCACATTGTAACGGCAAAGGGTTCGCGCATAATCTCCATCAAAACTCCCGGATTACGGGAAAGCTGACGAGACGACGGCTTACCATCGCCGCATAGACATCTGCTGCATCCTGGCCGGAGAGACGGAAGGAGGAGGGCTGCTCATGGTGGCACCGGTAAGAGGGTTGACAATGGGGATGGCATTGCGACCGCGGGTCGCGGCAGGCTGGTGCAACTTGAGGTTCGACTGTTGGCTATGGAAGGCGGGAGGGACGAAAGCTGGAGAGGCCGAGTTGAGAGAGAAGGCTGGGGCAACGGTCTGAGGCTGTTGGGTGGGCGAAGACTCGGGAGAATTGCTGGCGAGGGAGGAGCGTTCCGATGCGCTGTGAATGGAGACCAGCTGAGGGTGCCAGTTAGTTGGGCTGGATGATCGAGAAGACATCGACCCGCTGTATTCACTCACATCGCTGTCCGTCAGCAAACCGGGGCAGAACTCCAGGTCGTCTTCGAGATCGAATGATCGGGTGGCCTCAAACCGAGTCCGGAAATTCATTAACGCAGTCGAGTCAGACAGCTCCTTGAGACTCCGGACCGTCCTAAATTGCCGGTTGGGATTTTGTGACATCGATAGCCTCGGTGCTCTTCGACTCCGGCCATGATGATTTTGCGAGTTGGAAGCCGCAGCAGTGGGGTGTGCGTGGTGTGCGCCGTAGTAATATGCCGACATTATGACTCAATTGTGGGTTGTGATGGATTTTCAAAGGTTGTCGTCAAATTGAAGAGAGCGAGATGCAAGTCCTCCTTTTAATCGCACTGATGAATGTCTGATTTGCTTCGTTGTCGATGTTGAGTTTGAGGTCGAAGCAGGAGAATCCAGCTTTGAAACACAAACAGGTGGAGTGAGGGGGGGAGGCTCTTCTTGACAGCTGACCGAGGGAACCGGGAAAAGGTCGGTGAGTTTGGGTTGTTGAGCAAGGGGCAAAAAGGAAATTATCTTCCAATGTTTTTCTTGTGTCGAAAGAGAATCGTTGTATTAACGTAGGATAGGAAAAGAACCCAGATGAACTTTTTCTTTTTTAGAGAAAGGAAATGGATTTTAGACCTGAGGAGGTTTTAATTATGCTTGGAGTATGTATGCTTGTGTGTGTGTGTGTGGAAAAGAAGTCGTGGGGGAGACAGGTAGAAGGTGGGAGGAATTTGGAACAGAAAGCGCGGGCAGACGGGGATGGCGATGGCGGGTTTTTGTTGGACCAGGTGGTCTGGTGGGTGAGAGGAACAGAGGGAGACTAGCGGCGAAAGCGTCGAGGTAGGTCCAGGGAGTACGTACTTCCTGCTTGCACAGTGGGATGTGTACGTACTGTACAGCACAGTATGGGCAACTTTGACCAGGAGCCAGCAGTACATCGACCATGTACACCGTGTACAAAATGGAGGCCGGTTGAGCCTTACAGTGCGGGAAGGGGGCGATGGAGGGACATGCGGGAGAGGTGGCAAGTGGACAACGTCAGCGACACCAAATGTGGCAGATGCGTGTAATTGGACAAGAGGGCCAGGGTGGGCTTGCCTCGACCAGCACAGAGCGAGGAACAAGTGACGAGGGAGGGTCCAAGTGCACAGGCGGTCGTCGCTTGACGAATCAGACGGAGGCCACGAGACGCAATGTGAGTGGGTCTCAGGCTCGCCACCAGCTCGTCATTGGCCGATAGCAAATGTCTTTAGTCCCAGGATGGACTAGCGAATGACCTTGGGACCACTTTTGTGCCACCTGTAAAGCCTAGTACTCCGTGTCTCAACTGTATGAAGTACTTAACCCAAGTATCATTGATATTGCACACCCCCAAGTGGAAAATTGACTGTGTCTTCTTTTTTGCGGCGGCTGATCCGGTTCCTTCCTGCCATGGCACAGGAAAACAAACATTCTGAGCCGAGCTCACAGGGGCAGGAGCGGCACTAGCCTAGAGCCTAGAGCATGGAAGGCACTATTGCCTACTGTACTTCTGACCCATAACATTGATGTACTTCGTAATACGAGAGGGCTTCTCCTGAGAAGGCTCCGCTCCTCATTGATGGATAGCAAGATTGAACCTGGGACGGCTCCGAATTACGTGTGGGATTAGGGCTTTCCGAACGAGCATTGAACAATTGTCCTCCAAAGCAGCAGGCTCCGAGAACTACCCACTCTCATTACCTCGTAATTCGTGCATCGACAAACCTGTACAAGTAGATAAACTCGGGTTGGTGTGACCCGTGGCGGAAGATGGAACCGACTCGCTGCTTCTAGGCTGGGCACAAGTTTGACCTTGTGCTCTAAACAAATTACTGATAGGATTGCGGTGTCTTGCTGGCTGAAGCGAGAACGATGGTGAATCTACTCAGTAATTATCGTGTTCTCAACAGTGTCCACTTCCTGATTCCAGCGCAAGTATCCATCTTAATTTCCCCTATTTAGCGCCCTGAATCGCCAATGTTTTGGCTCTGCTTCCCCTGAGCGGGGGAAGAAGCTTTTGAGCTCATTTCCCCTGGGAAGGTTTGGGCCTGGTCGAGGCCGGCTAGAGGTAAACTTTCAAGAGTGGAACTGGCCGTCTCGCTTCTCCTGTCGTCAGCATTGCCGCTGCAACCTCAGCGTGAAACTGCCCCTGGCAGAACCAGTTCGTGAGTTTCGCTTCTTTTGCGTATATGCAGGTGCGCAGGGCAGTGCCGTCTCATCAAACCCAAATGATCCGAGAATCTCCCAGCCCACTATCCATTGCATACTGCATATATTGCCGCATGGCTGGCCTATCCAAGTCAAGCCGACCGGAGTGGCAAATTTGTATCCATCCAGCGGGCAACTCTGGCTTGAATGGGCCAGAAAGGAAAAGGCGAAAATAGGGGTACCTGGATGCTGCATGGATTTGATTACCATCTCATTCAGTGGTTCTCCCCAAACTCAGAAATTAATGGCATAATAATTGCCCGATTCCACGGAGGGAACGAGCATGAGGAGCTGCGCCCTTTCCCCCCCGTGGGGATTCTAAGCCTCAAGTTCACAGACCTCACTCCCTCTACCGTCAACTGCCTCTTCTGCGCCTAAATGGGTGATTCCTCCCTCTCGTCTATGTTTGTGGGGGCTCATCATCCTTCCTCCTCCGTCCCAAAGGAGCTGATAATAGAGCCGCAGCATATGCGGAGAAAGGTGCATTACGCACTTCGCAGAGGGCGCATGCTTTCTTTGAGAGGCGATGATCTTTTCAATTATTTTGGCTTTTCAACCCTTTTGGCGCAAAGCAGCTCGCCTTCTCAAGCCCCTCCGCGCACTACCCGAGATATGATCATCGGAGAGAGCCATTCCTAATCCAGGATCGCATCCAGTCATGGCACTGAGTTGCTTGGACCCTCCGTTCCGGGTTGGCTTCACTTCCCTTGAATGCTCACCCACTGAGAGAGGAGAGTACTCCGTAGAAGTGATAATCTACTTCTGAATAGGTCGATCCCAACCTGCTTTGGGACTCACACTGTGGTGGAGTGCACCATCGAAGAGACTAGCGGTTGGGGAAGTAGTCTCGTGAGCACCTGTATTTTTCACACTGTGAGATGCGGAGGTACCTCGTCGTCCCCACGGATTGTTGATACTGTTCTTGACCTGAAGGCAACACAGTAAATATGATACGGAGTACGATGGTACGAGGGTACAGGGAACAGGGATTCTGGAAGGGTACAACATGAATTGTACACCCCAGGTCAAATGCAAGTGTCTTGGAGTCGCAACAGTGGTGTATTACAGTGCGAAATATCTCGACGCTCAATGGCTGATGAGACTTGGAGAACGAAGAACTTCTTCCTGTCCTTGTTTACGGGCTCCGGGTGGCCCCAAGGTCGGCCCACCTCGATCGACCAGGGTGTCGATTACTGAGAGGCCCTATCCAAGTCTTGGAGTGAGGTTGCACGATCGATAATCGAGGTGAGTAATGGTGGGGAGATGATTCTTTTACCCCGTCTCTCTGGAATGCTGGGATGAAGCGACCGCAGCGTCGACAAAATCGCATCTGGTGACCCATAACGAGACCACTCTTGAATCTCTTCGGCCTCCGATGGAGTCATCTCTGCATTTGTTTTCTTTCCAACAACACTCCGCGGCTCTGGTCAATGCCGGTCTCCGAGCTCTCAGTTGTATGGAGCCTTTGTCCCCCTTTTTTGACGATTAATGGTGGGACATGTCCCAGGGCTTGCATGGGGGAGCATGATGGGCGTTTGGATGATGGCCTTTCTCCCAGAGCCTCTTTTTGCCCTCTGCAGAGTCGTGGGACCCTGCTTTTGGTACCTCCTGTAGCAGTGACCAAAAATGGAACCTCGCAGCTCAAAGTTCCCTGTCAAGATTAACGCTAACTCACTCCGCTATAATAGCCAGGCCCTGGCGGGGTGGGAAGGACAGACCTGGTGAAGAATGCTGGGCGGATAACCCAGATCTCCGACCACCCCCATCATCGTCAACGTCAAACCAGGTACCTCGCAGCGTGGATGTTTGATGATGGCGGATGCGCATGCTCTCTTTTCGGGTTCCGGTTTCCAAGGTCAAAACAAGACGACCGCATGCAAGCTCTGTTACAGCGTTTCCTTTTGGGTTTTCCTTTGTGGAAGAAGCGAACCTTGGATCGTGAAGACACACATGAAAAATTGGTCGAGTTTCTTGGAGAGGTTAGATTATTAGCCCATTTCCCCAACAGAGACACCCGAGTTCGCATCTCCGCCGTAAGCAGTAGCTGCTTCGTCCTCGAAGCCATGAAAAAAGTGTCTCTACGATAGGTCGGACATACAGGTACATCCAGAGTTTGTTGGATTTGCCGTCCCATTCGCCTTCGGCTAAGTGTATCATCAATTCGGCCGTACATCGTCAACAGGCGAGGAGACTTCAAACACAGGATTACTTGTACCATCCCCGTCTTCCCTTGCACGTGGAATTCTTCCATCCTATCCTTCCTGCTAGCTCTAAATTCCTCATGCTAGCCTCTTTATGGGCTCGATAGTTGAAGTGACCCAACAATGAATAAAGACCAATAGCCCGGCTTTAACTACGAAGTAGCTTGATCAGATCCCCAGGCTGTCAGCAAACATTCAAGCGTACGTACCACGGGGGATCTCGAGGCCAGTTTATGCGCCACGCCACAGATCCTCATCTATCTCAAACCTTCTCGACGAAACTTTCAAACTCGTTTGCTATTCGCCCTGTATCTCCCTCCGAATGCTTGTTTCGTCAAGGTCCGGCCAGATCTCCTGGCCCGCGGATTGGGGGTTGCTATTTTAGGCCAAGGGTTTGCATGCGACGACAGCCAATTCCTCTGCTGTACGAAGTAGTGCAACATGCCATGGGAATCGCAAATAACCTACCTAGCCGCTTCCTTCGTCCTAATTTTCCCAGCCAAACAGCGCCCGGGAACAGAGATGGTTGGGCTCCTACGGCGCCAATGACGGCATCATTGGGACACCTTCAAGGTGGCTGGATTGGAGGGGCGGGTCTGGTTTTCTTGTTTAACGCTCAATGGGATCGGTTCATGCTGTCAGATTCCCTCCCTCCATTAGGCGAAGGAAGCTTGCAGCTTCCTGTTTTATTCCTGTTGCATTTTGCAGTGTCCATTTCTGCCAAGAATGGATTTCAGCCAGCAAATCCACAAACTCGTTGGATATTCTTGTCTCGTGGCGGTAAAGTGTGGTGCTCCCGGCACTTGAAGCCCAGCCTCAGTCAGGTTGCCCTCCCATTTGAGGCTGAGGGTGGTGGCATTGATGGATCAGACAGACAAGGACCACACTAGTCCGGAGGAAGGGGAGAGGAGGGGCAACTCTTGAATTCATTCGCCGCGAACAGAATTACCCCTCATTCAAACGAAGGTGCCCGAGATCGTGGGGAGGTTGAGCGATGGATTGAATCCCTCTTCCCTCCTTCAGCCCCCGTTCTCTCTTTGCACCTCCTCTCTCATGGTGATCTTTTTCCAGAATATGGAAATGTCGTAATCTTAAGATGGCCTCCCTCCATCAACGCGAGACGCGAACTTCCCTCCTCGCCTCTCATATAGGATGGTTCTAATCTAAGTGGATTCTCCTGCCGTACAACCCTCCCGCCGCTTCTTTTCTGCTGCGGTCCAAATTCCCCTGTACCAATCATGCAAAACCGTCTCCCATCTGTCCCCCAAATTGACTCCACACCGGTTTTTTGCTCCTTATCTTGGTGCCTCTCTCGATCGAAGAGGGGGGCTAAGATACCCTGTTGGGCAGCACTGCCCACCACACCGCTCTTTGTGCAGCCCTTCGAATAAAACATAAAAAAATGTGGGCAATTCAATTTTTAGGCGGTGCTCACCGCATAGTGGGATGCAACCCTTCTCCAGGGAAAAACTTTCTTCTCCTTCTTGATAATTATAAGTTCCTCTCAACAATTGGCACAGCGTCCGCTAGCCTGCTGCAGTGCCATTTAGATTAGCTGGATAATTTTCAAGGACGTTGGTGGGTGGGGTGACATTGATCGAAATGGCAGAGACGGGTATGCCCTATGATGCCGGGCGAATTTGCGATTTGGTGGGTGCCAAATTTGAACGTGGGCTCAGTGCTGGCTGTGGAAGGAGAATTGATGGGAATCCATCACGACGGGATCGGTATTAGCGACTTAGCGAGTGACACTACGAAGCATTCTCTGCATGAAAGTAAACTAGTTTACCTGTGTACAGTGCTCAAGTTTCTGCTCTGTGCTGTCAATACTTTCGCACTTTAGCGACAGCTATCAATATCAATCTGCGATTGTACCTGTTGAGTGCAGCACAATGGCACACGGCCACATCTTAAACTTTCGGCTGTTCGCAAGTCGTCTCACCAGGTGGGGGTTTTATTGACCACACCTTTCCCAGCCGACGCAAGGGGCAAGAAAGTCCAATTCCCAGGAAGTCCCCAAAGCCTAGCAATTGAGACCGTCTTGCGCGGGGTATCTCCGAGGCACGAGGACAGAGGAAAAGGAACGTTCAACCGTTTTGTGTGAAAGGCTGAGCAAGGGCACACGAAGCTGAAAAGGCAAGGAAGAGGTCACGATCCCCCGATGACGAAATCGGAGCGGAAGAGGGAGACCAAATTCGGGACACTGTGGAGTGACATCAATGCTTCTCGAGTGATGGAGGCATGGAACCATGTCAGTTTTTTCCCTCCTCGCATGGACCAGACAGATCTAGTTGGATCTAGCCTCTCCATCCTGAGGATAATAGCGCGAAACAGAGCAGGCAAATAGGGAAATACTGTGCCACTCCCAAATTTCTTCTCCGCACTGTCCTGGGTACCTTCGTAGTGTAGAGTGCTCGCACTCGATGACTCGCCCAAGTTTGAAGTTGCTCTTTCAGTTGCTTCTGTGGCGGAATTCTCCGCTTCTCGATCTCGTGGGACCAGATTAACTAATCCTTCCCTGCCCCTTATCCCAAGTTGGAAACCGCAAGACGGCTCCCGTCCGGCCTCGCCCGTGCCCGAGAAGGGCAGAAGCAGAGAGTCCTGCAGGCGGGGAGTGCAACGCACTCGAAGGACCCCGCAAAAACCCAGCAAAGCTCCTGCGCTTCTTTCTGCGTCGAAGCCCTAATCTAGCAATTCGGACCTGCCGCCCTGCCATTCCCAGCAGCCGGAGCTTTCCCAATGTGTGACGTGCGTCTTTTTTCGTCCGGTTTCCTTCGTGGCACGTTTTGTCGTTCCTTTCTCTTCCGGTATGGCTTGATGTACGGAAGGAGTCCTTTTCCTTCGGGCTGGGATCGGGCAGAGAATTATCGGGGAAGATGGTCTCCGACGCAACCTTATTGTGCCTTTTCCTGCACATGCAGTTCGTGAGCTGCGTATGTATGCCACAAGGAATATTTCAACTGATGTCATTCAATCTGTAAAAATTGAAGAGAGACCAATTGACTTTAGAGAGACATCGGATTCTCCAACTTGGGTCCGGGCTTGATTTGACACACAACGGCGCATCCGATCCGACACTCGGCAGGCTCCGTCGTTGAGAGCCTTCTTAGCACGTCGATTCGTTAGACAATACTGCGCAATGTGAAACTGCTTTTTACGTCTCATTCAATGCCAACCTACGTTTATATTCGAGAGGCTCCTCCACGGACTCGAGACATGAGGTTCTCTGCATGGGTCCGGTGATCAGCCTCTGAGTCAACTTAGTTAGTTTCTCTTCACTTTCCTCATTCACGTCTATGACTTGGTTCCGCTAAAAACAAAACCCGGGGTGAACATGGAAATGAAGACGCCGAGCAAGACATTGTCTTGTCCAGAGGCAGAAGCTTGTACCCAGTGGCCGCTCTTCATTCTTTTTGGCGGTGTGAACGATGTCATATCGAACGCTCTGAGACATGTGTCCAGATAATTTAGTGGATCGAAGAGTCAGGGTCTTTTTTAGCGGATAGAAGATGTACTTGTGAACAAGAAAAAGCCGACAACAGAATAACGGGAAGATTGGATGGGGCTCGAGTAAGTGAGCAGTCTTCTATGGGAAACAAGCGTTGATGGAGAGAGAGGCATTGCTTAGTTTATCGAAGATCGTCATCTCGACTTGTCTGAGTCCCCTCGCCTGTCTTAGCGGCGCCGTTCCTATTATCATTGATGCAATAGGACCATAGGTCGAGGACCAGAACATGACATACCAATCTAGTAGACAATATTTCCATAAGTTGAGCAAGCTCGACGTAAACGACACTTTCAAGATCAAGGCCAGCGACTCGTCAGCCTGCCTTCATGCCGACATGCTCGCTACGACAGTTGTACTAATGCTTCTTCGCATGCCAGTGTATTGTATATTTATGAAAGCATGTTCTAACCTCTTTCCAACGTACTTGTAATGCATAATGCTGTTCAATGTTCCCAGTAACACAAACCCATAGCGCCAGAGACCCAATATCCACCCTAGTAGCCATTCCCGCTTCCGCGTTTCCCTCATGTGTCCGTCATGATAAAGCTATGCTCACATACATGCTAACGCCAACGCTTGATGTAACAATATGAAAAAAAGGGAATAAAACAGCACGGCTCTAACAAGCCCCTCTTTCATCCTCCCCCAACACTCACTTGTCCAACCCTCTAGCCTTGACAAACCGGCTGATCTGCTCGCGGGTAAGTTTATCGATATACTGCTCCTGCGCATTATAAAACGAAATAATCTCCTGCGTGCAGTCTACCATCGCCGCGATGTCCACATCACTATCCGCCAACCACACGACGAACCTCTGAACCCTTCCAACCTTGGCCTCCATCGGCTTCTCCTTGTCCGAGCCTGTCGGCGTCATACCCCGGTTCTGCGCCTGCGCCAACGCAGCGGCCGCGGCGGCAGTAGCAGCAGCAGCGTTCGGCGGCGCTCCGGGCGTTAGTGGGCTATTCATTCCCGAGGAGGGTAACTGACCGCCCGGGGCCGACGTATTAGGTCTCAGCACGAGCGCAAGCAGGATAGCCGTCAGGGCAATAGTATGAGGCGCGTACAAAAGCGGTAAATCGGTCATGTAGTGATCATTGATGATGCTCCACGCGAGCGCAAAGTCCTCGTTCGAGATGCGAAGATCCGTCTGCAGCGACGTGAGGGTGCGGTACGGTTGGTGGACGATGAGCTGAGAGCTCATCTCGGAGATGAGGAAGAACTCGCACTCGCCGAGCTTGGAGGTGTCGAGGGAGATGAAGTCCTGCCAGAGGGAGCGGGCCTCGCTTACGATTAGGCGGATGTGTTGGGGGCATTCTTCGAGCTTGCAGGCGAGGTAGACGGCAGTGGCGATGACGAGGTAGGGGTTCGTTCGGCGAATTTCGACGCGTGTGTAGAAGCGCTTGATGTATACTTGAGCAGTTGCTATGGCTTGTTGGCGGATCTTGAGGCGCTTGCTTAGGCGACTGATTTCTGAAAAGAGGTGAGAGAGACTCCTGTTAGTAGGGGGGTGCGAACCGATTTGGACATTGGCGATGGCAGGATGGCTCACGTTGGTTAAAGTATATGTAGAGATGTCGGGGTTCTGGCAGCGTGAACATTTGTACGAGTTCGGCATTTTCCTTCTCTAGCTTCTGGCGCATGGCCGCCAGCTGCTCCTTGGTGAAGACCCAGTGGTTATGGTGGGTAGACACCCAGTAGTTTGCCGACATGGTGGGAGTGGTGAGAGTGGCGGGCTGGGCAGAGCGAAGCTTGGATGACGGCACAAGACTCGGCGCCCACTCGACCGGTTGGAAGTATTTCCGGCTATCGAAGGGAAGTTAGGTAGATGAAGACACACCGATTGCTAGCTCGACTGCACATAAGAAAAGCCAATGAGAAGTCACAGATCAATGCCGTTGATCGGAGCAGGTCGATATCGATATCGATAGCGATGGTGGTGGTTGGTACCAAAATGTGGCGACAGGATGTGGCTGGTGGCTGGTGCGAAAGCACATGGGGCAATTGAGAGGTGACATTCCGTGGGACTTGCTTGTGACCGGGATTGGTCGCTAAACCCAGGAGCGGCTTTGAGACATCCCTTGACTGAACCTCACTATCCCGACCTTCTGATTGGCTACTACGGCTATAGGCGGGGCAGATTCGGCTGTCTGATTCGTCATATCCTGGCCTTTTCGTTTTGGCAGGGTCCCGCAAAGAGCCAGTAAGAAGTAACAAGTAACGCCGGGGCTCATGTGGAAGGTGGAACTTTCGTCTCAATTACTTCATAACCATCATGGTTGGACTATCAGCAAGACCACGACCGCCGGCACGCCTCTCTTCAATCCGGTCCGAAGCGAGCCATTCTCGAATCGAACCATGCATTGGGATGTGTAACGACGAACACTGACAGTTCCAACCGCGCCTACCCTTTCGCTCCGCGTCCGCTCTTCCCTCTCCCCGCGACGTCGAAACTGGAGAAATCATAAACCGATCGGCCCGCGAAAAAAAAAATCCAGAATGCCGAACCTTAAAGCTTAACCGAAAAAACAAAGAGAAAAGCGTCGGACCATGAGTAGTAGCGTCACTCGACCGGCACCTCAGTCGTCAGGCCTATCTACCAGCTCTAGGTGACTGCGGTGGCGTACACGCACGTCCAATCGCAGCGAAGATGAAGAGGTCGGATCTGGTTACGGAGCTTCGGAAAGAGCTCCACGAGAGCCAGAATGAACGAGATAAGCGTATAGAGGAGCTATGGAGTAGGCTTAACCCGGGCAATGCTCCAGCTCTCGACCTCAAGGCATTGCAGAAGGGATTGAGGAGGATCGATCACCGTAAGATATATGCGCCAAATTTTTGTTTGAAGCTCCCATTGATTGCGCGGAAATAAGTCGCGCTTCACAGGGAGGTTTGCGCGTAAGCATATATAACTAACCATTGGATCGCGATTGATGTGTAGCTCTGGCGAATGCGGATCGCATGTTGCAGAAGATTATGGACACGGTAGACACCAATGGCGATGGCAAGATTCAATACGAAGGTAGGGAGGCCTACATCTCTTTTGGTTATTATATTATAGGTTGGCCGGGTAGGGTTCCGGTAGCTGACCTGTTACGATAGAATTCCACACGTTCGTGGATCAAGCCGAGGGCCCGTTGCTCTACATCTTTCGATCTATCAATACGAACAACGATGGCAAGCTTGATAGGAAAGAGCTTCAGGAAGCTTGTCGCCGGGCCGGCGTTGTGTTGCCCATGCGGCGGCTGGACATGTTTTTCAGGGATATCGACGCGAATAAAGATGGTTTCATCAGCTATGAAGAATGGCGGTAAGTGGATGTTTCACGTATGTGTGTGTGTGTGTGTTGTGTTCTTCATGTGTCCGTATGGAAACTATACCTTGAAGGAGATGAGGTTGAACTAGCTGGCATCAAAGCTGGAGCTGAAGCTGGAGCTGAGGAGTATTCCTATGTCATTAAGCACGGGTGCTCTGCTCAAGGCCTTGTACCTGAGCAGAGGTACCATCTAGCTTCAATGTTGGCATGCTCCATTGTGGTGGAGCTTTAGGAAGTCCTCAGCCCGGCATCTTGTGAAGCCTCATCGAAGCTTCCCACATGCTTTTAGCCGCATAGCACCCACCTTACTTTCCCTCTCCTATTTTATCACGACCATCTTAACTCTATTCTTCACAAAACGTGGGAATAATTTCACTTCTTTCTCATCTTGCATCAATCCTCCAACTATCCATCCTACCATCACACTCTCTCAACAATTGCATCAGTTTCGCTAACCGGATTGTCATTAAACAGCGACTTTCTTCTTTTTATGCCAGCATACAACACCGATGAAACACTACATGCGATATTATCATTCTATTCACTAACGTCCGAAGGAGATTCCCTCGTTAGTGACGAGACTCTTGAGGGTTTAGGTACGAGCCGCTCCCTTTTGTACATCCTTTTTGGCTCCATTATTCGAATGCTGCAGCCCGAAGCAGAGAGGAGGAAACGGAAAAATATGCAATCTCTCCTCGAGGAGGGCCCTGACCAGCAAAGAGCATCGGCTGCTGGCCAGGCAGAACAGGCTGCTCCCACTTCTGCTGCGTCCACGGCTTTGGAGACCCAGAGCGAGTCATTATCTTCTACCACTATTTCGACGCGATCACGATCTTCATCATTGTCATCATCCTCTCCTTCTTCTTCTTCAGCTTCGTCTTCCCTGTCTACTTCTTCAGTTTCTTCCGATGTACTTTTAAAACCTTCTAGCAGATTAGGTGCTGCGGGGATGGCCGAGACACCAAGCGGCAATGGCACTACCAGCACAGCGGGGGATGGTCTCGATGAGGAAGCAGTTGAAGGAGAGCTATTGCTCGCCACAAGCGCTACTGCGCGGAAATCGGCCCAGAACGTCGCTGCCGTGGCTCACCACTACCACGAGAAACAGGTGCCGCAGAAGAGCCTGTGGAAACTGACAGATTTTGTACCCGATCCAGGTTACTTTGTCGCGGGTGCCATTGCCGGAGGTGTCTCGAGAACTGCTACGGCACCGCTGGACCGACTCAAGGTCTACCTCTTGGTCAATACGAGCAAGACAAACACGCTTCATGACACTGTTGGGGCCCTGAAGAGTGGTCAGTTCGTCAAGGCGCTAGGCCATGCGGTGAGCCCTTTTCGTGGGGCGATCAGGGAGCTGTGGATGGCCGGTGGGGCGCGAAGTTTCTTTGCCGGTAAGTTGGTGTTGTTTGGTTCCCCTCCTAGCGTTTCCTTTCCTACGTTGTCTATGGCCGAGTGAGTGGCTTTAGCTGACTTCGTGCGACAGGCAATGGGCTCAACGTCATCAAAATCATGCCGGAAACGGCTATCAAAGTATGCGAAGACTTAGTGTGCTGGAGGCATCCCTGGACGTTGTGTTTGCTAATGGGACACAGTTTGGGTCGTACGAAGCTGCGAAACGAGCAATGGCATCTTTTGAAGGCCATAGCGACCCGAGGAACATCTCGGCCTATTCCAAGTTTGCGGCGGGTGGTGTTGCTGGAATGATTGCACAGTATGTGAGACCCGCAATGGTTGGGCTAGGACCAGTCTAGATCTATGACGCTGACTTTTACGTAGATTCTGCGTATACCCCGTCGACACGCTCAAGTTTCGGTAAGTCCCGCGATGGCAGTAGAGTTCTCGGCCATATGACGCCAAGACGCGCTTATGTTCTCGGTCTTCAAGCTAACCAGGCCCTCAATCGCGTAGACTCCAATGCGAGACGACAAAAGATGGCCTCAAAGGAAACGCGCTCGTCATCCAAACGGCGAGGAAGATGTTTGCAGACGGCGGTGTCCGAGCTGCCTACCGCGGTGTCACCATGGGCCTCGTAGGCATGTTCCCCTATAGTGCCATCGACATGGGCACGTTCGAGTTCCTCAAGACAAGCTACAAAAAGTACAAGGGCCGCAAGACGGACACGCACCCGGACGACGTGGTTATGGGCAACCTCGTAACGGGCGTGATCGGGGCCAGCTCGGGCGCGTTCGGAGCCAGCATCGTGTACCCCCTCAACGTCCTCCGCACGCGGTTGCAGACGCAGGGCACGGCGATGCACAAGGAGACGTACACGGGCATCGTGGACGTGGCTCGCAAGACGGTGCAGAGGGAGGGTTACCGCGGCTTGTACAAGGGACTGACGCCCAATCTGCTCAAGGTGGCTCCGGCTCTCAGTATTACTTGGATGGTGTATGAGAAGTCGAAGCGCGTGCTTGGCCTTGACTAGAAGGAGCGGATGGCGGGCAGGCTCCCTCGATGAGATGCCCGAGGTAGACCCGGTGAGTGATGGAGATGTGGGTTCTCGCGTTTTACCAGATTCGAAGCCGAGAGATTTAGGACAGGAGGCGAGAGAAAGGGGATCGGCACCGTTTTACTGTGTGCCATCGCTTCCATCTCGGTATAGCTTTGCCAGCTTACTCTGACGGCCTTTCCTTTGCTGTCTTTTTATACTCTTGATTTTTCATTGCTATACCAAAACATGACAAAAAAAAAAGGCAGGGTTTTCTAGGGGCATTTACAGTTTAAAAAGAGAAGGAATGGTCCATCATACCAAAAGGCCAAAAAAAAAAAATAATCCATGCTAGTTAGGAGCATGGCAGGTTCAATGTTCTCTCAGGGGGAGGGTGTGTGAGGAGGAATTCAAATAAAAAGGAGCTAGGGGATGGTGTATATAACTTTGGTCGCTTTTTTCCTCCCATTTTTTTCTTTTGTCTTTTTCTTTCTCCTGATAGATGGACACATATGAGCGATATAGAGAAGCGAGGGCATCATTGATTTTGTTTTATATTCCCATATATATGTGGGTATCATGTTCGTCCCGGGTTGAGAGGTGTGTCGCAGGTGCTGGTTAACACGGAATTAGCTTGCAAGAAAAAGTGTCTCATGCCGATGACTGGTTCGGTGTATGAGGGTTAGATGCAGGGTGAGCAGGGTGAGCAGTTGGCAGAATCTCTAGAGAAACTACACTGCGTCAATTGACCTTTTTTGAACTGACAGCTTGACCATAATGCATTCAAATGGTCCTTGGTCGCTGAGCTGCCTCTTTCGGGATAGGGATGAGGGGCCGCAGGGACAAGGGACATGGCTCCATCCTCAGGAACGATAGATCATAGACCCGATCCGTGCTACCCGCTCGAGAAAGGACCTATTAAGCTCCGATCTCGATATCCTCACCTTTATCGTCTGTCATATCTTCAGTGTTTCTCGGTCGGCGTTGGTCGACGTCATGCCGGGGATATCTGACGCGAGGAAAAGGCGACTGATTGAATACGGTCGATGCGAGCTTCATCTCCGTTTACGCCGCCAATGGCCCAAAGACGGAATCGGTCGGCGTCTGCTCGATAATCATTCTGATTCATCGGTACCAGCAGCGCCCAAACTCCCGATTCAAAAGTTCCCGCCTAAAAAAGAGGGAAAAAGGGCAAAGAGAAGTTGCATTTGCTCTTTTATTCTGCTGCCTAGTCTGCAGGATGATGTCTCCCTTTTAAATGTTGCATATATGATATTTCTCATACCTCCCGGTCTTACGTCTCCAAACCCGAAATACGAAAGACTGAAAACGCGGGGGACGACGTCAATGAGTGTGTGTGTGTGTGTGTGGATGGTTTCACAACCAACAAGGACAGAGATTATAACCTGACCGGGTTTCCTGCTTTATCCGGAGGGGAAAGTCGGTCCTGTTTTTTTATTTCTCGTATTTCTTTTTTTCCCTTTTCTTCTCTCAAAGAGAATTTAGAGGTGACAAGAGTGAACGAGTCTGAATTGTTTTGCTCACTCACAGACCCAACAAGTTTAAACTCGGTCCTTCCACTTCCACTTCCACGCTCGCCATCACGAGCCGCGCATCGTCGTGGGCGAGGCCTGAAAAGCGCATTCCTCGGGGCCATTTAACCCACCACCCCCGGCTTCTCAGCTGTATCTAATCAAAGCAAATTGGGTTTACTGTCGACTGAATAAACCATGGCCAAATCCCCAGAATCTCAAGGGCTCCTCGACCCCAAGTTCCAGAGCACGACGGATAGGGTCGTCACACCGAAGCGGTGCAATGCCCGCCGCTTCATCCGCGCCATCCTCTGGGTCGCCGTGCCCGTCCTTATCTTCTTCTCCTTCTTTGGCGGCAAGACTGTCCTTCCCAAATTTGTATGTGTTCTCCCCCTTCCCCTTCCCCTTCCCGCATCCGCACCCCCTTCCTCTACAATCAAGCTTTCCAGCAGACTAACAGCAACAAAGGGCCGTCCCTGCCACGGCACCTCCTCCGACCTCCAATCCCCGAGCCTTCAATCTCCTGATGCAATCTGCGGCACCTCCTTCCAGACCATCCTAGACGACAGCTACCCCGTATCGTTCTCGCCTTCCGACGACCTCTTTATCAACCAGTCCCAAGGCAAACGCCGCCGCGGCCACTGGCGCCGAGACCCCCACGTCTCCGGCTCTGTGCAAGTCATCCGCTCCTCCGGCCCGGAAGGCAAGCTCGACGTCAAGATCGAAGTAAACGACGAAGACATCCCCGTGCACACGTCATGGGACGCCGAGACGCAATATCTGCGCATTCGCGTTGAGGCCGTTGATTTCTTCGATGAGCCTCCTCCGCGGCCGTGCGTTGATATCCATGCTGTTCTGCACGTTCCCTCCGATGCCGAGCTGCGGAACTTGAAGATTGAGGTTACGGCGCTGGATGTTGCGCTGGAGGAGAACCTCGGCTTGACGGCGGAGGAAGCTATCCTGACCACCGTGGTCGGCTCCCTCGACGTAGCCCCGAACGCCATCAAGTCCGGAGGCAGGATAGCGCTCACTACCGTCTCGGGCAACATCCGCGGCTCCCTGCCCCTCCTCCAAACCCTTGAATCCTTCTCAGCATCCGGCAAGAACGAGATCGACGTCTACCGCACCGAAAAACGAGGCGACGACATCCCCAAAGCAACTCTGACCGTCTCAACCGTGTCGGGCAACCTCAAAGTGCGCGACCCCCTCGACGACGCCGCCCACCTCCCGAAGGCTGACTACGTCCGCAGAGTCTCCACCGTGTCGGGCAACATCGACGCCGCTCTGCTGTTTGGCTCCTACGCTGATATTTCGGCCGTCGGCGGTGGAAGGGTCGACACTACTCTTTTGCCTATCCTATTCGATTCTCTCTCCGGTAATGACGAAGGCGAGCGTGGAGATGAGGACTTCGTTCACAGTTGGCTCAAGAGCGACGTCACCTCCGGAAACGTCGGGATCGAGGTCCTTGAGCCGGTGTGGCTGGGTGAATCGGATAAGAAGTGGGCTCTTCGCTCGGGTCACGGTGGTGTGAGCGGGAACGTTGAGATTCGTCTTCCTGATGCTTGGGAGGGTACTTTTGCTGTGGGTACTCTTACTGGCAGGATTTCTGTCAGTGGGAAGGATGTCCAGCTTGGGACGAGACAGGAGGGAGGTGAGAAGGTGGACATGTCTGCCTTTAGGTCGATTAGGGGGTATAAGGGGGATGGAGAGTCTCGGCTGAGCGCTGAGACTACCACTGGCAACATCAAGGTTGTCATCGGACAGGAGTGAAAGAAGAAAAAAAGAGGTCTGGGGGGGAAAAGGGGAGGGTTCTTAGTATGTGCTGTGTAAGAAGCAAAAAATTGGAACGTTATGACGAAACATGTCGATGGGTTGGTGAGATGGGCGGTCTATTTGTTTGATATCATCGAGTACGACTCTAATCTTGACTTTTTTATGCCTTTCCTTTTTTAATATTCAGAAATTAATCAAGAGAGAAAAACTCAAAATGCCGCCTCTAAACGCCAAATCCAATGCGTTTCCTTTTACATCCTCTCCCCAGCCCTTCTCCACAAGTCCTTCCGCCCAGAAAGAGCTCATACCACGAAGGACATATCACACTTCCTCAAGACATCCTCCCCTACCTTCTTATACCTAACCTGATACTCCACAATCTCCCCCAAACGAGGTAACTGCACCCCCAAGCTCGGCAAAGCCAACAACGTCTCCCCATCCCCTATCCTAGCCGTCATCGTCGCCCAATCGATTGAACCCTTGTAATATATCGCCGGCAGCGTATACCTCACCTTGCCGGGCGCGTAGGTCCTCAACAGGGCCTCGAGCCTCTCGCGCTCCTTGGGTTCCAACGCGTTGCGGAACGTCTTGGCGTGCGAGGGGCGGAAGGGCTCGATAGCGAAGGTGCCCGCTAGGCGGAGGCGGGGACGGATCCAGAAACGGCCGTCCCAGAGGTGCCATTTTTTGGTGACGAAGGACCAGTCGGGTTTGCAGCGGATGAGGGTACCACGCTGGGGCATGCCCTTGCGTTGGACGAACTCGAGACTGGGGAGGGGTTCTGTCGACTTGTAGGGGGCGCGGGAGATGAACCAACAAGGCGGCGCGGGGGTGGGGGCCGCCGAGGACGCTGCTGCCGCCGCTGCTGCGTCGTCGCCATCGTCTTGAGACGGGGGAGGGTTGGTTAGCAGCGGCGAGAAGAGCACGCCGCCGATGTTGAATGGCTTCGGAGGATCCGCGGCGGGGAAGGCTTCCGTCGCAAGCCGGGGGAAGAGACGCGACACGATGCCCCGGAGCGAAGGAAGCATGGGAAACTGCTCCTCCGGTGTCACCACCTCGATGAGCCTCCTCACTAGCAACGCCGCCGCAGTCCTCCTCTTCTCCAGGCCATCACCAGCGGACGCTTCCACTTCGGGAAGCTGGACGATCAAGGTCCCCGAGTTCGTCCTAAAGTCGATAATTTCCGTCTTCCGGAAGAGTCCGTCCGCTTCCTCCTCATCCGCCCTAATCGCCTCCTTTAGCCTGTCCGCCATCTGCAGGATCGCCGGCCGCTGCAATGCCTGGGGTAGCTCAAAGTTCCGAACCATGTACCGCACGGCATTCCTGGTCGTCAGCGTCGGGTCCGTATTCGTGTGGTCCTCGAACCACTTGACACCGTTCTGCTCACAAGTCGCAATGAGCCTGTCCTTTTCGAAGTCTAAAAGAGGCCTGCATATGCGCACACCACCATCCTCCACATCGAGCTGCGGAAGATCGGGCTTCACCCGCGGCGATATCTGATGCTCCGTCGCGAGGTCATCGGCCACCCCCACTTCCGAGAAGTAATCTTCAGGCAAAAGTGGCGGCCCGGAATGCGGCCTCACGTCAAGCTGCTGCAGCGTATGCTCCAAGCCAAATTTCAGATGAGACGAAATCTCGGACAAGAGTGACCTCCTCAAATCGTGGACCTCTTTCTTCCGCAGCTTGTACGTCAACGGCGGCTTCTTCCGCCTCATCAAGTCGATAAAGCCGCTCTGATGTACGCGGTATATACCATTACACTCAGGAATATCGCCCGACGAACGTATCCCCACCAATCCTCTTCCGGGATGTCCGCCAAGCAACCTCATAAGCACCGTCTCATGCTGATCATCAGCATGGTGGGCCAAAAAGAGATTATCAATCCCTTCCTTTACGCACATCCCTCCAAGGGTTCTATACCTCCCCCGCCTTGCCGCCGTCTCAAGGTTGGGCAGGGTCCGCGGGTCAATGTCCGGGGAGCCGAGGAGTTCCGCCCAGTCGAGGGCGAGGCGCTGCGGTTTGATGTAACGGAGCTTTTCGAGCTCGCGCAAGACGGCGTGGGATTCCTGGGTGCTAGAGTCGCGGAGCTTGTGGTCGATGACGAAGGCGTCGATGCCGCCGCAGGGGTTATCGCCGATGATGAAGTCCGGGTCGTGTTTGCGGAGGGCAGAGAAGAGGAAGGCTAGGGCCATTGAGTCGACACCACCACTGGTCGCGACGCCTATTAAGTAGAAAAAAAGAGTTAAGACTTCAAGTCTTGCAAGATAGGAACCATTCTCGGAATCTGAGCTTCCTGTTTTATTTTTCCACCTACCTATTCGGCGATGGCCGGTATGCCGCGCCTTGGGATATCGCGGGGGACATGCTGCGCGGAGGGCGTCGACGAATTCCTGCACAGAGACGGGTTTGGCGCTATGATGGAAAATGCGCGGTATGGGCCTCATGGCCATCCATATTTTGAGCTTCACCCTTGGTGAGGACGCGTCAATTCGTCTGGGGCGGACTCTGAGAGTTGAGCTTTGAGAATTCAAGGTCGATGTTTGCTCGATGTCGAATCACGTGTTGGACTAGCTTGAGTATGAAGTACCAAAGTACAAAGGTACTTCGCATGCCAGGAACGAGTCTAGGTTCACCTGGGAGCTTGGGCCATCTTTAACCGAGACTTCTCCACAGCTTGTACCTTCACCGTCCAAAAAGCCTCTTGCTCCGATTTCTGCCCCGAGCTAAGGAAGAAAAAAAAAAGCCCAACCCACGCGACCACGGCCTCTTATCAATCAATTGATCTCCTCCTCAACTGCATGGCCCCAACGGCCCCCCACACTCCTTAATCCCTTCATTCACCTTCCATCCTTCTCCACCATACTTCCTTACAATCCATAGGAAAAGAGCCTAACCTTCGCCCCCCCAATGGCTCCCCAACCGCCCTTCACAACGGCCCTCCTCGCCGGCGCCCTAGCCGGCACAACAACAGACCTCTCCCTCTTCCCCCTCGACACCCTCAAAACCCGCCTGCAATCCCCCCTCGGCTTCCTCCGCTCCGGCGGCTTCACCGGGATCTACCGAGGCGTAGGCTCCGCCCTCGTCGGCTCCGCCCCCTCCGCCTCCCTCTTCTTCCTCACATACGAGGGCACCAAGTCCCTCTTCGCTACTCTCCCGATCCTACCCGCCGACTCGACCTTCTCCGCGCCCCTGACCCACATGGTCGCCGCGAGCCTCGGCGAAGTGGCAGCTTGCGCTGTGAGAGTGCCCACGGAGGTGATCAAGCAGCGCGCGCAGGCGGGACAATTCCATTCGTCGGCGGCGGCGTTAACCGACATCCTCCGGCGGAGGAAAGAAGTCGGCCTGTTCGGCCTTGGGAGGGAGTTATACCGCGGCTGGGGCATTACCATTTTCAGGGAGATTCCCTTCACCGTTATACAGTTCCCCCTGTGGGAAGCCCTCAAGGGCTGGGGCCGCGCGAGGATACGACGGAATAACCCCGGCGCGTTGGAGAAGGGCGGCGTGGAGCTCGACGTCGGCGCTGCGGAGAGCGCTTTGTACGGGAGCTTGGCGGGTGGTGTCGCGGCGGGGTTGACTACGCCGTTGGATGTGCTGAAGACGAGGGTTATGCTTTCGAAGAGGAGTAGGTCTGTTGCGTCCGTTTTTAGGGGCATTTTGAGGGATGAGGGGCCGAGGGTGTTGTTTTCGGGGATTGGGCCGAGGATGATGTGGATTAGTGCTGGGGGTGCTATCTTCTTGGGGAGTTACCAGTGGGCTGTTAATACGTTGATGAGCATGCAGGCGGCTGCGCGAATCTAAAGACGCGGAAGGGCAAGACCTGCCGATGCATATTTCTGTGCTATATACTTTGTATTATTAACTGAGCGTAGCTACGGGGGCATATAGATATACTAGACATACTAGAGACATTGTCACAGCATTGGGGGTATGAATGATAGGGCCATCACGATATCACATTCAGGATCGGCAACTTTTCCTTGATCTAGGCATATTCTCATATGTACCGCTAGATCAAGGCCATGAGAAAGAATAAAACATGACATTAATACCACAACGCTTAACCCTAGAATGTATGCAAAGCTTCGCTGGTCGAGGGCGTTTTACTCATAATGAACATCCAAAAGGAACCACCCAAATACCACTCAAGAAGTAGCAGCATTAGTCTCCTCGGTCGCAGCCTCTCCCTGCCCGCCGTCACCTTCGGCAGTGTTAACTGGCGTTCGCAAACGAATAACCTTGCGCCCGTTGGCTCGATAATGCAGCACAACGTCAGTGCCACCCTTCCAGAGATGAGCCCGCAATGTCGCCAGGCTCATGGTATGAGGCAGTATCTACGAGTTCATAATGTTAGCAAACCTGAAGAAGGCGTTTTCCGTTATTCCCAATCTTACCTGATCATTGCAGTATAGCTCAAGATACTCCTCCGGCTCCATAGCATCTGGACTCGCTCCCTCCCCATTCTCCCAATCTGGATCAATCTTCTCCGCCACATACGCCAAAATCTTCCGCACCCTCAACATCCGATTCGCATTCAACCGATTGTTATTATCCGTACTCGGCAGCTGCGGGAGCTCATCCTTGTAGGGCAGCAGCACGAACGAGACCTTAACGGGCTCCTTGAAGGGCATGCGGTTCTGCAGGAGCAGCTCCCCGAGCCACATGGCGCCCTTTTGCTCGATGATGTCCGTGTCGCGCCCAATCGTGTCGATCGTGCCGATGTAGATGTTGGAGCTCTCGCCGCTCGTTTCTTCCTTGATGATTACTTTGGTTTCTTTGGGGAGGTTAAGGTGGGGCGTGTCGCTGGGGAGGGCGGGGGTAATGCGACTTTCGAGAGGGATGTCGGGGTTTGCGGCTAGTTGCTTGTCGTATTCGTTTCGGATGCGCTGGACGACGCCGAAGAAGCTGTCATCGACTTCCTTCTCGTGCAGGTTGAGGGAATCTTCCGACTCGTCGACGGGCTTGTCTTCCGTGACGACGGGTTTCTCGGCTGTCGTAGAGGCTGACCTAGACTTCTTGGTGAACGACATCCCCATGCGGAACTTCTTGCCAAAGGGTGTACTGGGCGGCTTTGTTGCTCCGTTGTCGGTCTTGTCCTTGTCCTTATCCTTATCCTTATCCTTGTCCTTGTCGGCGTCAGCTGCCTTGGCATCTGCTGCTGCTCCATCCGTCGTTGTCGTCGTCGTCAGGGCGGCCGGATTGGTCGTCGTGAGCTTCAACACACCGCCGTCTACAGGTGATATCCCAACGGTAAAGTAGTCCTCCTTCTCTACCGACATACGACCAACCGTTTGCGACTCAGGGATAGTAGTCGTGGCTGCCGCCGCATCTCCATAACCGGGATGGGGCGTGGCCAGCCCGATATGGATTCCGGGCGTCTGAAGTGGAAAATTGCCCGCGGATGGGCGAGGCGTCTCCAGGCTACTCATCTGCGCGAAGCCGCCGATTCCTCTCTCGGGCAATGAAATGGAAAGGGGAGCGCCTGCGTGCGTGCTTGCCAGTCGCTTCTCGATGGCCGAGTTAAAATTCCGTCGATAGACTACATCTCGCTTAATCTCTTCATCTATCGCCCCAGCAAACAGATACCGTAGGACCCATTTACCAAGGTTGACTGAGTTGATGAAGTAAGTTAGCATTTATGGAATATCCTTCCGAACGCCGGGGATTCATTTCTTACTTCTCTGGTCCTCACGGAAATCTGCTGCGTTGTCGAGAGTAAGCTCATCGGCATATACCTCCGCATCGAAGCAATTGAAAGGGTCGAGCGTGACTGTAATGCTACCAGAACTGGTGTCAATAGAACACCAAGGAGCAACCGCTTCGACTTGGTTGACCTCTGGCTCTACGTCCTCCAAATGTCGTTTGCCAAAGCTCTGGATCGGTTTACACTGTTAAACGTTAGCGGTGTCAAGCCAAGCTAGAAACGCTCTAGATGCTGTGAAATGGAGTTGAGGAGGGGCAAACCTGAATAAGATCCCATAGCACTACTTCACCCGCAGTATCAACTGTGAGCACTCGCCGCCTATCGTGCAATAGTTTATACTTAAGCAGACCAAACTGGCCCTCGATAGTCTCCTCAGGAAGTTCATGGATAGGCTCAACCTCCTGTTCAAGCGCCACCAACGACCCCGCCTCATCCCTCGACAGCTGTGGCGGAAAATACGCCGTGTTAGAAATGCGAAGAATGCTCTTGGGAGATATTTCTTTCGGCGGCGGCGCACGTCCCGTTGCTGGACCACTAGCTGAGAACGGAGACTGCGCAGCCGAGCGAGACGCCGTCGACGAGGCTCTGTGATGGCGATACATCTCGGGTAGTTGTATATCGGCTCCGGTCGGCACACTGGCCCATCTGTTGATGGAAGAGCTGGGTGTGGCTGTCCAGATGTGATCTTGACAGGTGACAATCTTGTGTACGCTGTCTGTCTCCTTCGCGACGGCAAGGCTAAGGCCGTCATCCATGTGGTCGAGGGAACCCCTAACGTCAGTCTTGACTACTAACCCAGACCTGTCACTGCTGTAAAATACTCCGAGGTCGGGGGACTCCGAGAACAGAGACCATACGCTCTCGTTATGCATGGTGAATGTATACATGCATCGACCTGCCGTCACACTCCACAACTTGATAGTCTGATCAGAGCTGCCGGTAAGGAGGAGGTCTCCAGCGTCGTTGATGAGGATGGACCTAATATTCGCGGTATGGCCAACGAACTTGGTCACGGGCTTGCCCGACTTCGGGTCCCATAATCTCACGATGGACTCCGGGCCCCCGTTCGCAATAAGATTCCGACCAGCGCAGAGAGCATACACCGACCCCTTCTCTGTGTTCTCCTCGCCGCTGCAGTCGATAGAGAGGACCTTTCCGCCGCCGTTGAGATCCCAAAGATTGATTCGCCTGTCCAGACCACCCGACGCAACCCAGGGGGCGCCAATGTCGGCAGGCGGGACAGCCACGACCTTGACGTAGTCGGCGTGCTCGCCAATGGTCTGGGGTATATCTTGTTCTTGCGAGTGCGGTCGCCACACCTTGACGGTCAGATCGGACGAGCCCGAGACTAGGGCTGTGTTGTTCTGGGCGAGTACGATGTCGTTGATCCAGCCCATGTGGGCGATCGCTTGGGATCGGAAGGTGGTGGGGGAGGACTTCTTTTGTCCATTCGGTCGGTCGACGACGGACGAGGTGCGGGGCGTCTTGAGGTCGAGATTGAGGTCCCAGGCGCAAATGACGCCGTCTCTTCCACCAGAGTACCTGTTATGGAGTTATTGTTGGTTATGCTGTCCGGTTCTTGTAAAGGGAAAGAACAAAAAAGCAGGCGCCTGAACTGCGAGGGCAGACGCTTACAGAATAGCATTGTCCGGATCGACCGCAAGGCCGTTGACACCTAGCTTATGCCCCGCCGATGCCTTTGGAGATTCAATGACTACGTGAGAAACAGGTGTTAGCCTAATAAAGGAGTAGTAAGGCGCCGCGACACAGAAAAGGGTATGGGCCTCTATAGACTATAATCGCTCCCCCGGCCTAGAGCTACAGGGGAGCAGGCCACAAGACCAAGAAAGACCGCGTACGTATTTGAAAGTGGCCTCTACTCACTGTAGCTAATGCGCTGGCGGCTTTTCTTAGTAGCCATGGTGATAGTAAGGAATACAGCCACGCGCCAGGCGCGACTTCAAATAACGGTATTGTGTAGGTATGCGAGGAGACAGCTCGTTGGGATCGAGGGCGGTGGCATTCAACCGGAGGAGTCGTCGTGGGGAGTGGGGCGGGGGGAGCTGCGTGGGTGGGATTTGGTCAGGGCAGCATTGGTGCTCGAATCGGGGAGTCGGGGTTTGGTATGCCAGTGGTCATGAGAACATGACGGGGAGAAAGGAAGGGGTAACGAAACTGGTACGCGAATAAGAGTATGCACCGAAGGAATGCGATTTCATCGACGAGGTGGAGGCGAGCAGCGAGCAGCGAGCCGTGCGTGTTGTTGGAGTTGAGTTGCTTCATTTGGAAGTAACTCGTAACTTGCCTAACTGTCAAAAAGGGTTGAGGTACGAAGTACCAAACCCTGCTGCAGCGGCAGGGGCAGGTACCTCAGTACCTCCAAGATCCATCAATGGTCAATTCATCTAAAGGCTTTACGACGGTTTAACCCAGGTGAATCGAATCAAAGAAAATTGCAATGTCGAGATTTAAATCGATGATAGCAAATCCAATTGAGACAAGTACTAAATTGAAGACACCAAGATGAAGAACCAATGCACGAGTGGAATGTGGGATTTGGCTGCCCAGTGACGTCGAGGAGATGCTGGCCTGCATTAACCTGCGCCCAAGAGTTTCTGAATCCTCAGAATGCAAAGGGAATGCATACTCAGATAATTCATCAATGATCCTACGAAGTAAAAGGCGCAAAAGTATCAATACATGAAGGTCCCCCTGATTCCAAGCGGAGAAACCAGCGGCCAAGTACTTTGGAATGTTATAAAATTCAGATCCTCGTCTCCGTGATATTAATGTCCCATAGTCGCAGCTCGGAGCAGGCTTCTCTTCCCAAACTCATAGCTCATAGCTACAACTGTACTTCGTACTTGATGCTCTATCAAAGAATATATGCAATCGCTCATCCAAACAGCATTCCCAACACCTCCCCGAGCCCCAATGTTTTCACCCCCTTACCAACCTTCCCAAACATCCTTGACTATGCCCCAATACCTCTTCCCATCAGTCCTCAAATGCGCAACATGCGGACTACTCCCAAAATTCTCAAGCCTCACATCCAACCCCTTCCCCTCCGCCTCATCCCGATGCTCTTCTACATCCTTCACGGCAACCATCTCATCCCCATCACTACACACATACACCCTCCTCACCGTCGCCGCAATAACCTCATCCGCATTCATAACCCTTCCCATCTTCCCCCTGTTCGCGGCCACCGGCTCCGCAAACCAGTAATACACGACGAATCCAAAGACGACAAGGTGCACGAGCGGTCCCATCCAGTTCGGCAGCGGTTGGGCTAGCGCCTTGTAGGTTCGTCCCCAGTTGAAATGGCCCGGGCACGAGTCCATAATGGATATGTGTGTGGGGAAGCGTGGGCGTTTATCTCCTGCGGTTCCCTCTCTTGTGAAGATTTTGAAGAAGTGGCTGAACATGATACACCCGCCATTAGAGAAGACGTGGAGTAATAACTCGGGCTTGCCGTCGTCTTCTGAAGAGTTGGCGTCGCCGAGGATTGCCTTCATTGCCGGAATGGCCGGCACAACCTCCGCCCTTGCATTGGCCACTCGGAACACGTTCTCCATCGGGGCTTTGACGAGGAGGATAGCGGACGAGGGATACATGGCCTGGTAACCGACGATGTACTTGGCAATGTGCGCGTCCTGCGCTGCCATCCAGGTGAACAGGGCGATTAGCTTGGGAGAGGTAGGGTCTGGTACGGCATCCTTGGGCTTGTAAAGGAACGCGGACGGTGACAGTTTATCAAACCCATCGAGGGGCTGGCGGCCCGGAGTTGCTGGGACGTTAGATGCCATTGTGGTGCTGGCTCAACGGATGAACAACACCGGTTGAGGAGATGGTAATTTGTTTTATTGGAAGAATAAGATCGTTTTATTGAACGGAGCCGGTTGGCTGTAATGGAGGAAGTTATAAGAGAAAGGCCGGGCATAGGAATGACTTCACGGAGGAGGAATGTTCCAGCGGATTTCACTAACAAGAATTGCGCCGGCTCCGTTCTTGCAGTGAGCGAATAGGGTACCAAGCCGCCGGATAATCACCCTCAACTCATTCTTGGAGCTTGCTTGAATGTACCTTGTTTCATTCTGGTCAATTTCGTACCGAGGTATGAGGTTTTTGAGCCACACGAGGACCGATATCTCTCAACAAATCAACTCAAGGTCTAATGGTCTAGTTGGTTAGGACGTCGGATTCTGAAACGAGAGTTCCGTAAGCCCAGGTTCGAATCCTGGTTAGACCTTCAATTTTTGACTTTTTTTTCTTTACTTGAATTAATTTCCTTCCTTCTTTGCTCTTTTCACCCTCTTTTTTTTTTTTTTTTTTTTTTTTTCTTTTTTTTTTTTTTTTTTTTTTTTTTTTTTCTTCTTTCTTCTTCCTCTGCCTTTCCTTTACCCTCTACTAAGAGCCGAGAGTGGGCAATCGTACGCTTACAAGTAGAACAACACCTTTGGTTATGTAGGCGTCGAAACCGAAGCCCTCATCCGACATCGCCAAAGGTCAAATCAGAACCGAGTTGCTGGATCGAGTACTACTGAATGCTTTTTGGTATCCAAGGACCGGTCCTCACGTGTAAGTTTTCGCCTTTCGTAGGGGCACAAGCCGCGTGAAGCTGCCCGGAGGAGCAGAATTCGTCATGCCAGGCCTAGGAAGGCCATTTTGTTTGCCATGCCCGGCCCCGGTAAGACCTGTTATACACGAGACTGCAGGCCGGTTAGTTTTGAGACTGCCAAGGCTCTCTGATGGGTGAACGATCCATAAATATCTCTCGTGCAAGACGAATATCAGTCATGCTGTTAGGCATTGGTATCACAATCCGAAATACACACTTGATCTCAAACAAGAATGGGGAACCGACATGGTTACTCAAAATTTCGTGTTTAGATGGGAATGGTTTCTTCGGAATTGCCCTCGAACTCGACGCTTTACTGTAGGTACTGGCAAGACGTCCGTTCCATGTCTGCACCTTATCTGATCGAGAGATCGCCTGTCTCTACACGTCCTTACATTAGTTACCCACACTAGGGAGTTTTCATCCTGATATGTGAGAAATAATGACGAAAGCTCTATACCAAAGATCAACGGAAGAGTCGAAAGGTGCCTTCGATAGTGAGCGCCACGTAGGCATCACAAAACGGGTTAATGTGACCAAGCCAAGAGTCCATCGGCTCCGTCAAGACGTTTGTACCTAGAACAGGAAGATTTGTCCGACTATTTGAAAGTCTACAAATGGGAAGTAGATGCACAATCCCTATTGAATGTCGAGGGGACGATTGAAGACTTTGTGTCTGCCTTCGAGAATACTCTCGTATCATCGTGATATCGGCGGATTATAATGGTATCTCGAGCCGGCCGTGATCCTGCAATCTCGGCGATACTCTAGAGTCGATTGCCTTCGTATATATCACAGCTGCCACTGCCAATCCCGCAGTATGCATGAGGCCGCCCAAACACCATCTCATCGATAGCTTTCCAAGCACCTTCCCGCGTGTGTTTCCCCTGTTTCCATGTTTCCAGGTCCATCTGGTGGCTCCCGAGGGTGACGGAGCAAATCAGTAGATCGTTGTATCAGGCCCCAAGGCATCGCCTAGCCCTTCATCCTCCGGGGATACTGCCGCCCACGTTAAAGATGTAGGAAATCGCTTTTAAATAGTTGTGTTGCCCGTCGCCCTGTTGAAAGTAGTAGCAGCGAATGTCTCCGATCCAATGCCCCCTTATCGTGTGACCTGCCTCGTAACTTGTCCCCGCCATCATGGTTCTCTCCTCGTTATCCTCAGCTCTATGCGTCCTCTTGCTGGGCCTCGGGAGCACCGCGACGATGAGCGTCGACAAAGGACTCTCCATAGACCTATCCAGCCCTCTCAAGAGCGTGTCATTCCATCGGACAACAGCCATGAGCGCACCATCCGTAGATGGCCCAGCCATGCACTACCAAGAAATCAAGCCGGTCAAAGCAAAGACCGCCAGTCGCTCGGCAGCTAGTGCACTTCGGGCTGCGAGATCGAAAACTCCTGGCGGTGGCTATTACCAGAACGTTACAGCGCTGTTGGACGCTTCGACTCAATACGCCCTCCAAGTTGAGTGGGACGACCAGCCCCTCTGGCTCATCTTCGACACGGGGAGCAGCGACACCTTTGCCATCCGAGCCAACCATAGCTGCGTCTCTCGGTTCGATGCCCCGGTAGACACGGTAGAGCACTGTGCCTGGGGTCCCGACCTTATCGAGGATTTCCGACACGGCGAAGACCCACAGTTACACTTCAGGGTCGGCTACGGTTCCGGGGAGGCCGTCTCGGGTCCCCTAGGCCGGAGTGATATATCCGTTGCCGGAATCACCGTCGAGAAGCAGCTCTGCGGTCTCGCAAACTATACGTACTGGAATGGAAACAACATCACGAACGGGATACTTGGCCTGGCCTATCCTGCTTTGACAAGTGCATATTCCGGCCCCGTGGGGGACGAGAGGCTGGCGTACAAAAAGAGCTATTCTCCCTTCTTTTCGACAATGGTTTCCCAGGGCTTGGTCGACCCTTTCTTCGCCGTGGCCATCGAGAGAAACTCCTCCGCTGGCATGATTGGATGGGGCGGCATACCGCCTGTTCGCTGGTCTGGGAGAACGACGGCGGTAACCGATATCCTGATTGTAAGCCTCATTCCCACGTGCGATGTCTGGCCATCTCCAAAGTCTCTATTGACCCATTTTGCGCTAGGCGAACGTTGCCGCGCTTGAGGAGCCGCTCAACTTCCAATATTCGTTTTACACCATAGTCGTAGATGGAATCCAGTATGGCCACGCAGCTGATTTCACCAAGTATCTCTACATCGTGGATACAGGGACGACATTGATACACCTCCCCCAGTGTAAGTGCACTTAGGAAATGGGGTTGTTCTTAACAATACGGAGATGTACACTTTGGCCTCTCGACTAACTTTCCTGTTCTGCTTTTAGCCCTCGCCGACGCGATCGCACACTCGTTCGAGCCGGTGGCGGTTTATATGTGGCAGTACAACTCTTACTTCGTGCCCTGTGATGCCGTTGCACCTCGCCTTGCGGTCATCATCAACGGGGCTCACTTCTGGATTAACCCGGCGGACCTGATATACCAGGGAATTAAGGAGTCTACCTTTGGTCTTTGTATGCTCGGTATTACAAATGGGGGGGTCGGGCCTTATATCCTCGGATCGGTTTTTCTCCAAAATGTGGTCGCGGTGTTCGATGTAGGGGCCGCGCAGATGCGCTTCTACTCGCGCGATTAGTGGCTGATTGCCTCAGGTCATTGATGCTTCTCAGCTCGTCAGTCGACACGTGTGACAGGGAGGCGGGAGATGAGATGAAGGAGGTGGTGGCGGGCTGGTGACCAACGGGCCTCTTTCTTTTGTGATTTTGACAGAGGAGAATTGCGTCATAGTTTTCGGGCTGGACAGGAGGTCGGTTGGCTGCATTGAAGACTCAATGAAAAATGCTTGCTCTTTTTATTTTTGGGCTGGAACAGACGTGGGGGGCTCAAGCTCATTGACAGGGCAGCTTGTCAAGATGACTCCCACTCGGCGATTCCGCTCAATTGGTGCCTCGTAATGAGCTCTAGAATAGGGGAGAAGGCGAAACAAGTCAGGCGGACTTGGGAGCCATGTCTGTGATAAGGAATGATCATTTCTTTGATTGGGCAATGATATGAGCCGTTGGTTTGCAATTTCCCCAGGCGTCTTCTTCGTAAACCAAGGAGTCAGAACCTGCGCATTGAATAGTATCGTGACTTGACTGGGGAAACCCAACGGCTGAAACGACAGAAACTCTGACCAATTCTTCGCCTGTTTTTACGGAGATTTTATCAATTCCAAGCCCAAGTCCGCTAGGTTGGGCCGGGCCAAAAAGGCCACACGCGCTTGTCCACACCACTCGGCGACATCTGACTGCCACGGGTCCGGGCGATGAGGCGATCGATCGATATTACTCACATCGCTTAGCAACACGAACCGACATACAAGAAGCCTCATCGTATCGTCGGTTTTTTTCCTTCTTGGATCTTGCCAAGTTTTTTCGGTTTTCCTCCATCTGCTTTTCTTTTCCACCTTGCTCACGCCACCAAGCAGAGAACAGCCCTCTCCCTCACTCCCCAGAACTTCTTAAACCCCCAGAACCGCATGCGAACGGACCAGGAATCCGAGAAACAACGTTGTCAGATTTCACGTGCGAGCGGATGCTTGCTTGACTGGACGATTTCGATTGCCAATTTGCCATCGTGTGGGTGATCTCCAAGAGAAAAAGAACCCCTGGCCCCAGAGTGCAGAAGAAGAATTGCAACTCCTTCTTTATTGCGCGTGGGGATTTCGACTTTCAAGTTTTCTTTTCTTGGAACACTGACGGAGAAACACATATCGGTATTATAGTACACCCTTATTCCCTGAAGAGGGAAACGCCGATTGTCGGATTAGAGAAACAGCACAGGATTAAACGACTATAAAAATGTTCGGTGTTGCTGCAGGACCGTCACTGCGCCGCGACCGGTCGAATACCTGGAGCTTTTCCCGGGTAAGTTAATATCTTTCTGCTTGCTCAATGTCATTTCTCGTCTCGATTGCATATCAAGTCAGCGAGGGAATACTTCGAGTGGAAGGACTGCCCGATTTGCCGACGGATGGCAGAGAGCCTGCATACCCCCAACTCCCCTCGCCCTCTTGCAAATCAGGTTCCGCAACGTGCCGAAAGCGGTCGCTGGGACATGTCGAGTGACCGGTTGCCAGATTTGGCGGGAGCATTGAGGTATCATTAGAAGGGTTGAAAAAGACTTCTTGGAAGGTTGTCTGGTAACATCCGGGGATCGTCCACGAAGTATACGTCACGCCCTCCCCTTCTTTGCCACAAGTGGGTAGGGATCGATCGATCCTAGATTCGGTCAATGGTTTGAGAAACGGCGTTTCTTCATCGTGCATGCAGTGCCGCGCCGATCTTTCTTCTTTCCGTGATCGAGGGCCCTGGAAATGAAGGGCCCCCAGACTTTTGTTGAAACCTGATTCAACGGTTGCAAAAACTAGTCGGGGGGAAACAGTCCATCGCTGGCCTAGGAAGGGCATCTTGATCTTCGCTGAAAGTCTGGAACAAACCAAACGTCACTAGTGTCACTTGAGCTCTATCAATGCGGGGTGTCGCCAATCCCAATTGATAAAATTCTAGTGGCACTGGCTTGGCTGCATTGAACCCTATGATGGGCCTGGACGTCTCTATCATTGATCCTCTCTCACCAGGCTGTCGGTACCCTTCATTAGTATTTTCATCATGCCCCCTATCCACGTCGCAAAGCAAGGTGCTTTTTCTATCATCATCGTCATGCTTGAGTACGCATGTTCCCCTGCCTTGACAAGTGTCTTTAAATCGACCATGCACTTCGGACTACGAGTGTTTCTCCGGCTGCGCTCGGTGATGCTCGCTTGTTCTTGGCATCAGTGAGCATTGTTGAGAAGGCATTTATTGCAAGTCACCCGTCTATTGGTGCATTCCTTAGGGTTTAGTGGCTGGCCAGATTGAAGTCTCAATGGCGGGACGAGTGTGTCTGTCCAAGTTCTCGAGTGCGCTTGCCTTTCCTCACCCGCCCTTTATCTATTGAACCATCTTCAGTTAATAAAAGCGGATGCGTGATCCCGATAGCGTCAAGGCAGGAGTGCAACACATACAGACTATACGACAAGCCCTAAACATTATGAGTTCTGGCTGTCTGCTGAGTATCAATTGAGACCTGGAGTGGGTGGCATTATGTGTTTGCTGGCGACAAGATTACAGATATCAAGCATTGATGATTGACGAGCCTGGCAAACCAAGCCGCGATACATCTGCCTTGTATCCGACTAGTTCGGCTCTCCCTTCCATCATTGGAGTACCCGACCATTTTGTTGCCTCACTCCGCCTCATGCTGCCTCATGCCAACACTGTGGAGCAGAAACAATTCGCCCTCAGCTCATCTAGCCCACAACTTTACTCGCACTCAGATTGGACACTGCCGTAACCTTCAATGCTGAAGTCATCAGCTACACTAACTAGGCCCATTGTCGATTATCCATCAATCAATCGTTCATTGTCCGTTGTCTTGGCCCTTGTCTCAATCCGCCACGCACCAAAGCCGCACGAGACTTGACCTTGGATCCATTACTCATTATTGCGCTCCGGGTCAAAGTCGTTGCTTCCCATATCCACACCTGATCCACAAAGTCTACCAAGTAGCCTTAAACCCAGTCGACCGATCCTTCCCCTCACATACGAGAGCACCTATTCGCTCTTGCCTCCTGTTCTTCTTTGCCCTCTTCATTTCTTAAGTCTCTCGTGACCGCCGCATTTCGCGCCTTCCGAGCCCCGAGATCTGCTCAGCCCATTTTGCATGTGCCTGTACCTATCCTGAATCCCGTGGGCTGTGGATGGGCCCAGGCACACCAGACCCCAGTCCGCTCTTTCCTGCTTCTATTTCAAGCGAATACTTGGACGCTTCGTTTCTCGGAAGCTTACGACGGCCAACGAGAGTCCTCCATTCTGCCGAGCTTCTAAAATAACTTCCTCGCCTCGCCTTTCTGCCGGGGACCTCGCATTCAATTCCTGCTCTCCAAATCCAGTATCCAGTCATCTCCAACAGGTCCGGCTGGCTCCTTTCTACCAGTTCCAGTCCTTCTCCTTGACTGGATTCTGAGCGTTGCGGGACCTGCAGACTTACTCTTTGCATACTATTTCCCTGACCGCCTTCTTGCATCTCCGTTCCTCATAACTATCTCAATTTCTTCTATTGGTATCACCATACGGCGAGGGCCAGGCCTGCCATCTCTGCCATTGCTGCTGTTCTTCTGGCTTCACACCCCGCCACCCACCATATGCCAGTGCCCCACCAATACCACCCATCCGCTATCCCGCTCAACCTACCCTTGTCAACCCCCAGTTCACTTTATCTCTTTTGATACTCTGGGGCAGTCCGTCCCAACCCGAGAGTAGTCTTACCGCTTCCTGCCCTGGGAAAACCTACCGTCCACTTGCTTTTCTATTCACATTTTCCAGGAGTATCTCTGCCAAGATGCCTCGCGTTAACGGAGTGGGAGTTCAGGTTGAGGACACCAAAATATGCGTGGTTATGGTCGGCTTGCCGGCTCGAGGCAAGAGCTTCATTGCCCAGAAAGGTTAGTTTTTTGCCTCCCCCCGTCTTTGCACTACAGGTTCGCACCTACCACCCTCTGGATCCTTCTTTTTTTCCTCTGTCCCGAAACATTCCGGTCTTCGCTCTGAGCATTCCTGCCACGTATGGCTCTGCCTGGTCATTACGGATCACTATCAGCTGGCCTTGGACTGTAAAATGCTCGCATTCGTACGACATCAGTTGATGTCTCGATCGATACGTCACTAACTCTGTTAATTTTTATTGTTTTCAGCCCAGAGGTATTTACAGTGGCTTTCAATTCCGGCAAAGACCTTTAATGTCGGTAACTACCGGCGCAATGATGCCCCTCACCCGACGGCCGATTTTTTCGACACTTCGAACCCCGAAGGCGAAAAAAAGCGCCGAGCCGCCGCTAAGGCCGCCGTTGCCGACATGCTCGCGTGGTTCCGGCAGGGTGGTGTAATCGGCATTCTCGACGCAACCAATTCCACCAAGGAGCGCCGGAGATGGGTTTTGGACACGTGCAACCAGGAAGGAATTGAGGTGTTGTTTGTGGAGAGCAAATGCGACGATGAGGCTCTCATCATGGCCAACATCCGCGATGTAAAGACGACGAGTCCCGACTACAAGGGCCAGGACCCCGAGACTGCTGCGCAGGATTTCCGAAATCGCATCCGCATGTACGAAAAGGTGTATAAGTCTGTCGACGAAGACGGCGATGAAAATGACCTTACGTATCTGAAAATCATGGATGTCGGCAAGCAGGTCATTATCAACCGGATTTCCGACTACCTGCAAAGCCGTGTTGTTTACTACCTCATGAATTTGCATATCCGTCCGCGATCCGTCTGGCTTTCGAGGGTAAGGCTTTGCTTGTTCTTTTCCCAGCCTCCCCGCCCCTCCTCCCCTTTTTCTCATTCCTTCTATTCCGTCTCATCCAACATCATGGGTTCTTTGTGTATATGACAACCTAGCGGTTGCAGGCGTGTGTGTCTGTGCCTCTATTTACCCAGTCCAAGCTCAAGCGAACCGGCAATAACCAAACATCAATGCTCGTGCTATGGGATAACTCACTAACACGAAACTTGCAATTAGCATGGCGAATCGATGTACAATCTTGATGGCAAGATTGGTGGAGATGCAGGCCTCTCCCCGAGAGGGGAGCAATATGCCAGAAAACTGCCAGACTTGGTCCGGCAATCCGTTGGCGTAAGTTTCTTGTCTTCTTTTTTGTACCTTTCATTCGGCATCATTAACACACGCGCTTCCCCACTTTTTCCTTTATCTAGGATGACCGACCTTTGACTGTTTGGACATCTACTCTGAAACGGACCATTGCGACAGCCCGTTTCCTTCCTGGCGACTATAACCAACTTCAATGGAAAGCTCTCGATGAGCTAGACGCCGGAGTCTGTGATGGTCTCACATATCAACAAATCAAAGACCAGCACCCGGAGGACTTCGCAGCCCGAGATGAGGACAAGTACAACTATCGATACCGTGGCGGAGAGTCGTACCGTGATGTGGTCATCCGCCTCGAACCCATCATCATGGAGCTAGAACGTTCGGAAGACATTCTCATCATCACTCACCAGGCGGTATTAAGATGCGTGTACGCGTATTTCATGAAGAAAGACCAGGCGCAAAGTCCTTGGATGAATGTGCCGCTGCACACCCTGATCAAGCTCACACCGAGAGCATACGGTACGGATGAGGTGAGATATCCTGCTAACATTCCGGCAGTCAGCACTTGGAGAGGAAAGGGAAGCACAGCTAAGCACGAGGACCCTCTTCCCGAGGCGATGTGAGAGAACACTTTGACTTGGCCAATTTTTTTTTTTTTCTTAAGGCGTACCCGGAGCATGCACATAAGGGGGGGGGGGGGGGGGGGGGGGGAAAAAGAAATTTGTGTCGGCGGGGGGGGGGGGGGGCGAGAGGAATGACCTCCAAAAAATATGGGTTATGACGCCAGGGATGAGATAGTTATACTACTGAGCATTCTGTGATACCCCAGGTGACGAGGTCGATGCCCGTCACTATGTTCTTTTGCTTTTCTTCTCATTCTTTCTCTTCTTCTTTTTGTTTTGAGTATTCGAACGGCATACGGGAGAGGCGGGCGGGCGGCTTACACGCCTCGAACAAAATACTCTTCGCAGCTTTTCCCATCATCTACTGCACATGGAGTATCGGCCATGGTTTCTGTGATTGGACTGGTTCTAGCTAAACGAAGAAAACGAATGGATCTCGAAAGGAGAACAGGGCCGAGAGATTGACAACTCGGTTTGAATTAGTCTGATGCTGAGTATCAGAGACTTTGAGGCCCTGAGGAAGGGACAGGATTGGACGGGTTGGCTTCATTTTTCCTGCTCAACTCAGCTCAACGTTTTACATATAAGCTCAGCTAGTGTATAGTTGTTTTCCAAGATCTCTACTATGGAACCACAGTTCACATGGCAATTCGCTGGGGTAGATGTTACCCTTCCGTCAACGCATCCTGTGATGAGGATCATTGGGAGCTGCCCCTCCACATGCAGGATCCGACTATTAGCCGAAGTTGGGGTTGTGGCTTGCTGCTTCCACTGCAAGGAGTGGCGGGGCACTATTATTTTCTTTTCCTTACTGATAAGAACTGATAACAAAATATTTGACACCGCCCTAGAATTTTCAGTTGACTTTTTTTTTTTTTTTTCTTTTTTTTTTAACTGCCACTTGAAAATTTCCATTGAGTCTCCATCTCAATTCTTTTCTTGACCCACCAACAACCAGCTATACACTAGCACAACATGGGACCCGGAGCAGGTAAAAAGAGAAAGTTCGCCGACGCCAGCAGTGCGAAGCCGGCTGGAAAGCGGAACTCAGAGGCTGCAGGCGTACGATCCGCTCCTAAGAAGGCGAAGCCGACTCCTGCGAAGGAACCTACTGCCTCCGAGTCCGAAGACGACTTTGCGCGATTCAGCGACGACGACGACGACGACGACGATGACGATGAGGAGGAGGAAAATGACAGCGGCAGCGAGGCTGAAGAGGATGAGGATGAAGAGAGCGAGGAGCCCGCAGTAGATGAAGAGAAGCCCAAGAAGAAACAGAAGAAGCGCGAGGCGAAGCAAGACTCGACCGCTGGCGACGACAATGACGATGAGACGAACGGCCCCACGGACACCGCCGACAAGAACGGTTCCGACCTTCCCATGGCAGACCTCCCTGCCGGACAGAACCTCTACCTTCCCCCCGCAGCGGGCGAGGAGCCCAAGAAGTTTGACGAGCTGAACCTTTCCGAAAAGACGTTGAAGGCCATACAAGAGATGGGATTCACAGAGATGAGGGGGATCCAGAGGCGCACCATCCCCCCGTTGCTGACGGGGCGGGATGTGCTCGGAGCTGCGAAGACGGGATCGGGCAAGACTTTGGCTTTTTTGATCCCCGCCGTGGAGATGCTGTATTCGCTCAAGTTCAAGCCGCGCAACGGCACGGGCGTAATAATCGTCTCTCCTACGCGCGAGCTCGCGTTGCAGATCTTCGGCGTGGCCCGCGAATTGATGGCGCATCATTCGCAAACCTACGGCATCGTTATCGGCGGAGCGAATCGGCGCGCCGAGGCCGAGAAGCTCGAGAAGGGCATCAACCTGATCGTGGCGACACCCGGGCGCCTCCTCGACCATCTGCAGAATACGAAATTCGTCTTCAAGAACCTCAAGTCTCTCATCATCGACGAGGCGGACCGTATATTAGAGATCGGATTCGAGGACGAGATGCGGCAGATTATCAAGATCCTTCCCAAGCAGGACCGGCAGACGATGTTATTCTCGGCGACGCAGACGACCAAGGTCGAGGACCTTGCGCGCATCTCGCTGCGCCCGGGACCGCTTTACATCAACGTCGACGAGGAGCAAAAGTTCAGCACCGTCGAGGGATTGGAGCAAGGGTATATCGTGTGCGAGGCCGATAAGCGGTTCCTGCTTCTGTTCTCGTTCTTGAAATTGAACCAGAAGAAGAAGGTCATTGTCTTCTTTAGCAGCTGCGCTTGCGTTACGTATCACTCGGAGTTGCTCAACTTTATTGATATCCCGGTGCTGGCGCTGCATGGGAAGCAGAAGCAGCAGAAGCGGACGAATACGTTTTTTGAGTTTTGTAATGCTAAGCAGGGAACTTTGATCTGTACCGACGTTGCTGCCCGTGGTCTCGACGTAAGTTTCGCGCCAAAGCATTCCTTTCCCTTTTCCTTTCAGTTTAGCTAACCAGACGAAACCCCTTCAGATCCCCGCCGTCGACTGGATCGTCCAATTCGACCCCCCCGACGACCCCCGCGACTACATCCACCGCGTCGGCCGCACAGCCCGCGCCAACAGCAAAGGCCGCTCCCTCATGTTCCTACAACCCAACGAAGTCGGCTTCCTCACGCACCTCAAAGCGGCTCGCGTGCCCATCGTCGAGTTCGAATTCCCCTCCAAAAAGGTCATCAACGTTCAATCGCAGCTCGAGAAGCTCATCTCGCAAAACTACTACCTGAACAAGAGCGCCAAGGAAGGTTACAGGTCGTATCTGCACGCGTACGCTTCGCATTCGCTAAGGACCGTGTTCGATGTGAATAAGTTGGATTTGACAAAGGTGGCCAAGAGCTTTGGGTTTGCGGTGCCGCCGAGGGTGGATGTTGTTGTTGGGGCGAGTGGGAGGGATAAGGTGCAGGGGAGGAGGGCGTATGGGAGTCAGCCTGGGAGGAAGAGGGGGGGCAAGTATTGAGATTGAGAGGATGTTGGTGTTGGTTCTCCTTGTCTTTTTCTTGTTACTGGGCGTTTTATTAAAAGTAGTTGAAAGCATTATTAGCTGTAATGGCTTGAGTATTTTTACGTCTATATGACTAGTTTGAGATTTTCCATTTCGAGGGCTTCACTGGCGATGTGTGTACGATTCGAGACCTTGATGGGTTGACTTACAACAATAGATGTGTCTCCTAGGAGAGGCAGGTACTTGGAAGACTATGCTCCGACCTCATGGATTCATGAACCCAGGAAGACAGCAGGCATCACAACATCGAATCAACGGAGACAATAAGTCCGAATCACAAAGTAACAAAGGCATCAATTACCATCCACGACCGAAAATCACGAAAAAGAAAAACAAAGCCACCCACCCCTTTTCCCCTTGCCAAAGCACTGCCATATCAAAAAGGACCCTTAACCTAGTCCAGATTTTTTTTTTTTCGGAAAAGTGAAAACAGACCTCCTCCCTCCTTGACAAAGAAACCAGAGAGTTAATACACGGAGTGAAGAGAAATGAAGAGTGAGAAAATAGGTCAGAGACCAAAAGACCAAGTCACAGACTCCCCCCTTTTGCTTTTTGTTGCATTTGCTCATATCTGTATTCGAACGATAAGAACTTATAACTTTTGATCGTTTCCTTTTTTTCTTTTTTTTCTCTTCTTTTTTCAGTATTTTCAAATGCCATGGACCGGTCCCCTGCAGTTCCTTTCAAATTGAAGCAAAGAGGGTTGCTTTCGCCTCTGTTCCCTTTCCTTGGAAAAGAGCAGGGTGCCTATACTTGGTATTCTCAGGGTACTTGCAAGAAGTGTGTGCCATATTGCGCCGCCCCTGAGTACACACGAAAGAAAGCAGCACTGCAACTTTAGGAACAGCTCGTGTCCAACTGTGACTTCAGTAGTGTACACAGAGAAAGAAACTTTAGCCCATAGACTAACAGTTTCAAATCAGTGACCAGCCCAAGTGAGACTGTCCACTCTCAAGCAGGTGTCAAGCTTTACTGTACCCTGCCGATGCAGAAACCGAAATGGGAAACGAGACAGATCAACGAGTCGTCAGAAGTTTGCAAACGCGATGGACACAAGTCTCATCGACAGCATCCCAGACTTCAGGGCGAGCAGCAAATAGATCACCCCTCCTGCCACGAACACAATACAGTTTGTCGTGTAATGTTTGCGCGGAAGAAAATAAGTTCAAAGAGAAGTGAGATAAAAACGTTGTCCTGTCTTGCTAAGCCCAAGACATCATGTACGTCGGCCGAATGTGCGTGTCACCTTGCTGTCAAGTTGGCGATACGATATCAAAGTGAGCGATACTAGAGTTTGCCGTTCCATGTAGCGCTCCAAACAAAGACAAAAGGTCCTCTGCGTAAGTCCGAATCTGAGAGACCGCATCGAAGTACGAACGGTGATGGGGTCACAACTTCATCCTAAAGTCGTTTGCATCCAATATGCACCTTGCCGAGCGTGTCAAGGAGAGAGGCCAAACCCGGGAGCACACTGTGAAATACATCCAGGGACACACGCACACATATAGGAAGGCCAGGTGCATGTGTTATGTTGCATGTGCAATGTTTCGAAAAATGAAATGCCAACGGCCTGTCACATCTTCGTGTCAAGTCAATGGCAGGAAATGCATCATGAGCAGAAAAATAAAAACGACTCAACAGCAAGGGGTATCATGGCGTCATGCAGTGACAAGAAAAGTCATGTCTCGTCTAAGAAGAAAAAAAAGAAATAAATCAACCGTGACGACAGAAGGTCAAGGAAGAGTTTGAGTCACCATCACGAAATGCATCAAACATCGGTGGGAGTCAAAGTATGCCAGTATGTCCCGGAGGCCGGTTCAGGGGCACTGCTGATCGGTCGGTTGGTCGGTCTACTGTGTCCCAGGAGTCGGTTGAGGAGGGGCATCACCAGGCTGTTGGCCACCAGCAGCACCAGCCGCGCCGATCCATTGTTGATACCAGAGCGCTAGGTAGTTGTTATATCCACCATCTAGAATAATTAGTTAGAGGAGTAGCTAAACAAAAGGGGCATGGGAAATCAATAGCACACTTACATTGAGCATACGGATCAGAGCCGTCCGCAGCAGCACTCTGTTGCGGCGGATGCGATTGAGAGGCGGCAGGGTGCTGTCCATACCCACCATGGTCACCTCCACGGGGTCCTCCACGGGGGCCTCCACGGCCAGGACCACTACTAGGACCAGATCCCTTCATACGCTGGAGACGGAGAGAGTTCCAAGTTAGAATATAGAACGCGTAACCAAGATATGCATTCGCGGGACCAAAAAACTGAGAAACTTACCACTGCGTCGATCTTCTCGTCGATTGCTCGCTTGGCCTGGTTAATACTATCCTGGCTGCCAATGAGAGCAATCTCCCTCTCAACCTCGCCTTCGCCAGACGATTGCGACACGTTGATTTTACATCCTGTCACGTTCTGGATTTCGCGGATCGTGTCGCCGCGCTTACCGATAATCATGCCTACTGCATCCGAGGGCACGCGGATAATCTCCTGGATCTTGTCACCACCACCCATTCCGCCGTCACCGCCAGGACCGCCACCGCCACCGCCACCACGATGCGGAGGGGGGCCGCCCCTGCTCTGGTATTCATACGGGTGAGAGTCACTTTGGCCACCGTACGGCCTCTTTCCGATCGCCGCCGCGGTACCTGCGCCACCCTCGCCGCGGCTGTCACTATCGACGATCTCCATGATAAGGTCCTTGGCTTTCTGGGCAGCTTCGAGAGTGCCAATCAGATTTACTGGTCGCAACCCGTTGATGCTCTTAGATTCCCCGACAATGTTAATGTGGCATCCCGACCTTTCTTGGAGATCGCGGATCGTCTCTCCGCCGCGACCTATGATGAGACCGACGGTCGGGTCGGGCACCATGATCTGCATGTGGTCCTCGCCCTCCCTCAGGGCCGCCGCTCCTCCGCGGTGTTCCTTGGGGGCGCGCTCCGGGGGAGGTCCTCGGCTAGAACTGACACCAGTATCACGAATAATACGATCAATAGCTTCTTTCACGTCTGCACGGCGCGCACGAGGGCCAGTAATCTTGCACTGTCGCATAGAAGAGTTATCAGCCGTGCCGAGGAACTGGACGCGACAACCAGTCTCTCCCTCAATCCGGCGAAGGTTCTCTCCCTGTCGGCCAATGATAAGACCGACCAGGTTGCCCTCGATCTGGATGGTTTCCGAGTTATCGTCACCGCCCCTGGGAGGGGACCTGTCCCTATCTCTTCCATTAGAGCTACGGTACGGGCCGCCACGACCGTGGCCATCGGGCGAATATCGGCCACCAGGGTGTCCATAGTCACGCGAGCGCTCTTCGCGGCGCTCATCCCTGTACGGGTTGTAGTTGTCACGATAAGTGTCACGGCGCGAAGCAGGAGACTTTGAGCGGCTACGACGACGATAGTCACGTCCTTCACGGCTGTCGCGGCCATCCCCGCGTCCGTTATGTGCCGGATAAACGACGGGCCGCTCATACGAGGCAACGCCGGCTTCGGCAGCATATGACTTGGCCTTTGCAATTGCCTCCGCGATGCTTACGGTTCCCGAGTTGACGGGTCGGATGGCGCTGAGATCCATGTTCCCAGACGCGGCTGGTTGGGGAATAGAGTATCCAGGTGGAGCTCCATATGAGGCCGATGAAGGGGGAGGAGGATACGCGGCTGAGGGCTGTTGGTCGGACGGAGGAGGGTAGGCAGGCGCGCCGGGGATGGGTGGTTGGCCTGGGGTTTGGCCTCCTGCTGGAGGGGCCTGGCGCTGCGAGGCTGGAGAATCAAACAATTAGTTTTCTAAAAATAAAGAACCGCAAAAGGCTATCGCGAGTACGAAACATACCAAGCGCCGCAAGTATAGATTGGATATCAGGCGTTTGTGTAGACATGGTTTTTTGTCAAGTAGACGTTGATTGTTGAGTTGATTCAGGTTGCGGAGATTGTGGTAAGTCCAAGAGAATCTCCACGAAAAACACGGTTTAAATATAGCACGGGAACCTGCTGCTGCTGCCTGGTGAAGCACGAGTCGGAAAAGATGAGTTGATGTGACCAAGAAGGCCCATAAAGAGTCGTCTGTGGTGGTGTTTCACTATTTGGGCTAAGGCTCTTTTGAGGAAGTCGCGACTCGGCTCGTGGCAGCCACAATGGACGCGATGAAAATTCGAATCTGGCGCAAAGATTTCGAGACCGTCGAGTCTAGGGTGGATGGATGGCAACGAAAAACAAGACACCGCAAACTGCAGGCAAATCGTTGCAGGGTGCACGTGTGGATGGGAAAGGTGTCAATCGATCATCAAAGGAGGTTGCGAAAAGTCTTCTTCTCCTGCCTGTGGATATCTTTGAGTATATTTGGGGAAGGCGACAGTGAAAGGGGGGAAGGGTATGAGAGTCTTGAGATGGAGATGGGAGGAGGAAGCGAATGAACCTGGGGTAATGATGGAATGTTTGATGCTGATTTTTACCCTTTTTCCCCGTCGCGAAAGTCAAAAAAAGGCTGGGGCTCTTTCGCTCCTTCCTCTGCAGGCCACTAGTCCTAATTCAGGGTGTCTCATGCTAAGCTTATAACTTTGAAGGATCTGGGCAAATTAGTCATCATAGTCATGTGACCTTGCAGATTCGATTTTGGGGTACACAGGTACCATCGTCCCAATCAACTCGAGATCCTCCCTAAATCCGGGGATGTTTAAACTCGAGGTTGAACTCTCGGTTTTTTCGACGTTCACATCACGTTTACGTGTACGTCGTAATCAAAACTGTCTTCCTCATCTTTCCCACCACCGTAGGAATATATTGTAGGCATATCCATCAGATATGCCAGAGACCACTCGACTTCCGATCCCAAGATCGTGTCGGGTCATGACTATGATACATTGCTTCGTCCATCTATCCGTAGAGCCCAAAACTCTTCTTTGTCGTCAAAATTCGTGAAATTATCCAAGAAAAAAAGCCCATAGCCGGGCCTCTGCGCGCCATCATGCCGTAACATGAACCAAACTCCATAGTCCGTGAATACCCAAGAGGGCTCTGTCCGAGTTGCCCGTCTCTATATCTTCCCAATCCTGTACATAAAACGCCGACGCTATGCATTGATAAACCAAAAAAAAAACCAAATATGCTCGCTTCCAAACATCATGACGCCTTGGATCCAGCCAAGGAATGATTATAAAAAATAGAGATATTAAAAAAATGGTACAAATGAAGTTGAAAGTGGAAGTGCTGGTTGTCCTTCCTTGATGCGGTCGAGTTCTTCGACTCGACGCAAAAAACGTATGGTAAAAGACAGGCCAACGAGGGCGTCTTTAGAAAACGTATAAACATTGGCCCTTGGAACTCTCGATTGGAATTCGAAGGGCCAACGCTCTTATAGTGATCGTATGCTTGTACCCTTGGTGAAGGGGGAGAGAAGTTGCTCCATCTCTTTCGGGAAATTCAGCCTCAAGGCGCCGGACAAGCTTGTGCGAGACAAGAGTCAAATGGCTGGCCGAGCAAGCAACGAAACGTGGTTGGTTACCTCGTCAAGCATCCAGTGACAGCTTCTATAGGCCAATGCGGCAACATTAAGCATGCCAAGGGTGTGTCGAGGAATATCGTAGTGTTGTTGATGTCGTTGTGTAAACGTATCCCCCACCGGCTCACATCGTAGTTGATAACGTTCAGATCTCCACATGCAATAGATGCATGATTCGAGGACAGAAAAAAAGAAAGAAAAGAGAGAAGAGATAGTTGCCAGAGGAAAGCAAAGAAGAAAGCCTCCGTTGTCATAAAGCAAAAAAGAAAAAAAAGTGAACCGTGTCGAACATTGATTGGAAATACGTTCCCAGAGTAATAAACCGATTAGATGGATAAAAGGAGGAAAAGAAACGACGTCGAGATCGAGAGAAACTTGGGTCGAATCCAAACTCCTGAGAGAGAGAGGTCTCAACCCGAAGTGCACCCGTGGTGTGACGAAGTCGTAGCCAAATTTTTTTTTTCGGGGTTTTCATTTTTTTTCTTGCATTTGATAGCCAAACTGGCCGAAACCGAGAGAGCCGAAAAATAAATGAATCGAAGGGACCGGGGCGAGGGGGCCAGAGTGCCGTAGTTAGAATCGAGCAAGAACAAGAAACGAGAATACCTAGTCTTCTTAGCCCAAGCGGTTATCGAATGCGTCCGGGATCTGGAAAAGTCCAAATGTGGCTGACGAGCCCGGGTTTGGAGAGGTCATTGGTGAGATGGCGGCTTGGTATGGTGAAGCTGAAGCGGAGTGTTGGAAGGTAGGGAACTCGAAGCTGGAGGAGGCTGAATTCATGGCTGCGGGATTCTGGGAGACATCCATACCGTCCATGCCGTCCATGACGTCCATCATGGTTTCGATGGGGTCGAGGATGGAAAGATCTCTAATCATACCTGGGTATGCGTTCGCGTCGAGCCCAGTGTAGTCAAACCCCGCGCCATTTTCAGATGTGACAAAGACAATATCATCCCTCATGTTGGGCCGAAGCTCCTGAGGCTTTGCCAAATCAACTCCTCGCGAGGATTCCAACTGAACATCCGGATCATTAACCATCGTATGTTCTTCCCCCACCTCCCCCACCTCCTCTTCAATAATTTCCCCGCCATCGCCTTTGCGGACTTGGATCTGCACCATCCAATGCTTGAGCTCCGACATGGGCGGCCATGAGCTGTCATGCGGCTTCAACTTGCGGCGTTCACCGTTGTCAAGATGCTTCTTGCCACGCATGGCCCGCTTCCTAAAGTGGGCTCGACGGAGATGAGCGGCAGCGTTATAGTATGCGCCATACTGCTTGGCTGACACACAAGCCTTGCACTTTTGGAGCGGATGTATGGCCTCAACTGATGATTTGATTCCATCCTTCGCTGGGTCGCGGCATATCCACTTCGTCACCTTCGCAGCGTGCTTCGAATTGGTATGTCGGCGAAACTCATGCTCGCCACGGAAGCCAGCGGGGTATTCGTCGCACTTGTCGCAGAAGACCTTGGGCTGCTTGCGGCGCTGGTACTGCTGGGTAATAGTGCTATGTCTCTTTGCAGAAGCCGAGGATTTGGAGGGCGAAGAGCCATTTGAAGGGCGGCCAGACGTGGACTTTATGGTCTCGGGATCTCCTCTCGGGGCGATTGGTGTGCGGAGACCATTCTGAATCTGTCGCCCAAAGGCTTCCTTGGCACGGCGTTCCTGATTAGACATGGTGGACCTGATGCTGCTGTTAGAGCCAGTTCGGCTCATCCCAACTGACTCGGGGACAGGATACAGGGTCGGTGGAGAAGAATCCTGGCTGACATTCAGAGTGAAGGGCACGGGGCCGATCTTCTCGGCGACGAAGGGATCCATGCCGAAACGATATGGCACCACAACGGCAGCCTTCTCAGCAGCAGCGGCAAGGTTGATACCAAAATCGGCAGGGTCCTGGCTTACAGTCCTGCTGAGCGGAGGAGGAAGCGCATCGAGGAAAGCATGGCCAACGGAGCTGTTCTCCCTTGTAAGAGGATCCATGTCAGCTGCGGCGACCGAGTCGGCGGAGACGAGGGACGGGGTCGTCGAGGTTGCATTGCTAGTAGGATAGGCGTAATAATCGTCCTTGGCTAGGGGGTTGTAAGAGCTCTTCATGAGATCATTGATATGAAAGTCCTGGTCGGTGGACATCAAGTAATCCAAAGGATTCTGGCCAATTTCCAAGACGGGGTCTTCCTGGACGTTCGGGAGGCGGTGGGGCACAGGGCGAACGCAGCTTGCAAAGATGGTCGACTCGTCTTGGTAGGTTCGGTCTACAATGTTGGCATTGGCACCAAGGAAGAAGCCCTGGGTTCCGGCATTGATTGAGACTCGCGATGGGTTGGAAACTTGCGAAACGCTTCGGCTCATGGGTTGAGACTGAGCAGACACGTTGGAAAACGACCGCTAATGACGTGTTAGATAAATATAAGCTCTTCACCCCACGGCTAACAATAGAAAAAGGGCGACACGAATACGTACTGTCATGCGATTATCTAGCTCGACCGGGGCAGAGCTAAAGTCTAAGTTGGACTGGCTCCGGGGCGTCATGGCGGCGGTCGCAAGTCGAGACGAAGCAATACCCATCTGGTTCTGGTGAGAACTGCTTGAAACGAGCTGGTAAGCGTTGTTTGGGGAGAGAGATGACGAAGCACCATCGCTGCTGCTCAGTCGATGGGTTCGCGGCTGGGCGGACAAGAGGTCGGAGCTCTTCAGGGTCTCACGAAGGATACGCTTTGGTTCCTTCAGAAACCCTGTCGTATTTTGTAAACTCGCTAGTTGACGTTGCATTTCTTCGGTGGAAAGGTGGATAGTGGATAGAGACACGGGCGATTCCCCAGGAAGTGCCGTGGTCTAGCTATAAATGACTGAAAGAAAGCCGGATGAGTCCGCCAGCCCGACGAAGACTGGTAGGTGGTGGCGTCGGTCGCGAGTGAAGAAGAAGCCTGGTGGTATGAGAATATCAAAAACCTCCTCAGGCTTCTAGTCTGGGCGGATGTTGCAGGACAACAACGTCGAGAAATGTTCTGACTTATTAACCCAACGACCCAACGTCGGGCACCTTGTCGGGTCAGGTGGGAGATCAGAAATCAGATCGGGTGGGAAGGGAATAAAAATAAGATCCAAGAAACGCAGAAATAAAACAACTTCCCTCGTTGGTCGAGAGAAGCGATCTCGACTGGATTCGCTTGGAATTATATAGTGTTGAAGATGGAATTCAACAATTGCTCACGAAAAGTACAAAGTGAAAGATGAAATGAACGGGAGGAAAGATGGGATTAATAGGAAATCAAAGACGCCGGAAAATGGTTCGCAAAGTGAGAGCCAGTCAAAAAAAGTGAGGCGTCGCCAAGTGACCGACCCCCATGCAGGCAGACAGGGTGGTTGAGTGAGGTGAGGTGAGGGTGATCAGGCTTGGAGGTGCGCAGGAAGAAAGTACGAAGTACGAAGTACACGAGCACACAAGTAATGACACAAGTTCACGAGCACTCACGTACTTCGTACCTCGTCCCTTCCTGGGTAGGACAGGACATGAGTACAAGATACTTTTGCTTCTCTCCTTCACGACAAGAGCGATGAGCTGATAAGACAACAAGACATCCACATTTGATAGTTCAATGTGGGCGGGCAGTGTAAGGTACGGGGTACAGAGTACAAGGACTCTCCAGGAACTCAACTACCACCTCACCACATAAGCTGCGGCCGGCGTGGGACTGCAACGTACACCTGCACATACAACTCGGCACGACGAGAGACTTGGGATCCTTCTTCGGGTTTTGGACAAATCCACTAACGCACTGGAGAGCCGGCACAGCCAGCCTGATGCACCCAGGCGGCTTGAGAAAGCTGGGGAAAGACACGGAAGACGCGGAGCATCGACTGGTGGGTCAGGCCAATCCAGACTCCACCGAAGGAATCTAGTGTATTCCAGGACTGGACACCGACCATGCATCGGTAGTTTACGAAAAGGAGACAACTCGAGTCTCGCCTGGCGTGCAGTACAAAGGGTAAGCTGGGTTATTCATGGATGTCATTCATAGTGTCAGGTACCAAGACTGGGGCCCTTAACTGTACGGAGAAATGCTAATAAGTTGCGAGCTCCTTGATGCAACTGGATTGAGATCAATTGCCAGACTCAGAGTCGAGTGTAATCGTCGAAGTACCTTGGTCTCTTTCGCTTCCTCAAGAACGTTCATGTTTGTAAAGTACTTCGTATCCAATAGCGCAAAAGTGCAATCGCCCCCTCCCCAGGCCAGAATGTGAGATTTCCAGTTCCCCTCCCCCCTCCCCAGGAGCTGAGAGGCGAGCCGAACTACGATGCCCGGAACGGCACCCGGACCAAAATCAGTGGGTGACCTGGCGTTTTGGGTCTGTGTTTGGGAGGGCAATATTTCAATGTTTGTACCACCAGCCAGCCAGGCTGTCCCCTAACCTTTGCTTTTGCTAGACAAGTATTGTATTCCCAGGACTCAGCTTTTGAAATACGACTTCAATGTCGTCTAGTGCATTGAGTACAGCACCCATTGACTCGACTGCTTTGAGACGAGTCCTGCGATTCACGAGAGATCAATGGTCTAAACTACTTCATTGACGAAACAAAGTATTGTTGCCGAAATCTCCACCGACTCGATAGTCTTTGATCTTTAACGACGTGGGTATTATCACGGACGCTAAAGTTGGAGCAAAAGAAAGACCCAATTGATGCTTTAATTGCACACCCTCTTTCTCCGACGCAAAGCCACCCTCCTTCCCATTGATGTGTTGGAATTCGAAAGTGGAAACTTCCAAGTCGATTCCTAGAGCTGGCATCAGAGGGACAGCATTAGCCTTCGGTATTGGTATTCGTATTGGTGTGGGACCCCCCAAGCCTCAGGAGCCCAAATCGATGACGACAGTCCCTTGTTGATGCGTCCCCGGAAAGCCAGGTGCCAATGCCGCCAGACTGGTGGTAAGGGTAACAGGGAAGCTTTCCCAATCTAACTGGCTGGTGCTTCGCTGGCTTGTTTGCGCAAATGTGCTGCATTGATGTATCACACATTGCTTCTTCTTTCCTAACATCCTCTCATGAGCCAAGCCCGGCATATTATTCTTCATCCCCTCCTCCGATTGGAAACGCTCCCTGCACTTCCATATCATACATCACTGATTCACATCCTCGACTCCGTAGGTATAATGATCGCTGGCGGAGTCCGCCCGGTGGAGTTTTTACTGTTTCTGGCCAGGCTTTATATCGTCTGCCTCTCTATATGGGCAAGTATATGGGTGCTTGCAACAGTCATCGTAATAGCTCTAGTCTTTGATCGCCAGCATTGGAAGGGCAAATTGTGATAACACCGACCAACATCGCCAATTGGATCCCCGCCATGTACAGCTCCTCACCTGAATGGGCATTTATTCGATCACACAAATTAGGACAAACTACAAAGTACTGGAGGCTGGCTCGACTCGAAGAATCGGAAGAAAAGGGTCTCAAGTTGGCAGCGTTCAATATTCCTTCGGGGGCTGTGCTTGTGCATCGTTGTCTAGTGGCGGCATGTACTCTTGTCCTGTCCCAAACCTCCAGCGAGCGTTGCCCAACTGTGCATCGGAAGCAGGTCACCGAAACCACCATGCGAGAAGCAGACGAAGGGAATGCCAAAGTCCAATTGTCCAGATCCAAGAGGGTGCACCATTACATAATCCGTGAATCGTGCCGATGGACCAGTTCGCCCTACCTCTGAGCTGGCAGTCTCGGTCTCCCAAAATCGATTGGCCACGAAGCGCTCTCCAAGAATGAGGCGGACGCGGCCCATGCGACCCATCCATCATTGAAAATTAACCCGCCGCCCACGCTTCTCCCGTTTATTCCCTCTGCCACTATTATCCTACCCTCCTGTTGCAGGACCGAACTTGATCCTTCCAGAGTCGTGGTCACGCACCCATCCGTCCCTCCTGTGCGCCCGTAGACTCGCCTGCATTGGTCCGTCTTACTCGTTCTGCGTTGACTAGTTGTCCAAAGTCCTAGACTTGCCGGACCTCAATACTGCTTTGTATGTCGTCCCATTGGTCACTACAGAACACAGCGCTATGTAGCGTCTTAATCGCGCACTCTCTGGCATGCGTCTACCCTGTTGGCGACCCATCCCCAGGTGAGCATTGTACCATTCTACTTCGTAGTTTACCCTGCCACTAGAGATTAAGACTGAAGAAAATGCCTTGAATGATGCTTGAACCCCTTAACCCGACTCGTCGCGATGTGCTCTGCCGCGATTGCATGCTGGATAATCAGGCAGCTCTTCCTCTATCAGCACAACGGTGATCTCAACTTGGTCACCGACAGGCACCCAACAGAGAGGTTTTTATTTTATTTTATTTTTTTATAGCCGTTTGAGGCCCGAGAAACAAACCGCGATGAACGAGAGGGTGTCTGCCCAGCCGTCCAAGTGCTCCGCGTACAAGAGACTCCAGCATCGTTGCCTGAGAAGCTTACGAATTAGCTGGCATTAGTACTCCGTACGTCGTGCACCACCCAAGCTTGAAGCTGCACCAGATCGTACTGGACACTTTCACAGACTAAGAAGGCCAGAATGCCTCGTGGAGAGCCTCGGGGTCTCCCCCACAAACTATGGCTTGATTCTTTGCTGCTTCGCAGACTATTCACTCATCCTCTTGCCACCCCCACTGCCAAAACATGCGCCCGTAGAAACAAACTAGCCCGCACCCAAGGACGTCGTCATCGCTTTTAGAGTCGGCTACGCACAGGTGTACGATTTGAGAGGGTGGATATAATACATCAAATGTAAGCTGAGTTGATTTGAATCCCGTTCCTCAACACCATTAGTGTCCCGTCCCTTGCTCTTTGAGTCTGGTCGTTGGCTGAAACCCTGATGAATCCCGCGCCTCCGGATCATCGCCATCTCGAAGTTTGTAATTCCCCATCCGGTAACAAATTTCAGATGCCATCGGGTGATGTGCCCAGATGTGCAATATTGCCCTCAAGTCGACAAAACGATATCTCTACTTTGTAAACATCCAGACCGCATAGCACAGCCCATTCATGAAGGCCATCTCATGCAGATGCGAGGGGCCGCCTAACTTCTTAGGTTTCGGAACCAATAATTCGCGCCATACTGCTTCAAAAGTTGCCTTTCCACCTTCAGCTTACTTTTTACACTTCTTTGTTCGGCGAGGGCAGGCTTGGTGTGGCACACACCAGGCTCGCATGAGAAGAGCAACGCCCGGTGCCTATTGATGCCTCACCGAGGTCGAATTGTCGAGCAAGACTTTTGGGTCGCAATGAGACCCTGTTGATTGCACTTCTTGGGTAGGACAGGATTGGTATCATATACCTGGACCGGAACTACACCTCGGTATGCCGCGGATGGAATTCTCTAAACAATGTACCACGAATGAAATTGATGTTTCTTGATGATTGGAAAAACTACGGTGTCCTGGAATTCAAGGCTTCTGGAATTGTCAACCGAAGCCCAACTTCGTACATTGTAAATTCCAAGTAAGATGACTAAGCATCTTTCCACACAAAATCGGCAGCAGCGAGCTTTGAATGCGGTAGATTCTCGGCTCATCCAGCTTGGAAAGATGCCAGCTTTACCACTGACGTGGGATGTACCTGCATCGCCAACTGTAGGTCAGAATGGTACGAATTTGTGGATCATGAAGTCGCGATCCCGTCTCCTTCACGATCAACTTTAGAAAGGAGGCGAAGGGAGAGCCAGTATACACCCACTACTCAACCATTTTTACCTTCATGCAGAGCTAGGAACGACGGTCAACGGCACAATGCGCCGTCTTAGCCTCCCCTTGCTGGTGCTAGCCCAGCAGTGCCTAGCTCGTCAGCGAACGTTCAGCATCCACGAGGACATATTTGCCTACCCCCAGGTTTGTGGACTCTAACCATGCCCCTTCTGAAGCCCATCAAATCCCAGTTCTATCGGCATGGTAAACTGACGGTGAGAAATAGTTCGATGTAATATTCTCCGACAACTTTATATCCGAACACGATGCCCAGTCGCTCGTTGACCGCGCGAATGCCCACGCCACATACAGCGCCGACTTCTCCTCCCAATCAGACCTAGCCCAGAGATTCCACTCATTCGCGGACGGCGAGCCGCCGAGCAGTGAAGGTGACGAATCGGACTCCAAAGTCAACTATGAGATCATGAACATGCCGCCGAACAAGTACCTATGTTCGATACCGATTCTTGAAGATTCGCAAGCCGACAACCAAACGGCGGCCGACCTCGCCAAGGCGGAGGAGGCGAAAGAGCTGGCGAGGGCGTCTGAGCGTGGATGGGAGCTTCTAAAGCCTCTCGATGGTCAGTGTCTCCACCATATTGACGGGTGGTGGAGCTATAGGTTCTGTTACGGCCAGGATATCGTGCAATATCATGCGCTCCCACATATCCCAAACGGACGGCCGCCTATACAAGACCCTGATACGGTGGCATACGTTCTTGGCCGAGTTCCCGGCTCAGAATCTGAGAAGAAATCGAAGAGCAAAAAGCAGCAGCAGCAACAGCAACAGCAACAACAACAACAGGATGCCACCGCCAATACCAACGCCCAGGGCTCCTCGGCTCAGCCTCCAAATGCGGAACTGCAAGTCAAGGGCGACCAGAAATATCTGGTTCAGAAGATGGGAGCCGGCACTATCTGCGACCTGACGGGACGCGAGCGCACGATAGAGGTACAATACCACTGCGCCCCGTCGATGACATCCGAGCGGATTGCCTGGGTCAAGGAGGTCACTACTTGTGCATACTTGATGCTAGTCAACACGCCGCTCCTCTGCAGCGATGTCGCTTTTCTACCACCGCAAGAATCTACGGCTAACCCCATCACATGCCGACCCATCCTAACCCTGGAGGACATAGACTCCTACTCCCCCAAGGCTGTCGATGCCATGACCAACGCCCACCTTGAGGGTCCCAAAGGTAGCATCCTCGGCTCCAACCCTCTCCACCACCCTCCCGTAGTCGGCGGCATCATTGTCGGTGGCCACAACATCCTCGCCTCAGATGGCGAAGGAGTTTCATCCGTCAGTCTGGAGGTGCCGCGCAGCTTCGCATCCGGGCGGCGCAAGGGGAAGCGTCAGGTCGATATCCTCGCCAGCCGCACGAGCGTAGAGGAAGGCTCGAAGTACTCTGGCCTCACTGAGGAAGAACTCAAGGCTATGGATATAGACCCTAGTCTCGTCGAGGATATGAGGAAGGAGCTCCAGAAGCTAGCCGGTGATAGGGCCTGGAGGCTCGAGGTTGTGCAAGTTGCAGGTGGTGATAGGGAGATTCGGGGAATTGTGGATGTAGATGAAGAAGAAGATGGCAAGGATGGAGAAGGGGCCGAGAAAGCTGAGGGGGGTGACGATGGTACTGAGGAGGAGTTTATATTTGAAGAGGAGTTGTAGATGGTGTTGTCCCTCCCCCCCCCCCCCCCCCCCCCTTTTTTTTTTTCTCTTCCCTTCGTTTCTTACCATGTTTTCGTGTGCTATCATGAAGTGTGAACCTTTTTGGGAAGCAGGCTGGCATTGGCGTTAGCGGTTGTATTCTCCTTTTTTCCGTTTACAGAGGTAGTCGGATGCCTTCACAATTGTACATACTTTGACCCCTTAGCGTATGATATCTTTAGCCTGAAAGCGAGATTCGAAGATAGTCGCCTACGGGATATGCGTTACGAAGTAATGCTATTGATTCGCTCGCCCATCGCCGGGAGATGCTTGAGATGCTCGTTGATGGCCTCAAAGGCATCTTCCCCGACCTTACGACCACGTCAATCACTTGTTAATCTTTGGGGCAGGCCTTAATAGGCAGTCCGGGTGAGTTACAGACGTGATACGCTCTTTCGAAGGAACCCGCGAGGTCCTCCCTGGCTTCCAGGCACTCTCACAGTCCTCCATCCACTTCCTTCGGCGAGGCCCTCTCTGGATTTTGGTCCTGCGTAATGGAAACTAGACTGAAGTTCCTAGGACGTGTTTACACCACAGAGCAAGCGTTGAGAACGAGGCGGGTTCTAGGAAGGCGCCCACATCCTTCCATACCTTCCTCGCCATACTCGGTCCCGGCCATATGTTTTATATATGCGTTCAAGGCAAGAACTTCTGACCGAGTAGCTCAAGTAGTGGCGACACTACGACCAGTGGTCAATTGGAGCGCTCAGAAGGTTAGAAAATTGCACTTTTCGTAGCTCGTGGGAAGCAATCAGGAGTTCGATCCTGAGAGCGTCCCGCGAGCGAGCTTTTTGCCCTTCTTTTTTCGATGACCATCCACATCTGAACGTTCTGTATCAATGCATTGAGCTTTCATTTTTATCCCTGTTGTTCCTATAATATCCCGTATCTCTTCCAGTTTTATCTTTCCTCCCTTTTTTTCCGGTCAAGCCAGTCGTAGGAGAGGCATCCCCCATCCCTCCTTCATTAATGTTTGAAGGCGACACATGTCTCGGAACCCTTCTCCAACCCACGACCTATCCAATGAGGAATCGATTAGCCGTTTACAAGATCCCATGTCTCATCAGTCCTGCCATTCCCTGAAGATAATCAACGGCCTCTTAGAGATGTTGAAGAATGAGATAGTGGCAAGTCAGTCTAGAACTCATCATGGTGTCTCACGAGTCGTCATCCGCGCCATCTTCGGATTTAGATCCGTTTGTACTGAGAATAAGACAAATGGCACAGATTCTTCGCTTCACCAATCGAATTGGAACTCTAGAATATAGTCGTAAATACGAAGTATAATATTGACGAAGTAGGAAAGAAAGATTAATAAGGTCCCAATCTCGCTTCAGATCGTCGTTCCGCGCTTTGGCCCCTCGAGAAGGGTGCGGGATGCAGATCGGAAGAGAGTGACATTAAGAACTCGATATCACCGGTGACCCGGGTTTGATTAAAAAGTATCAATGAAAAAGAAGATATGCCCGTTCTAGCGAGCTTCGTCGAGGCACAGGCATCGAGACTACCTCGGCAGATAACAAACCCAGCTTTTGAAGGAAAGGATTTTCGTCTGCAGTTCAGGGCAATATCATTCGGTTCTCTGCCAGAGAACTAACACAGGAGAAAAAACGAAAAATAGACGGCTTCTCGGCGGACTGAGACACGAGGATGCAACTATGTAGGATGAAATGGCAATCTACTCCCAACTCGATGGAAGAAAAAGGAATTAGTTGTGTAGTTGCAGGAGGGCGAAACCAGTAGTTTGTAAACAAGCAAGGACAGATGAAAAAAACCGGAGCAGCCGCCACTTCACCGCCATCTTTTTATATGACATCAATAGATTGATTCGTTCGCAGAGCATGCACGACAGCAGTTTACAGCAAGGATCAATTGATTTCGATGCACCCTCCGCATGACGCCAATCGGGTCTGCCCCAGACGGAGGGCTTTTGATCTCTCGATTCTCTCCTTCCTATTAGTGCATCTCTCCTTGACTCCGTCTTAGCATCGGGCCTTGCGAACAGACGGCTTGAAAGGGGCATGTCTACGATCCCACAAGTACCTCGGGATGCGTTCGCATGAGAGCTTTTTGTTTGCAACGGTCACCGCCACTCACAGGACAGGATGGGGCTGGACCTCTTGCATTTGCGGATTTTTTTCTTGGGAGAGAAAAAAAAATATGCAAGACGCTGTGACCTATGGTGCACATCGTCTGCACTTTAGCCGACAGGTGCGCACGGTCGAGGATGGAAGGAGGAAAATGGCTGGATCAACCAAAGATCGCCAGGTGTGGGCAAACGGAGAATATCTGAGTGGTCCACGAACGCCAGCAACGAAGCAGAGAGAAGCACTGCACAGAACGAGCTTCCAATGGATGAGAATCGCGAGCTGCGAATAGAGCTAGAGATAAGAATCGGCAAACTCGCGTCTAGTTCGCGTAAAGTCGTGACAGCTTCGCGAAGACGCTAGGGCTCGAAGCCTTGTCAGATTTAATTTAACGAAGGGTGTTTCAGCACCACGATGATGGATGGCGTCGTGCCATACGGTCGTTCCTCGATACGAAGTACTTCGTAAACTAATAAAAATCCGAGAACCTGACGCTCGGGGCTTCATTTTCCCTTTAACTGCCGAGTGGGAAGGCGAGCGAAGTTACCCCCCGGCTTCGAGGAATAACTGGGACAGGGAACCATGAAGTAATACTGTTGAGGACGGGCGTGGAGGATGTACTTGGAAAGGCTCTACAGTAATTATGGTTGACAGACCCAAGATTGCTCTGGTATCCGAGGGAAAGATCGTGGGTGATCTTCTTCATGACTTGCAACGCACCCATGGTTCCGTATCATGGCACATGCCGAAACTCTCCGGGCGCCGACCAGGAGTCTTTTTCACCCCGTGCTCGATGGGCACTTCTCGGGAATTAAGTCATCTTTGCTGGATGCTGGATGGACGACAGGGGGATTAGCAAGGTGATTGATATGCTCTTCTTCGTCGATTCACAATTTGACTTAAGGTGTGTTACACCCACCGCTATGACCTGGTGTGAATGTGGATGTGATGGGCACTTGAGTAGGATGGCACATCACTGAAGGCTCAATGAGTAGTCGCCTCTGTTTCTCGTTGTCAGTCTCGGCGTCTCGGCTCGGAGAAATCAATTGAAGCTCACCATGAGCCCAGAACTGTCATACGAGACAGGGCTAAGGCAACACGTTGAGCAGATGAGAAACAGCACGATGTGTGTCTCACTTTCAGCATGGTCAAGATCAAAGGAACGGCGGTTTACAGGGAGCGATCGATTCATCGAATGCTGGTACTTTTCTCGCCTGGCTCTGTAAGGAGCTGTGGAAGAGAGGGTACTTGAAAACTGTACATGCAAGTACGAAGTACAAGGTGCACTTGAGGACCACCAAGGTTCGTCTGGGGGGCGCTCCTGTCCCACTTTGGTGCGCGGGAGCCTTCTGGGTGCAGCCGGCGACAGGGCTCCCCTAGTCCCGTCACGTTGGATAAACGATATTATTGGCTAGATAACTACACTAAGCGTCAGCCACCTGGCGTCTTGTCAGGAAACGGAAACGGGAGGATGACAGGGGTAACAAGTAACTTTGGGGAGGAGGAGCGAATTGTAATTGCGCAAAGATTTGGTCTTGAGTTAGGAACCAAATTTTCATCCCTCGTACGAATTGTACAATGCAGATGGAGGAGTTTGGTACCAATCGCGAGAGTTTGCTTCGGAAAGAGCAAAGTACTCATCCACTGGTCGGAAGGCAGAATCTGACAGTCGAGGCACTTGGCACAGCTGGAAAGATCTGGGTCGGTGGACGACACTACACTAGGATCGTGCAATCGGCACTGGAAGGAGGCTGCATCCGGCAGTAGCCAGATTGCTGCAGATTCATGGAGCTCTCCTCCCTCTGGGAGCGACTTGTGGGAAAAGTGCTCACATCCGTGCCCTTTCGAGTGCTCATGGACTTGGGACTTGATCATACTTCGTACTTACAAGAGCAGCATCCTTTCCCATTATCTCAAGGTTCTTTACACAAATCTAGGATAGAGATCGTCACAACTCGCCAATTGACCCCATTCTTTGTAGCCTTTTCGAGAGGGTACTCCGTCATTAGCTAGCGTCTGCTCGCATCGGACCGGAACTCAATCCTTTCTAAAATTTTCAGTTTCGAAACAATGCCGTTGCGCCAGCTCAAAGAACTAGCCCAAAATGGGATTTGGTAACGATGTAATGCGTGGGTCTTCTCGCCGAAAAACCTAGGCTGATGAAGAGCTTTTACCTTTCGGGCGGTTGTGGGCTGAGCTAGGCCGTCCTAGGACGGGGGTCTTTCCTTTTGGTAATGAGGACCTTCCCTGCACAACTCTGCACGAGTAATACCTCGGGCATGTGGCGCGCTGGGAAAAGGCGACTAATTCCTTCCCCATCCGGGCGTTATCACAATTTACTGCGTGGTTTTTGAGACGGGCCTTCCGAGAGAGTAATTTAGGCCGGCCGCGACCGCTGAGAAGTGGCGGCACAGGCGGGCATTAGGGGAGGAAGGTGGCTTCGGGTGAGCATGGGAGAAGGAAGCAGAAGGCGCGACTATTTCGTGGCATACATTGTACATAATGTACCTGGGGGGTGTGTTGGGAGTCGTGCATATTTTTAGAGCAGGTCCGACTTTGGCTGGCTGCTGCCAGGCTGAATAGTTTTGGTAGTTAACGTCGACGCCGACGCAAGTCAGAAAAAAAAGTAAAGAAAGGGTAGACAAAAAAAAATGAGAAAAAAAAATGAATGCGAAATACTTTGTATCACCATCACCATTGCCCTCATCCTTTCCCTCCTCACCCTCTCCTCATCTTCCTCCGGCACCCTCAGGCATCAACTTCAATTTCTCCTGGAACCAAAGTCTGGCTGCGTCAACACGACCACGGTGACCCCTGCTCCGACTGTTTTCCCACTTAATATCCCTGCTCCTAATAACACCAGCTAATAAGACTTGGGGCTTGTATCGTGAGGTCTGACCAAACGAAATCCTCCGTCACCTCCAAGCAGAGAGGATCCTCGCCCGCGTCCCCCCTTGCCTTCGCAGTAACCTTGCTTAACTCGTACCCAGTCCTCTGGGAAATCCTTAACAGCCTCTCCACCCTGCATCATTGATCTCTTTCTGCTCTTACAACCTCCACCAGTCGATTCCACCCACCTTCCCCCTTTTTATGCTTCCCTCACCTGAAATGCAATATTCTCTCTCGATCTCGTAGCTCATTGGGATCTGTCCTTTTTCCCTCTCTGACCTCTCAGAGATCTCTTATCCACGCCGGCGTGTTGTTGACATTATCATCTCCTTCTCTTACACCGTCACTGGGTTGACACTGACAACACCCGTTCGAGCGAGCACCACCCCGCCAGCCCCTGACCATAGAGCAGCCAAAATATTGTTCATAGCGTCGGCCTGGCTGCAGAGTCCTCCACAACGGCTGGTTGCCTTAGGAGCTCGAGCTTTTGACGTCTTGTCCGATTACAACTGATATCGCAGACCGACGTTTCTTTTCCAAAACATCTCGCATTCTCCCACTACGCCTAGACGGCTGCGACATGTCTCAAAACCATCGTCAACGCCGATATTGAGTGGACAATTCCTCCGCTTAGCCCGCTCGGCCCCCGAAACGAAGGCTCTTCATCGCATTGTTGATCTCATCGGCCGGTCCCAGCGACGCTCCCATTTTCTATCGTCTGGTTGTTTTGGATTTTTCGCTTGCTTCCTCGCCAACCTTCCAGCTAAAACATTAGCGACATCGCCCAACGCCATCCACAACGAACTCTCCTCGCTCTTTCACCTCCTTTGTTTCTTGGCAAGCTCTGGCTCTGGAACACTTGTCATTCAATAGCCTCAGGTCTTCTCCAACGTCTGCCTTTCCGCCAGCGCCCACCCTTTACCCACATACACTTCCCTAACTCAGGTCACCGCACAACCGTCAACCCTCCCGTGTTGTTGAATCGCAATGCTTCAGTGTGGATGATTAATGCCAATTATTGACTCGATCTGGCCATTCTTCCGATTTACCATCCCACTACGCATGCCGGGGATTTGCATCTTGCACCAGCCGAAACCCGGTCCGCCCTGCGAACGGATGTAATAGCAGCTGCGTTAAGTCACATCGCGAATCCTTACCAGAACACCCACTTACACAAACGCCCACACGCACAAGCCCCTGCGGAGTAGGCACACACACCTGTTTCTACATACGCTCTCCTATTTCTCCCCTTCTGTCGAAAGCATCCCCTTTTTTGCGACTCGACTTTTACCACACCCCCTCTCGTAGCAAGCTTCATCGTCGACTCGACCGGTTACCGTTGCGAGAAGCCTGTCAAGCAACCTGCCGATCATATTTTTTCCCCCTAACTTGTTTGACAAGTCTCGAGCGCACCCGTCAACTTCTGTTTGCGCAACTTGGGTCGCTGAGCCACAAGGTGTGTATATTGCCAACGTTGAGCCTCCAACGCTTGCGATCCAGCCGTAACGGTAGAAGACTGCCATGGACAGCTCTACTCATAGCTTGGTGCATCCCACTCGGGATCGCTCCTTCATCTCCCAACAATCTCGCGCTCCTTCCAGATCCTCCAACAGCACAGCCAGCACGCGGGCAACTTCACACAGCACGACCAACTCATCTTTTACGACGTCATCACCCAAACTTTCAAGCGCTACCCTTGCATCTCAACGGCCCGGCCTCAGCACCGGCCAACGGAAACCACCTCCAAGCCATCTCTCCTCCCAACTCATGCGGGAAGCCGGCTATGATGCTCGCCAGAGCCCAGTGTCTAGTTACCTGCAAGAGAAACTTCTGAAGGAGCGGAAAGTCGAGTTGGATAATAAATCGATATCCTCGGGGAGGATGTCAAACGATCCCAGAAACGCCTTGGAATACCGGGCCGTTCAGAGCTCGCCCATTCGCAAGGATGCCTCTGACGCCCATCGACCTCAATCCAGCGGCGGAGCCGATCCGACAACGAAGAAGAAGGGCATGGGCCTGAAGGAGATGGAACAGGTATGTGGAGCACGGTCTACGTTACTCACTGTGGGTAACCAGGTCATACTAACAAAGGGCGATAACAGACGGTATCTACTCTTCACAAGCAGAACTTCGACCTCAAGCTGGAGCTCTACCACCGACGTGAGCGCCAGACGGCACTCGAGGACCGAATCGAAACGCTCATGGCGGAAAAGTCGCAGGTGGAGGAGATGAATGATAGGCTGGTCGAGGAGCTAGAAAAGAGGGACAGGGCAGTTGAAGAAGCTGTTGCCATGATTGTGTTGCTGGAGGCCCAAGTCGAGACGCTGCTGAAGGAGCGTGAGATGGTCCGTCACATCGAGTCCCAGACGATTTACGGCAGAATGGGCGATGGCCTAGACTTGAACGCAAGGAGTACAACGCCCAAGCCCTTATCCGGTCACATGGCCCAATCCTCCGAAGACTTTACAACGCTTCAGAGGATGCCTAGTTTCCTCTCTGAACATAGCGAGACGACGGAAAATCTCCGCAACGTATACTTGGGGGCGCGGGGTAGTGTGCTAAGTCTGCCTCGGCCTGGCGAGACACCCTCGGATTTGGATAACGACCGTCTGAACCGCTTGGCCAGCCCCAGTCTAAGCGTCTTAAGTGAGAGCTCGTTCTTGAGTATCTACGGCAAGAACAATGGCCGGGATGGCGACATGGTAGCAGCCACGCACTTTGACGCGAAGCCTTCGCCAGACGCTCGTGCCGTGGAAGGCGCATCACTGAACCGGCCCAAGACAGGTCCTCCCATCCGTGACCGGCAATCCCGCAACCGTGTAAGCACGCCGTCGCGGCAGCTGAGGTCTAACTCGATCACGCAGGCGACGGGTGCCGGGCATTTCCAATCCCTTACGGATATTGTCGACCAGGCCTCACCACTCCAAAGACTAGAGCAGATGGACCGCACACACTCTCTCAAGACGACCGGTTCCCGACAATCAGGGCATGAAAGGGAGCACGAGCACCAAAGAAGCGCCCCGGCACCGCCCCCGGTATCTAGGACCATATCCCAGCGAAGAACGAAGGAAGAGAAGCGAGAGGCGCTCCGCAGGGTGATGACGGATGGACCGGCGGGGCGGCTTCTACGAGACCAAAATCTCCCACCGACTCCTGATACCATATCTACTACAACGCTTCGCCGGTACAAGAACTCGGCCGATAGCCTCTCCCGGCAACCTAGCCTCACTCACCAGCAGAGCTACCTCACACTTTCAGAGACGACATCAGCTCCTAGCGTAGAAGCTCGGCCGGATCGACCAACGACAGTTGTACCTGTCAATGTTGCGGTTTCTCAACCGCCGTCTATGACTGCATTCAACAGCCGGAAAGGCGCGCCGGGTAGCAGTTATTTCGACAATCGCCCACCCATCATTCAACGCCCGCGTTCGGCCGACGAGACCACGACATCGCATAGGAAGGACAATGGGTGGGACAGCGATAGCGACAATGAGTCGGACGCGAATTCGATGGCATCAAGCTTCGACATCTGGGTGAAGGACAGTTGGAAACCGAGTAAGTCGTACGCTAACGGCCCCGGACGAGCATCTCCAGATCTGTTCGGATTCCCAACGAGGACGACAACGGGCATGACAAACCCATGGTCTCCAGAAGACATGTTTAGTAGCACGTATTCAAAACCTTCTACTTCGGGAGGAGTCCACCTAAACGATGGCGGCTTGGACGACTTGATACCGGTTCAGACGGCTCTTTTCGGCGCTAGCGGACCACCACCGCCACCCAACCGACGATCAAGTCTTCATGCGCAAACCGGATCTACGTCTGCTCAAGCTATTGTTGAAGCCATGAGTAGGACCGAGGCATCAGGAGGCTGCTGGGGCCGAAAGACGAGCTCACGAAAGCGAGGCCATGCTAGGAGAAATAGCGACGGTTTCACAGCCACTTCTACGGTGTCCCAGCCCATATCACAGCAGCAGCAGCAGCAGCAGCAGGATGGTCAGACGGCAGACGGAAAGCAAGACGCGCGCAAGGATAGTCACTATCCACCGATTACAGGACAACAAAACCGCAATCGCGGGTTCAACAGGTTCTTCCGGAGGTCGATCGGTTCATCGGGAGGTACCGAAAGCGCGCCAGCGAGTGCGACGGAGGCGACATTCGCGGCGGCGGCCAGTACGTCGGTGCCCAAGACGGCGGGCATTGGCATCCCATCGTGGATCCACCGAAGCAGCGCTGCAGATGACGAGCGATTAGGTGCAACGCCTCCGCCGATCATGCGAAACCGGGCTCTTAGCAAGGGTGGGATCGCGGTGGATGATGAGGATCGGCATGATGGCGGAGTATCTCTCGGCGGCGGTGCGATGGTGGCAGCGGAGGACGGTACGACTAGCGGGGCCGGGACCCCGACGTCTAAGAGCGCTGCGAATGGAGATGCGGCGACGCGACGGAAGTGGTTACCGGCATTCGGCAGGAGCACCAACCAACGCACGAGAGGCTAGGCATATATTGTTGCGGAAGAGAAAAACTCCTGTGCTAGAAGGGCCACCGACTGCTTGTCGGATCGAAGGGACGCCGTTTTGGAGAATGAACTACTTGTACCACCAGGGGGGATCACAAGAAAAGAAAAAATAAGGGAACAAAAAGTTTGTATTTCATCGTTTAAGGTCGACCGGCGACGTATAGCCCGGAACTGTATTTTTGGGGGGAGTCTTTATCGGGTTTGATTTTACACGGGATTTGGAATTTCAGCAAAATCAGGGTAAGGTCGGCGAATTGAATCGATCAAGAGGACTGAAAGAGGGATTGGATGTTACCTCTTACATGTACAACAGACTCGAAGCCGGCTTGACAATCAAGCTGGCAAGCAGACAAACAGGATGCAAGAACAAACATAGCCAAAGAAAGAAAAGAAAAAAAAAAAACAATAGCAAGTAAAAGAGAGAGAGAAAAAAAATAGAATAAACTTTGATTTTGACTCTTACGATGATAATGAACAGATGCCGTTTCATGCCATGATGGCATTGATTGCGGAGGTATCATGACGACGTTCCTCTCCTGGTAAAAGAGATATGGAAACGAGCAAGTTATTTGGTAGAATTGGGGGATTCGTGGTCTAAATGGCACGGCAAGTCAATTTATTTCTTCGTCTTGCCCCCATGTTTGACCATATTATTATATTCATTAATCGATCAATCAATTGATGCCTTGATCTATTTCCACCGATTTGATATGTCCCGCGAATGGTTATCAGCCGCTGTTGAGCGCATTTGACCCGGACGGAACTTTTCTTCCCCTTTTCATTTCTTTCTTCATACCTTTGGAAGCGTGAGGTATCCGTTTGTCAAATTCCTTCTACGTTTATTGCAAAAAGAAGAAGGAAAAAAAAAAAAAAAAGAAGGGGAAAAGAGGAAGGAAAATGGATAGGCGATAGGGAGGCGCAGAAACGGAAAGAGTCTTAGAGAACAAGGCCGACGAAGAAGCGCGATATTTCGAACAGAGGCGGAGATGCAAGCGAATTCAGCGACGACTTTTTTCCAGCCTGTGGGACGTGCGTCGAAATGGAAGAATCTGAGGAAGTGGAATCCGCAGTCGTGGCGAAACCCGAGAGCGCGGGATATGTCGGGTGGTGGTCCGGACCGAAGACGGAGGTGGATGAGACGATGATGGGCGGGGCAGCGGCGGACTTGCTGGGATACGCGGGGAGGGGCGGCGTCGGGGTGGTAGGAGTGGCGGGCGAGATGGCAATAGGCAGGGTTTGTGAGGGTGCATTAGACTTCTTGGGACGGTTGAGAAATGATTGGTCGGCGGGGAAGATGCGGTGTGTGCGGGAGGTGGATAGGGTCGTTGTGTGGCTGACGAGGGTGGGGAAGGTCGACGGCGTCGGTGAGGGCTTGGGGAGGGTTAAAGACGTTGTGCAGAGGGGAGTAGGGCTTGGAGGAGCGAGGTCGGGGGTGAGGCGGAGGAAGTTGAATGAGACGATGATGGTTACGTCTCTTCCTCATGATCGGATGGGAGTGGAGGATGTAGATGCAAGGAGGATACGAGAAGTGTCGAGATATTTGGACCCGGACGACAGGGAGGTCGTGTTGTTGGTTGCGGAACTCGCCAAGGCCTTGCGTGTGCTGGCTACGACGATGGGGACAACGATTGGAACATACCCGGCGGTCGGCAACGGTTTAGATTCGGATCGGAGAACAGGACTTGACGCCGCAGTGGCACGGAGAATCAATCAGCTCGTCGACTGGAGCGAGGATTTGGCGGCCTATCCTTTCAACGTCTCCGATCTAGACTCGGCGGAGGTTGCCATGTCCGCTTTTGTCATGGGCGACGAACGGCGTCGGAGGCCAGGGAAGAGAAGGGAGGATGATGGCAAGGACATCGCGAATATACCGAGCTATAAGGTGCCGACGCAACCGCCCGTCAAGGAAGTCGGCTGGGCCAAGTCCTGGCGTACCTGGACCAGGTTCTACCCCCTCCGCATCTCGACGGGTCGGTACTACGCCGCGTTAGTCGCCGGAGTGATCTTGGGATATCTCGTCCGCGAGAAGAACTCGACATCACCACTCGCCCAGAGCACCCCCACGGCACTCAGAAACTCATCATCCTTCGTGGCATTCCTCACCCACCTCCACAACCGACAAGAACCCCTCAACACGCTCCTCTCCTCACTCGCCGTCCACATCCGCCCCCAAACCTCTTCAACCCCCATCCCCATCCTCATCACCGCCCTCTCCTCCCTACGCCAACACCCCATCCCAACCGACCTCTGGCCTAAAGCCAAAACCTCCCTCCTCCGCCGCGGCCCCGCACACGCGCTCTTCATCTCCCTCCTCGGCATCCTCACGCACCATATCCGCCGCATGCTCCTCCCGCGCCTCGGGCAACCGCTCCGGCACACACCACTGTCGGACCTGAAGCTCGCGGCTCGAAATCCTGCTTATTTTGTCGACGAGGCGCTTTCGAACATTGCTTGGAAAAGGGCCATATGGGTCGTTGTTCAAAATTATGTGTTTGATCTCGTCGTTGGATATGTCTCGCTTTTGATTCTAGTGCAAGACGCAGAGTTTACGATACGAAACAACAACACGTACGGTCCCGATGTTACCGGCAGGACGGCACAGAGGTTTTCGCGCCCTGTTCTCGATGTAGCGCAAATACTGTACATTGCTTGGATCCTCGCCGGCCTAGAACGCTTCTTCTCCGAAGCTGCAACGTTTGCGTCATTCGCGATGGCATACGGCAAGTTACTTCTACCGTCGATTGCGCCTCCTTCGCACACGACGTGTTTAATACGCACTTTACGCTCGGAAGCCCACATACTTCCCTTACATGTCCTCTCTCTCATAAACACGTTCGTCTCGCTCGGAGGACTCATCTCCGTGGCGATTCAGGTGGCGGTGGAACGTGGTCGCGTGGGGTTGCTTGTGAGCGGCGTCTCGCTTGCGGTTGGCGTGGCGTATGTTACGAGGTTTTCGAATAAGCTTTATATGGCTCTTGAGATGAGGGATATGTTTCTCGTTGCGGGGTTGTGTGTGTGTGCGGTGGTGGTAGTGGCAAGGGAGTCTGTTACTTGATACGCAAGGGGATCCTGCAAGAAGGGAGGGAAAGGGGATATATGCCAGGGCGAAGAACATACAGAAACAGTCTTTCTTTTGTTCCTTTTGAGATAAGACTCGCTCACGCAATGCTATGCTATGATCCATCTATGGTATGCAGGTATGTAAAACTATCAAACATTACTGTCCAAGCAGTATCGCAGATACAGTGGACGTCGGTTGTCGTTTCTTCTTTTCTTTCTTTTTTTTTCTTATCCCAGCCAAGTCCAGCAAAAGGGGCAGGTCTCCCGGACGCCATCTTCTCAGCCGAAGTCTTCGATTAACAAAAGAGATGCCGTTGTGTGGCAGTTGTGTGTTCCTTCTCTCTCCCCCCCCCCCCCCCCCCCCCCCCCCCCCCCCCCCCGCTCCATCCCTTCACACCTCTCTCTCTCTCTCTCTCTCTCTCTCGCGTCCCCCTCTTCATCGGGTCTCTCTTTACAAGACCATAGCCGCCAAAACAGCAACACCGCCAACCCAAGTCAGACCCGCCACCCCAACCGCCGCCCCATTTTCCTTCTCCGCATTCTGCCCCGTCGTCACCGTCCCCGCCTGTTGTTCCGTCTCATGCTTATCGTTACCCGAGGGAGGGGTGGTAGTAGCGCCAGCAGGCTGAAGGGGCGCGGTCCTCGTGGCTACGTTTATGCGGCGGACGGCTTCGCAGATGGAAGCGGCGATGACGGTGACCACTGCGAACATGCCATACTCGGTTAGCTTTCCTTTTTCTCCTCACCTCTCTCTCTGTATCCACCGCAAGGCAGACAACCTCCCAAGACATTGCATTCGGGGGGAAAAAAGGAGGAAAAAAGAAAAGAGAAGTTACATACTCCCAATCTCGCTCGAGTCACACCCCACGGCAAAACAATCCGCCGCCGCTCCATCCAAATCGGGTACCTTGTTACACTGACACTCGTAGTCGGCGGAATCGCAGCCCGCCGTCGAGGCTACCTCGGCGAGGCATGTTTTGGCGCAGGCGGGGAGCTGGTTGGCGATGGATTCGGCGGTGGAGGCGGCGGTGATGGTTGTCGCGAGGGCCAGGAGGAGGGGGATGGTTGTGGGGAGGCGCATTTTCGATGATCGGTTTGGTTTTTTTTTTCTTTTCTTTTTCTGGGGATATGTCTTGGAGTTGGGGTGTTTCGGGTGGTGTGAGACCTCTTTTCGTTGTTCGTTGGTCTATTATTCTTTCTTTTTGTCTTGATATCTCGGGATGTAGGCGTCTGGTGTTTCTACGCAGGAGAGTGAAGGTGTTCGTCCGTCATTTCATCAATTCGTTCACTCCTGAGTTCTAGTGATGGAAAATAAAATCAAGAGAATATTATTTTGTTTACTCGATATTAAAACTGGAGACTAATATTTCTTCGTATTTGCTTCATGCTATGACAACCAACAAAGAAAAAAAAAAATATAGTCAGGGGAGCCAAGAAATCTCGCCTCGTAAACTACTACCAGCTGGCATGGCAAAAGCAAAGCATCACCAGGAATAGAAACATCCCGAGATGGGAAAGCATTCGGGCAGCTGCCATTCGCTCGTCTAATCCCAAGAAACGCGAACAGAGTCAAAAGATTGGACGAAGGACTCCGTTAGCTTGCGTTGGTGTTGTGGGGAATAATGAAAAGGATCGAGGCTGGTGCCGGGAAATGAAATGAAATGAAAATGAGACGAGATCAGACCCGCGAACTAGTGTAATAGGGAAGAAGTATGGAGTAGGGTGCCATTGTCCGGTGCCATTGTCCGTTGCGTGTCGTGTGCATTGTTCTGGGCTTGTTCTGGTCTGGTGGTTCCAGAAGCTAACAAAGTACGGGGCATTGAATTGCATTATCGTTCTCGACTCGAGGCGAAAGGCAACCAAAGCTCGAGAACTACCGAGATCGGGGTATGGTTGATGCATGCGACAGGGACGGCGAGGCAGACTCATACGAAGTACAACATTATAGAGGGAGGCAAGGGGCTTTTCGTGATGTCTGACGAAGGCAGCAGTGCATGGGTCGGAGGGCAGCGCAGGCTCTCTTCAGCTTGGGGCTTTGCAAGCTATGCAAGGCAGAGAGCAAACGTTGATTGAAGCTTTGAGATTCCATGTTGATGCATTAAATCAGAATCATTTGACAGCTGGTGAGAAAAGCCATCGGCGCCGCAAATGACGAGAAAAGAGAGGAAACAATATTTAAGTAAATAAAATTAAAATAAGAAAATAAGAAAATAATATCAGTAACCAAAAGCAGAGAGTTCATTTCCGTAGCAGGCTCGAACAAAATGAGAATCGCCGAGTCTCGAGTCTCGAGTCTCGAGACTTGAGTCTCCCGCTCTCGTCCATCGGGATATCATCGTTGTCGTCATCGTCATCAACATCGCGAGGGCGCCTCCAGGCTTCGCCAGGCTTCACAATTCCCCCCCCACAAACGCACACAGCCTTCACCTACCCCGTTCTCTCCTCTTCATGTCTCCCCTCTCTCCCTTCATCCAGGTCTATTCGCCCTCCCATTCACACAACAAACCCCCCCATTATCCGCAAAGCAAACCCCACCATGATCCGCAAAGCACACGCCCCCATGATTCGCACACACCACGCCCCCATTATCAGAACACAAGAACCCGCCACGATTCGAAAAGCAAGCTCCGCCGTACGAGCTGCAGCAGCATCCCCCCGACGAGCTACAGCAGCACCCGGGCTTGTCGTCCAGCTCGCGCAACCGCTCCTCGTCCTCCCACCACTTCATGCCTTCCTGGCGTTGGTACCCCGTCGTGTCTATCCCCGGATGTGTCTGGCCTTGCGCGGCTGACGAGGGGGCTGCTGTTTGTTCGGCTGAAGGTGGTGGGGGCTGGTGATGTGAAGTGGATTGTTCGTAGGATGGGGGAGGCTCAGTGGTTGGAGATGAGGCGTGAGCGTCCCCGTGATCGCCCTTGGAAGAAGGCATTTTGTTTGTTTGAGATTGATCTTGATGTGGCTTGCGCTGCGCAGGGACAACCTTAACTCTAATTTTTGTCGCAAATCTGTTCTCGATGAGAGCGTTTGCAAAGGAAAACTTTCAAGTTGAAGAAGAAGGGTAATCGTCACCTCATGGCACTAATAACCTTAAAAGCACCAAAGGGATGATCGATAATCGAGAAAAAAGCGATGACGCCGACTATCACGTCAAATCAAATCGGAGATTCCATCAAGTGGTCCAGATGATTCGTTCCCTCTTCCAAGTGAGTTCTCTAAGCCTAGCACTTCCCAGGAAAGCTCATGTTACAGTGGCGGTCTTGTCGTTTCGGGAGATGCCGAATCGCATCATGCCTTTGGTAGTTGGACTCGGACGATTGCGTGGCATGGACTCTTCGAATGCGAAAAATACGTCGCGCCACTCGTTACGTCTGGCCACATGGGCAGACAATGGGCTTAAACAAACGAAACAGCCACTGAATCCATATACACTCACTCGTCTTGGAGTTGTGGTTTTTCGGATACACGTTGGTTTCCTTTTTTTTTTTTTTTTTTTTTTTTTTTTTTTTTTTTTGGAGGGATTGCAGATAAACCCATCTCAGCCCAATATTAATATCCGTCTCGAGTGAAGAGCAGAGCGCGGCCAATAGCATTGGGCCTTTTCGGGTTCCAAGTTCGATCTCGTGTGTAACACAGCATATTTGCGATCTGAAAACACGATCTCTATCAACGTTGTTTTTTTCAGGTCGAGGTCCAGGGTCAAGAAGAGAGACTGCGCAGTGTGCGAGATGTTTTCCAAGACAGGACAGCAAAACGGCGTCCAGACAGGAAAGCGAATCAACCACAAAAGCAGAAAAGAAGAAAAGAAACGAAAAGGTGTTCAGTGTCAGTGCCTATAATGCCCGCAACTGGCGGTGTCCCGAATTAGGATCAAACGCAAAGCATACGCATGACGGCAGTCATCATACTCGTCCCTCTCCTCTCTCTCTCTCTGTTTTTTTTTTTTTTTTTTTTTTTTCCTTTTTTTTTTTCTTTTTTTTCCTTTTTTCTTTTCTCTCTCTTGGTGGAGATAAACTTGAGACTAAGTTGTGAAAATTACCCAGGGAAGCTGAATTGTATTTGGCCTGGAGAAGCTTAAAGTAAGGGAAGGGGAATGGGAATGGGAGGCGAGGATACTTGATGTCCTAGACTTGTATCAAGAAGAAACTATCAAACTCATTTCATCATTCCAACACCCTGAAGAGCTGGAGAGGAGCGGGAGAGCTCCAGCGCGAAAGAAGAAGAGTCTTCACGACGGATGTTTGCAACGAGCAGCAGAGGCTTGGGGTTAGCTTAAGTTTGGAGATGTGTAGCCATATCTGTTATCCACCACCTCGTCTTTAGCTGTCGGCCGTTGTTCGGGTGCCTCTGCGCAGACTGACATTCCAAAGCTGGTGACCCAGTTACCTTTCCAGCCCCGAAACCGCGTGCACCGTCTCATCCAGGCTCCCGGCGTATCTTTCATATTGCACCGTCCCGTAGACTCTGAGTCCCCATCAATGTCCGATCTCGCATCCTGGACGGACCACTGGGGGTGGGTTTTGGGAAATATCTTCCACGGTACCGGGGTATTGGAATGTCCTTTGTAGAAACCCTTTTATAGACTCAGATTCGGCGTTGGCCTTTTGATGGCACATCGCTAAACTGAGATGGTGAAGGCATATTCGCGCACTCAACTTTGCATCTGTAGTGGTCGGTAATGTGTATTCACTATCCGTCTGCTAGGTCGAGGGTGTTAGTAGTTTGAGATGTGCTTCTTCTTTGTACGTCGCCACGGTCAACGTACACATTTCTGGAAGAACGGAACCAGACCAACGTCGCCCGGGGTCAGCTAAACCAAACGAGCAACTTGGGGGGACGAGTATCAATTCCCCAGCCACGTTGGCGTACCCAAAGCCATAGCCGAAGGTCTCGCGGAGGGCCACCCCCCTCTCGTCCTGACTACCGGCTGCATGCGGGTGCCATTGGCATCATGACGTACCCAGACTCCGGGGTCTCCAATCTGAGCCCGCCAGCCCTGGCGGGCAATCTGCCTTGGCGATACAGCTTGCGTACAAGTCAGCGCCCTCGACGAAGCCTATTCCAGCCTGTGCTCTCACGCGAATCGACTTGGCTCAGCAACCAATTCCTAGAGCAAGGCATGCTCGGGAAGATGCACCCACCACTCTCGACCAAGGTATTCCTCCTCCTGAGTCTCTGCTGCTCCAACGGACCGAGTCCGGAGTCAAGGCAGAGAGGAAGAAGTCATTCTAAGGACCAACCCGGGCAGCCCCATGCACCTCCCACCCCTCCCTCCTAGTCCGAAGCAGATCTAGAAAGGCCGCAAAACTCGGCACCTTGAGAGGTAAGCTTTGTTCTGGCCGAAGCGCTTGGGAAAAAAAAAAACAAGGCGAAATGGTAGTTAGTGCCACACAGCCAATGCCGCCAATGGCACCAACGCCGCCGACATTGCTTCCGTCACGTCGATGAACACTCGTAGAACACCCGAACATCACCTTTTCTCCCCTCACCTTCTTCTCCTCAAAGGGCGGAAGACTCGGGAATAGCGACAATAAGAAAATGCCGAGGTTGAGAGGAGACAACAGGACCACTCTTCTGGCAGAATTTCCGAGTGAGCTAGCCAAACGGCAAGTTCCCAGAACATGGATCTCTACGATGACATGATCGCCGACTTCGTAGCAGTGGATCATGTATCCACCGCTTCGAATCGCAGGCGCGACATCCGCTAAAGTAGTTTAAACGAGGAGAGCCTCGGTTCACACTGCGATACCTGCACGTGATGAAAGAGTTTGCGGGGGCGAGAGCAACGAGCAATGAGCAACGGGCAACCGGGGAGACAGGCTTCATTCAACGATATACGAAGTACGAAGGATGAAGCAGGAAGCATGAAGCACGAAGCACGAAGCACGAAGCAATAACCTTTTGTTTTCGCTTCCAAGCACTTCGTATTACACTCTGCATAGACTTACCGTCCAGTCATCTATCACCTTATGGCCATTATTAAATTCTTACATGTCCTCCCGCCAAGAAGTTACATAGCTTCCTGGAATCTGCTGTTTGGATTCTAGAATAATCAAACCATACCTCTTCTCCCCCTTAGTGTAGTGT